CTGTGGATCCAGGACTGAGGCTGTAGAACTAGGACTGAGGCTGTAGATCCAGGACTGAGGCTGTAGAACCAGGACTGAGGCTGTAGATCCAGGACTGAGACTGTGGATCAAGCACAGGCTGTAGATCAAGGACTGAGGCTGTAGATCCAGGACTGAGGCTGTAGATCAAGGACTGAGGCTGTAGATCCAGGACTGAGGCTGTAGATCCAGGACTGAGGCTGTAGATCCAGGACTGAGGCTGTAGATCCAGGACTGAGGCTGTAGATCCAGGACTGAGGCTGTAGATCCAGGACTGAGGCTGTAGAACCAGGACTGAGGCTGTAGATCCAGGACTGAGACTGTGGATCAAGCACAGGCTGTAGATCAAGGACTGAGGCTGTAGATCCAGGACTGAGGCTGTAGATCAAGGACTGAGGCTGTAGATCCAGGACTGAGGCTGTAGATCCAGGACTGAGGCTGTAGATCCAGGACTGAGGCTGTAGATCCAGGACTGAGGCTGTAGATCCAGGACTGAGGCTGTAGATCCAGGACTGAGGCTGTAGATCCAGGACTGAGGCTGTAGATCCAGGACTGAGGCTGTAGATCCAGGACTGAGGCTGTAGATCCAGGACAGAGGCTGTAGATCCAGGGCAGCTTTATGACTTTGACAGAGCTATACTTATTACAGAATGACATGGAATTGCTTTTTCAGATTCTCTTTGAAAATGTGATTAAAATGTATTATCGTTTTAGCTTTGTTTTGGTCAAATTGAAAAGAAATCCCTTATACAGTATATAACTAATAATGCAAATAACAGAGATAGAGTTTCTCCATCTCAGTTTTCCTGTAGCTGCTTTTATCACTGCATATTGAATTATCTCTCTCTTCAATATCCCTGGTGTTATTCATTGTTATTGTGAGGTGTCATGTCAAGTTGACACATGACAGGTTTAATGGAAAATATTCAGACTGAGGTAGTTTATGTGTCAGGCTCCATTATTATTATTCAACTATTGATACATTAATAATTAAGTTACATTGTTATTAAATAAAACACATGAAAACTAATTCTTATACATATATTTAGATACATGTTCTTTTGAACAAATTACAAATCAGAACTAAATCTGAATAAATTAGATGATTATCTAATTGCATCAATACCAATAATACCTAAATAATGATTTTTCTTTTAACAACACCCATTCTTTTGTTGTTTTGTTGTAGTTTTAACTGATGGCTTATTTGCTTCATACTTTATTATTCACAAATTCCAATCTTGAAGTCATACAAGCACCACATACTTGAGCTGCCAATTTCAACGTTTTTCAAAGCTCAATTTAAAGGGGAAGTCTGTAATTATATGCACATACCGTTCTCTGTCTCCTCTGTCCAATTAAGACTTAAGTTTCCCATTAGGCTGCTGCTGTATCGTGCCTCAGTGTCTCTCCTCTCGAGGTGTGTGATCAGACAAATCCACCCCCAGCTCTGGTGGATATATCCTTGCATTCTGTTCAATGAGATATAATACATTTGGAATCAGACTGTTTTTATTGAACTAGAAGAAAACAAGAAATGAGAAATGAGACAGACTGTGTAAATGCAGTTAGCAACATGTGAAATATGAAGGTGTCGATGAGGAAAACAGTCTTCCCTTGTAGATACTGAACACTGGACACATTCACTGGGGTCATTGGCCACACTTTAAACCCCCTCCTCTATTTTGACTTATGGCCTAATTCCTTGATCATAATTTATACTGGTGAAAATGGGACTCGATGGGAAGATTTAACCAAAAAAGGAAAAACGTGAAGTAAAAGGAATGCTATTCGACCAAGAATTGAAGTTTAGAGGTAACTAAAAGGAGTGCACTGTTTGAGAAACACTGGTATAAACTTTAAATCATCCATGAAGGGAATATGGCTTTGACCCAGTGAAACACATGCCATATAACAGTGTCTCCCAAAGTGGGGTCCGCGGCCCCCTGGTGGGCCGCGAGGGTACTGCAGGGGGGCCGCGGGAGGTCATAAAAAAAAAAAATATATATATATAATTATTTAATGTTAAATTTATAATGTTTTGTTTGTAATATTAAAATATTTGTGTTCATTATTTGACTTGATTAATCCACTGTAATCATTTTTGTATTACAATGTTTGTAGCAGAGGCTATTTCCCCAAAATAAAATAACCAGAAGAGCCTATTCTTAATGTTGTCTTCTTGGTTATTATTTTGGGGGGCCACGCAGACCCGTCAGATTTTTAAGGGGGCCTCGGTGTTACTGAGTTTGGGAATGGCTGCCATATAACATTAAAGCTGGAGGACCTTTTCAAAACAGAAAGAGTCTTTGCTTCTGTCTTCATCTTATTAGAAAACATGTTTTCTTTTGTGTACTACTGTAAACAGAGCCTCGTTAGTCAAATCATATGCATATGAAACTAACCAACTTGAAAGCGCGGGATTATTTTTGTCTGGTTTGAAAATTAGACAGCTTTAAAAACAACAATTATAGCAGAGATTCAGCTCTTGGTGTGGACCCTTCTTCCCGGTGGCCGCATGTTGTAGTGTGAGTGCAGTGGGGGCCTCCTCTGTCTGCAGTGGTCGTCACTGCACGATGGCTTTAAAGGCCTCCTCCTGCTTGTTTACATGGAAGTGCTGTTCCTTGAGCTAACATTTATAAGTTTGGCACAAAACCACCTATCTCCATGTCTTATGTTGGTTTTGTATTTCAAACGGTTCCCCAGCTTTATCAATGCCTCTGTCAGGAGCAGTGGTCGCCACAGTCATCTCCAGATTAGATCTTTGGTGCATGTTTTGGGGGGTGGGAGGAAACCGGAGGAGCACTCGGAGGAAACCTACCCAGACACAGGGAGAAACCAGTGGGGGCGGGTCCCGGCTCAAAGAGGTCCATGAGATCGTACGCTGACATGCTTACAATCTCACTCGAGGCCGGTGGGGGTGGACCCGGAAAGAGAATTACCAAATGCTTTTGTATGTTGCCTTCTTTCCTCTCAAAAGCGGCTTTACAGGATGGTCTAAAAGTCGGCTCTTTTGCCCAACGCTATGTTCCAGATGTGTGTCAATGCTGAAGGGAGTATTTTTATTTGGAATGCACTTGGTAAATGAATGGAGCCTTGTGCCGGCTGACGCATGCGCAGGTGTGTTTTTTCATATTTTCTCGCCCCGCGGCCATTTTAAAAAAGCCCACAGAAGGCAAAAGTGGTGGCACGTTAGTTTCAACGTCGGAGATAAGCCTGACTCGTCCGTTATTGTTTATAGTCTATGGGAGAAAAATGAAAACTCCACAGAGAAAGATACATGACAGAAGATTAAACCCACAACCTTCAGTCACTGCGCTGCTAAAAGGTCTTTGTTGGTTCTAAAATGGTTCCCCAGCTTTTTATTAACCAGATGCATTTTTTGATTCATTCATTTATTGTGTTTTTTGTGTATCCTTCTGACATATTGGGATAAATATAGGTCTTTTTCTCACAAACAAGTTCTCTGAGGAGCCATAATGAGGGTGTTCTTTTCTTTCTGAAGCTTAGGCTATTTTTTTTTTTCTTATCCGACAATATCTTTGCCTTTTCTTGTCCACATAACTTCAGCAAAGTCAGAATGAAAGCTGGAGCAGACACAATGGGCTGCTCTTGCCTCATGTCCTGCATGATGCCACGCTCAGTCATGACTCACTGAAGCTCTGTCTTCACTTTTGATTTACAATCTGAGTCTCAGCGATCTGCGGTAAGTATTATTCAGAGCTGTTCTGGAAAAAAGAAATCAGACAGCAAACTGAACAAGGGTCAAACCACAATCTGGAAAATGTGGATCTTTGGCATCTGTGGCATGGCTTTTTCCAAGAGATATACATTTTCCCCTTACTATTACAAAATAAATATACTGTCACTGAGCCTTTTTTTGTAAACGTCTTACAAACAAAGAGCTCACTGCAAAAAATGATAAAAAATGAAGTCATAATTACTTGAATCGAGTAGTTTATATCCTTATTTGAGTACATTCTGGCTGTCTTTAAACAAGATTTGCCAATGACACTAGAAAATTCAGCCCTATTTCAAGAACTGTTTTAAACATGATAATTTTGCCTGTCCCATTGGCAAATCTTGCTTTAAGGAAGTCAGAATGTGCACAAATTAAGATAAATTTAAATACAAATTTTAGCAATATTTGACTTATTTTTCATAAAGTTGTCAAATCTCAAGTCAAATCTCTACATTTTGGCAAAATGTATCTTAATTTGAACACTTTGACTTATAACAATATTTGCAGATGGGACAAGGAGAATGTTGTTGTCTTAATCAATCATACTCAAATTAAGATAAAAACCACATGATTCAAGAAACGATTACCTCATCGTGTATCATTTTTTGCAGGGTGTAGACATGGCGCCTTTTGCCGTAGTAGTAGTTTCTCCTTTTCTTTTGCGGCCATAGGTTCGGGACGATACGGAGATGACGAAGATTTCTATTCTCACAGATATAAAGGTAAAACTTGCCCCTCACAACCACACGTGTTTTTGTCCATTTATTAACAGTGATCGCCCAGAGCGCCAAAGACACAGTAATTAGATTTGAAAACATTAGCTTGTTGCTTGTTAAAAATAACACACATCACCATCTGTTCTGCTAGTCTCCAAAGTAATTATTATTTTCTGCATGGTTAAATCAAAGTGTGTAGTAATTTGTCTTGAAATATCCCAATGATACATCAGGTCTTCCATAACAGCAAATTAAATGTCTCTATTATTATCAAATCTTGTGTGTGATCATAAGATAAGATACTTTATTTAGACTTTATTGTCTCCCTTAGAAGAAATCCGTCTTGGGAAAAGGGTTCACAGGCTTTACACATACATTTGCATTCACCTCAGTTTATTCATTCAAACCAAATACAAATCAATTACAATTTTAAGAACTAAGCATACGGCCGTTTCAACAACCAAGAAATGAAACAATAATCATTTGGAACAATTTACAGTAGACTTTAAACATTACACAGACCAAAAGAGACGCAGTCAAAAGCACCATCAGAGAAACAAAACTGTTGATAACAGGACATCAAAACAGAGAGCGACCCACAGTCTTTCACTTCAGAAAACCTAAAGAGCAGTATGTTATTGCACTTGCCCTCAACCTAAAGTGCAGCCCATGTAATAGTCCTTTTACAGTATATCCATTAAGTCGTGATGCTTCTCTCTCTCAGACGACACAGTTACGTCAAAGTTTCTACAGCAGCAGAATCAAGGTCATTTAACGTTGGAACTTTCCTCCCGCTGCCAAACCGCACTCTTGTCTTGTGCTCAGGCTTAAATGTATTTTCTCGTATTCTGAGGTTGTGGGCGCTCTGCCAAAGTAAGCTCACATGCGGTATGGCACTGGCTGTCAGGGACGTTGTGTAATGAATACAGATATTTATTCCAACTGGAAATAAGTGACTCTTCTCCAACTGTACTCCTGTGTGCGGACAGATCCAGAGGGCAGGAAACAGAGAATTCACATTTCCAGTCACAGTAAAGTGTTAGGTTGGTAGTTTGATTCTCTCTCTATTCCATTTTAAGGCCATCACCTTACTGGACTGTCCTCTAGTTTATGAATGAGTTTATTTGTTAGTGAGCGAACAGGCATTCTGGAACATTCTGGAGAACCCCGGGACGACCACAGCCTGCTGGGCCGACCCTATTTATTTTATTTATAAAGGACAGGACAGACAACATTGTCACATTTCCGTGTCCATGGGCCATGGAGCCATTTCTCGTGCTGGATTTAGCTTCAGCCACTACTTTACTTTGCAGTTAAACTTATTCTGTGTAATATAACATATGATTTATTATTCTGTCTGACATTAAACCTCTGACTGTGTAGAAAGTCATATAAGTATGAAAAACCTTTTGTTATTGTGGCATTGAGCCGACAGAAACAGATAAAAATTAACTGACTTAAAACGTGTGAGAAATAAAATAATATCTCTTGTATCATAGATATAAACTTTTATACAGTTCAGTCTGAGGCTGAACTGTTTTTAGTGCCAAAATCAGCACAGCTATGTTGCACCCAAATATCTGATGAAGGGCCTCAGCCCGAAACATTACTTTGTGGTCTGTAAATAAAAGACACTTGGGAGCAACATCGCTGTGTGGATTTGTCTATGTTTTCATGTTTTTCACTTGGAAACCAACACGCTCAATCAGTCTATTGGGAGGTGTGGCCTTATTTGAAACCTTGAACTATTTTTAGCCCCGTTCTGCCCTGATTAGAAGTAAATGTTTTTTATTTTTTATTATTGAAAGGATATAGTAGTATTGCTGCGTCGCTGCTGTGAGCCCCAGTTGGATTATAAGTGACGGATAAGGTAATAAAGTTCACCACATCTGGAGATTGGTGAATTTCTTAAAGCAGAGGAAAAATGGCTGTAGTTTTATTCTGTTCTGGTAAGTACTAACTGCATCTACACAGGACTCTGCTGTAGTCGTGAATACTGGGATTCACACAGGCACTGCCCTCATTTATGAACACACATGTTTTATACTTCTTCATTTTCCCTATTGTCTTATTGTTGCATGGTATTTATGTAGAAATGTTTGTTCATTCAGTAGATTTTTCATTGAACTAACTAGACATGGAAATAATGGAAATAATGAACGATGAGTCATATGAAGTGGCCACACTTCTCCACAGAGGATTATTGAAGTTATTCAGTGAAGCTGTTAACACTAACTCAGTGGTGCTTTGTGCTGATCTGAAACAGGGACGCCATGGTGCGCTCCGATCAAAGTGAAGCACGGCGATGTGCGCTGCCGCACTCCGCGAGGAGAACACTACAAGAACGTGATGGGGACGCGCTGCAAGATCCACTGTAAGAGAGGATACGAAGTCATGAGCCCAGAGGTGGTGTGCATGGCCAGCAAGCACTGGTCCTCCAACTACGCCTGCAGCGGTACGGCCCAGCGCTCTGCGGCATTCTACTGTAGCTTAGATCTGTGCATGTTGTAATGAGCCTGATGAAGACCCACACATGGTCAGAGTGTCCTACATGGTCAGAGTGTCCCACATGGTCAGAGTGTCCCACATGGTCAGAGTGACCTACATGGTCAGAGTGTCACACATGGTCAGAGTGTCACACATGGTCAGAGAGTCCCACATGGTCAGAGTGTCCCACATGGTCAGAGTGTCCCACATGGTCAGAGTGACCTACATGGTCAGAGTGTCACACATGGTCAGAGTGTCACACATGGTCAGAGAGTCCCACATGGTCAGCCGCTGACATCAGTGTCTTTTCTCCAAACAGAGGTCAGATGTCCAAAGGTGGAAATGCCCATCAATGGTGGCTACAAATGCTCTGGAGGCTCCTACTTCAACTCTCGCTGTGAGTTTTTCTGTTCGGTGGGATTCACCCTGAAGGGACAGAAGATAACCACCTGCCAGCACACCAAGACGTGGAGCTCCGCGGCGCCCACATGTGTCGGTGCGACATACATCATTCTAATCTCTCACATTTACTGCTACAAATAGTACTTATGTAGAATGGCTTTATTATCTGCTCAAGGCTTATCCACCAAATAACTACTTAGACTGTCACTGGGGAGAGCACTTTTCTTAATAAGAGGTTTTGGAAAAATTATGGGTATAAGAAAAAGACAAATCTAGACTCTATTTAATCCTGTGGACAAAATGCCACTTGTGTGTGTCACACACCAACGAGCGTGTTGTAAGTGTGAGCTGCAACTGCCTTTTTTATTCTCCGCAGATATTGATCCTCCCAAAATCAAATGTCCCACCATTAAAGATAAGTGGGCGGAGCCTGGAAAGCTGACAGCGCGGGTGTCCTGGGACACTCCGGAGGGCATGGACACTGCAGATGGTGTCTTGACAGAGTGAGCCTTGTATAAATGTATATGTATGTACATTGTCTTCTCTTCTCCCTGTGGATGGACTGACCATGTGGCTGCTTTTGTTTCTGCAGTGTTGAGTTTAAAGGGAGGCCCCCAAAATCTGACTTTCCAGAAGGACTCCACAAAATGTCATACACTGTGTTTGATCGAGCGGGAAACAAGGGCAGCTGTCGCTTCACTGTCAGAGTGAGAGGTAATCACCAGAAAACTGCTTTATTTTTTGCAATCAGCTGCACAAGAAGCAAACAAATATAGTTATCACATTGATGGACATTTCTCTCTTATACATCTGCAATCTCTGGGGCAAGACTCCCCTGAGAAAGACACTTCAGTGGGACTGGATAAATAAAGGTCAACAAATAAATTCTAAAAAAGCCCAATCACTGAAGGACAACATACACAATAGTATTTGCAGTCTATGGTCAATGTTTGATTGATGATCTATAGAAATACATTAATCACATCATATCTATGTTTGGACAATACACAAAAACACAACATGACACCCACTATCTTCACAGCTGTATAGACTTGAACTGAAATCTACCTCTTTCTCCCAGTTAGAACCATAAGTGTGATCAGTTAGAACCATAAGTGTGATCAGTTAGAACCATAAGTGTGATCAGTTAGAACCATAAGTGTGATCAGTTAGAACCATAAGTGTGATCAGTTAGAACCATAAGTGTGAGTTGTGTATGATGTAGAGTTGGAGATTTATTATTTATATTATGTATTAAGTACTGTGTGTGTGCTCCTCATTCCTACTGTTCTTTAACTTAGATGCAACGGGCTGAGTGGATAGCACTCTCGCCTCTCAGCAAGAAGGTCTTGGGTTCGAATCCCGGCCGGACCAGGGCCTTTCTGAGTGGAGTTTGCATGTTCTCCCCGTGTCTGCGTAGGTTTCCTCCGGGTACTCCGGTTTCCCCTGCCACTAAAAATATGTACAATAGGTCTGGCATGCGCCTCCTGTTTGGCGACCCCGCTCCCATCTCTGTGTGGAGTGAGAGGACAAATGCCCAAAAAATAACAATTGTAAACCGCTTTGTGACTCTGGTCTGTGAAAGGCGGTATATAAATAAAAGCTTACTTACTTACTTACTTACAATGACATTTTGCCTCTGTGGGACGGATAAAGGATCTCTTATCTTAAACAAAATAACAAAAAGACTTGAACTGAAGAAACCAAACAATGATCAGTAAAATGAAACAACCAGCCGCAACTATCACTGCTGCTCTAGTTTCTTTAATGAATTCCAAACGTCCACGATGGATTCATACAATATTAAGCTCACACATGCAGTATTTACAATTGAGATGATTCACTTTCCTTGTTCAGAACATTTTCCCTCTTTTCTGACGCTGTGTGTGTGCAGTGCGCCGCTGCAGCCCACTGTTCCCTCCAGACAACGGCCACATGAAGTGTGACAGCGACAAAGACAACTACGGAGCCAGCTGTGACTTCAAATGCAGCGGGGGCTTTGATCTCCAGGGCAGCGCCGCCAGAGTCTGCCAGTACGGCCTCACCTGGTCGGGCTCAGACACCACCTGCACACGTACGCAGCTTTATTCATCTACATTCTTTATCAAATGTATCGTATGTGGTGTTTTTTATAGAACAGACATACAACAAGCAAAAGAAATGTATACGTATGAAGAGAGGAGAAACATCCGATGCACTGTAGACAATTGAATAAAAATCCTTTAATGAACAGGGATTGTGCAACACGTAGGGCCTTCCTCAGTGCATTGTTAAAAATAATATATTCATACATTCAATTCAATTCAGTTTAAATATGTGTAGCCCTATGTTCATATTGTAACTTATTGCACACACTCTCAGCAGTAACAAAATAACAGAAATGTATTTATCAAAAAGTACATATACACAGTACTAAATAAAAATAAATATATATATGCACAGCTCAAGCGTGTTTTCTAAGGCATTCTAAGTCTTTATATTGCCAAAACAGGTTGCCAGATCTTGAAAAATGTAGATGTGGAGGGTCTTCCCAAGTTTTACTAAAATGTAAAACATCCAAAACATCCAAATTGCAAATGAAGGGGGGACTTCCAGCTAGATCCTTTGTCTAGCCAGCCACGTAAGAAATGCTGTAAAGTCAGCTTTAGGCCGTGGTAGGGCAGTTGTGTCAGGGAAAAGGTCAACTGTACGACCTTCGAGAAGAACTCTAAAACTAATAATGTATGAAAAGATGCACAACAAGCGCACAGAGAGGAAATCTGCCTCTGACAGCGTTCTATTGATTCGTAACTCCCCCGCACAAACAATATCAACTTTGGAGCAACTTTTAGAACATACCCCAAGCACTTTACAAACCAGCTCCGTCAGCATTTGACTTCTGGGAAACTTTCATGAAACTTTTATAGATTTGTCTATACAAAAAGGAATACTTTACTAACTCTAGTTTTTTTCAATGCACTCTTAACAGCCTCATATATTTTTTATCTATTGAAGCCGTGTTCATATCTTATTACACAGGAAACTGTTTTGAAACTGCTCCCCAATGTCCCATTTGAAAATATTTTCTCACATCAAGCTATTTTTGGTTCAAAGTAACACGGAGCTAAAACATAGAAAATATCAGTCTCACACAGTCACCGGTTACAGCCTGATTAATCTATGTTTAAATGGTTTTAACCCTTTAATGGTTTGCTCAATCTTTTGGTGGATCGCTTTTTGAGGCTATGTCAAGCTTGGAAGTGAAATCTACCACAATGGGGCATCTCTGTCACTTGGTTTTAGGTACTTTTACCATCAAACTGCACCTCAACCATTTTGTAGAGGCCCCTAAAAAAACTAGGGGGTCCAAAATAAATGATAAAGAAATAAAAACTAAATTATTTTTGTTATTAGTGCTCCTACATCTCAGAAAAAAAAAAAAATGACATTGCTTTCTTCTAAGAGTGAACGTTAAAGCGTTAATGATTTCATTAAATGTTTCTTCTGTCTCAGCGATGAACATAAACGTTGGCGTGCGCTCGGCAGCTGCTCTCCTGGACCAGTTTTACGAAAAGAGGCGTCTGCTCATCATTTCTGCCCCTACAGCTGCAAACCACAACTACCGCTTCCAGATGACTAACCTGCAGGTGCGTGTGTGTGCGTGTGTGTGTGCGTGTGTGTGTGTGTGTGTGTGTGTGTGCGTGTGTGTGTGTGTGTGTGTGTGCGCTCCTTACAATGAGGCTCCGCTGGCGGTGACAAACATGGAGACGGGTGTTGAATGAATTGCAAATGTCAAAGCGATGAATAAATGATGGCGATAGTGACTCTAAACAGTCTATTCTGAGGAGCATGTTTCACCAACTCATCACCAACAATTATATCAGGACTTGTCCCTCTATTCCAAATTCTTCCTGACCTTCTCAGCTGCCAGTGCTAACAAACCAGACATTTTAGTTAAGCTTCCCAGAAACTGTCAAACTGTAGGGCTGGTAAAATGCCTATTTATAGATCACATTCTATCTTCATCAAAAACTTGACACAAACAGAGACTGTAAAGGTCGCCAGCAGACTCATGAAGTTTGGAGAGATGCAAAATGTCAGTTTGTGAAGTTTGCCTTAAGATGATCGCAGGATGCTATGAAACCTTCAAATCATGTAAGAAATCTGTAACATTAACAACTTTTACCCTCTGTGCACCTAAGTACGTCAGTGATTTTAGTGTCATATGAACCAACTCGCACTCTGAGGAGCACAGGGACCGGTCTCCTGCTGGGACTCTGAGGAGCACAGGGACCGGTCTCCTGCTGGGACTCTGAGGAGCACAGGGACCGGTCTCCTGCTGGGACTTGGGACTCTGAGGAGCACAGGGACCGGTCTCCTGCTGGGACTCTGAGGAGCACAGGGACTGGTCTCCTGCTCAGTGCTGAAAGTCAGGACTAAAAAGGGGAATCAGAATTTCAGATTAATGCAGCTAAAGTCCAAAAATCTTCCTGAAAAAAAATTTGAAATTTGGATTACAATTGGTTCTATTTAGCTGTGCCTGCAACTAAGAGATTGGATCTGTTCGTATTTGTGATCATTTGTGATTATTTATGATTTTTTTTCTTTTATGTTTTGAATGTTTCCTCTTATGCTTGAGTTGAGTTGCACTGTGTATGATTAGTGCTATACAAATAAACCTGCCTCACCTTCCCTATGACGATAAACCATGATTAGAATCCTCGGACATAGGACTGTTTTTATGAACTGTTACACGGTAAATCTCTGGTTAATGTTGCTCTATTTTTAAGCACAGATTTTTTCCCTTCCAAAGCACTTTTGGCATTAGACCCTAAAACCCTCGCCTGCAGCTGCCAGAATCACTGTGCATTGCTGCTCCACAAGAATAAGAGGTGTTTTATTTTTAATGATTGTCAAACCAGTTCTCTTCTTTCTGCTCTGACTGTTTTAGTAATATTTTCACGCTGTCAGGGTGTAGCGTAAATCTTCGAGGACTTTGAGGTGCCTAAGACGAAAAACCTGTTGAGGTATTGCTGTTTATTGAAATTCTAAAATAGGGTTTCCATTATGAAGACGGTAGCTCTATTTTCAATTTAATGAGTTATTTCGGGGCTTGGTCTCAGATGAAGTCTCTGAAAAAGAAAAACGAAGGATGTGCAATCAATGTTGGATGTGTTGTTTTATCGTGCGTATATTGACATTGTTGCTGTGTGTATTTAATGTAATGTCTGTCTTATTATTGTGTAGTAAAAGGTGCTGTATGACGTTGTGCTTTTTGTGGTTCTTTTGAAAGACAAGTTCAGAAGCGTTTCTCGAGCTGTGAGCCATCTTCAGAACTGTCACCCGCCTTGGTCACGTGTTATTTATCAGCTGATGTTACTTCCTGAGTAGGCGTGGTCAGCCTGATTGACCTGGCAGGCCGCTAAGACTGACCACGCCCCCTCTCGCCCGATGGCCTCTGGAGGAGGGTGTCCCATGTGTGCGATAGGAGGAAGGCCCCCTCGTCTCGGTTGATGCTGTTGTTGACCCACTTTCTAATATAAATGGTCTCCTTGATCTAGGTTTTTGTATTCGATGACAAGTGCCCGTTCTAGTTCATTATTATTTATTTATCTTGCAGTGATCTGAAATGGGTGATTTGAGGTTTTCCTGGTTTGCTAGAGAGTCTCCCCGTTGTCTCTTTTTCACACTCCTTCTGATGTTCCTTTTTTTTGTGTGGAATGCTCGGTAATGCATCTAACTTGTCTTTCAAAAGAACCACAAAAAGCATTTTTTCTCAAGACAAAATTAACCTTTTTGAACCATATATGACATTGTGTGTGTGTGTGTGTTTGTTGTGTGTAGCCTGCACAGTGCGGCCTGGACCTGAGGCATGTGACGGTGATCGAACTCGTGGGGACGTATCCGGCTCAGATCGGGCGAATCCGACACAGACTGCTGACCCCAGGACTGGCCCTTCAGCTCAGGTGACTGTGATTATCTGTGTGATACTAAGATGTGTTGAGGAAGAACAGGCATTTCAAACATAGACCATGTTCAACAACCCCTAAAATGATTTTCAATTATTACTATGAACCTGCAGCATTGATAGTGATCCGCTACGATGACATTTTACACAAAAATAACCATGTAATTTATTGTATTCAAACATGTTTACCCAACACGCAAATGTAAGTTAAATAGTTGAATATAAAGAAAATAAATCATCACTCTTCAATTACATCTTTTCTTCAATAATTGGTCCAGTTTTGGTTCAATCCAAACAGTACACCCCTTTTGTCCAAACTCAGTACGTTGTAAAATTACCATCATAATCTGAAATAATTATAATGAAATAAAACTATTCTATATTTTGGCCCTAGTGTGATCCCCCTGTTGTCATTAATCATTAGTACTCTTGATTATTGCTCGACTCAAAGCCCTCTGCTCATGTGTTTGTTGTACCTGAAAAATCAGCAATTACACTTTTCTAATCTGCATACTGGGCCTCAGTTTAAAAATGTCACAAACATTGGACAAAATAATGTTGTTGAATTAAGATTAGAGACGCTCATTATTATAAAGTTAATGAATAATACATTAAAATCTGCTTGTTTTATTTTATGTATTTGTCTGCTGTACACTGGGGGACTTAAGCACATGTATTCCAATACGGTTCTGAAGACATTAGATCGTTAACTTGCTAGAATGTCTACGATGCTTTATTGATCTAATGTCTATTGTGTGTACCAAGTAATATAATGTATATACTAGCAATAGCATCTTTATACAGTCTCACATATATGCGAATATATATTTATCTGAGTTATAGAACTATTATCCTAAACCAAGCACTTTAATGATCTTGCACTTAATTGAGTTTCAATTTCACAGTGTAAATTTGTGAAACTTTTTTAGTTGTTTTAAGTCTGTACTTTGTCGTATTTATGTACTTGTTTTGTGCACACTGGGGACTTTTGCGGATGTATTCCAATGTGGTTTTACTGCAAATGGCAAAAAAATCCTAAACTTCTATTCGTCGCATTGTTCTGACTTTTAATGACAATAATAAAGTTGACTCTAATCTATTCTAATCTAATCCATGATGCCTGCCGTCTCTCTCGTCACCACAGGCTCCTGCTGCGCATCCCCCAGCGCTCCTTCCAAATGCTGCTGATGGACAAGCAGGGCATGGACAAACAGCGCTACCCGTTCCCCGTCACCGCGGCCGAGCTCTTCACCACCATCGACACCTTCCCACTGCGCAAAGACGAGATGGTGCTTCAGCAGGAGGCGGGACAGAGCTGCCAATCATAGGAGCACTTTTTTCCCTCTCTCTCTCTCTTTCCCTGGACTGATGTCATCCCAATCCGCGTCACGCTTTTCACACACTCCTACCTGACCTCGGCGCTCTCACAGGCCGCCGTGCCCGTCACGAAGAGAGGCCAGCGCAAATGGACTGAGTCACACCGACGTATTGATTACCGCGCCGAAGGGAGAGGTATGATTTTAGTGTTTTGTACAAATATATATTATGACTGTATAGACCAACAAAGCTTTTCATTTTTTTATATTTATGTCTCACTTCTGTTAATAAAAAGAATAAACAACTGTTCCGAGCCTGTGAGTCTGTGTTTTCATTTTGGCACAGCTGAGTGGGGCTTTGACAAGATACATGGTCATAATGCAGAAAGAAATCTATTGAGTATTCAACTTTGCTTTTGGGCATCATTTCTATTTGTACATTTATTTATCTATTCTATGCCAGGCTGATCTGTGCCTCAACGTCCAACTCAAAAGACGGATAAAAAAGACGAACGAATGAACTGATTCAGGAAGTTTAATTAAAATAGAATCGAAGAGGATATTTGGTAATGGTCCACTACTGAGGTACAAATGTGTCTGATGAAAACATAAAAATACAAGCGCAGCATAAGTGGCTTCTTCAAACTGCTGCTTTTAAATATTGTCAATAGAAAATTTATAAATAAAATAAATACACTTTTTTTTTTCTTTTTACATTTTCCTGCAACATTACTTAAAAGGCAGTTATTTAGAGCCAGAGAAACCCCACTTATTATTTGGCCCTGTCTTCTATATTGTATATTTAACTGAAAAATAGACCAAACAAAGCTTTTCACTTTTCCATATTAATGTCTCACTGTTAATAATAAGAATTATTGAGTGTTCCTTGGCTTTTTCGCTCAGCTGAGTGGGCTTTGATCCGATCCATTGTCATTATGCAGAAAGGAATCTATTGAGTATTCAACTAATTCAGGAAGTTTAATTAAAATAGCATAGAGAATATGGTGGTCATTCTCATGGCCCCCCATCTCAGCCGCCATGATGTTGGAGTTCTCCCCGGTGAATGAGAGGGTCGCGTCCCTCCGCTTACTGGTGGGGGACAAGTCTCTCACTGTTGTGATTAACGGCAGTGCAAGGTACCTGGCCTTCTTGGAGTCCCTGTCCCTCAACGCCAATGTGGGAAATGGCAGTGACACTTGGAGAGGGGTGATCGGGAAGAACGGCCCCCCTCATCTCACCCAGAGCGGTGTTCAGTTGTTGGACTTCTGTGCCAGTCACGGTTTGTCCATCACAAACACCATGTTCCAGCACAAGGGTGTCCACCAGTGCAGGTGGCACCAGGACACCCTAGGCCGGAGGTCGATGATTGACTTTGCCATTATATCATCTGACCTTCGACCGGGTGTCTCAGACACTCGGGGAGGTAGGCAGAGCTGTCAACCGATTTTTAGAGTTTTTAAACATAATTTCAAGGGCTGAGCCCCATAGCCCTCAGGTAGTACTATTATTTAAAAGTGGTTTGGAGTAAATGGGTCAAATGCCCTAAAAGCTATTGAAGAAAAACTGGTATTTTTAACCAAATAAATCATTTAAAAATGTTAAAAGCTTTTAAGAACAATTTCAAGGGCTGAGCCCCATAGCCCTCAGGTAGTACTATTATTTAAAAGTGGTTTGGAGTAAATGGGTCAAATGCCCTAAAAGCTATTGAAGAAAAACTGGTATTTTTAACCAAATAAATCATTTAAAAATGTTAAAAGCTTTTAAGAACAATTTCAAGGGCTGAGCCCAATAGCCCTCATTTATTACTATTATTTAAAAGTGGTTTGGAGTAAATGGGTCAAATGCCCTAAAAGCTATTGAAGAAAAACTGGTATTTTTAACCAAATAAATCATTTAAAAATGTTAAAAGCTTTTAAGAACAATTTCAAGGGCTGAGCCCCATAGCCCTCAGGTAGTACTATTATTTAAAAGTGGTTTGGAGTAAATGGGTCAAATGCCCTAAAAGCTATTGAAGAAAAACTGGTATTTTTAACCAAATAAATCATTTAAAAATGTTAAAAGCTTTTAAGAACAATTTCAAGGGTTGAGCCCCATAGCCCTCAGGTAGTACTATTATTTAAAAGTGGTTTGGAGTAAATGGGTCAAATGCCCTAAAAGCTATTGAAGAAAAACTGGTATTTTTAACCAAATAAATCATTTAAAAATGTTAAAAGCTTTTAAGAACAATTTCAAGGGCTGAGCCCAATAGCCCTCATTTATTACTATTATTTAAAAGTGGTTTGGAGTAAATGGGTCAAATGCCCTAAAAGCTATTGAAGAAAAACTGGTATTTTTAACCAAATAAATCATTTAAAAATGTTAAAAGCTTTTAAGAACAATTTCAAGGGCTGAGCCCCATAGCCCTCAGGTAGTACTATTATTTAAAAGTGGTTTGGAGTAAATGGGTCAAATGCCCTAAAAGCTATTGAAGAAAAACTGGTATTTTTAACCAAATAAATCATTTAAAAATGTTAAAAGCTTTTAAGAACAATTTCAAGGGCTGAGCCCCATAGCCCTCAGGTAGTACTATTATTCAAAAGTGGTTTGGAGTAAATGGGACAAATGCCCTAAAAGCTATTGAAGAAAAACAGGTATTTTTAACCAAAAAAATCATTTAAAAATGTTAAAAGCTTTTAAGAACAATTTCAAGGGTTGAGCCCCATAGCCCTCAGGTAGTACTATTATTTAAAAGTGGTTTGGAGTAAATGGGTCAAATGCCCTAAAAGCTATTGAAGAAAAACTGGTATTTTTAACCAAATAAATCATTTAAAAATGTTAAAAGCTTTTAAGAACAATTTCAAGGGCTGAGCCCAATAGCCCTCATTTATTACTATTATTTAAAAGTGGTTTGGAGTAAATGGGTCAAATGCCCTAAAAGCTATTGAAGAAAAACTGGTATTTTTAACCAAATAAATCATTTAAAAATGTTAAAAGCTTTTAAGAACAATTTCAAGGGCTGAGCCCCATAGCCCTCAGGTAGTACTATTATTTAAAAGTGGTTTGGAGTAAATGGGTCAAATGCCCTAAAAGCTATTGAAGAAAAACTGGTATTTTTAACCAAATAAATCATTTAAAAATGTTAAAAGCTTTTAAGAACAATTTCAAGGGCTGAGCCCCATAGCCCTCAGGTAGTACTATTATTCAAAAGTGGTTTGGAGTAAATGGGACAAATGCCCTAAAAGCTATTGAAGAAAAACAGGTATTTTTAACCAAAAAAATCATTTAAAAATGTTAAAAGCTTTTAAGAACAATTTCAAGGGCTGAGCCCAATAGCCCTCATTTATTACTATTATTTAAAAGTGGTTTGGAGTAAATGGGTCAAATGCCCTAAAAGCTATTGAAGAAAAACTGGTATTTTTAACCAAATAAATCATTTAAAAATGTTAAAAGCTTTTAAGAACAATTTCAAGGGCTGAGCCCCATAGCCCTCAGGTAGTACTATTATTTAAAAGTGGTTTGGAGTAAATGGGTCAAATGCCCTAAAAGCTATTGAAGAAAAACTGGTATTTTTAACCAAATAAATCATTTAAAAATGTTAAAAGCTTTTAAGAACAATTTCAAGGGCTGAGCCCAATAGCCCTCATTTATTACTATTATTTAAAAGTGGTTTGGAGTAAATGGGTCAAATGCCCTAAAAGCTATTGAAGAAAAACTGGTATTTTTAACCAAATAAATCATTTAAAAATGTTAAAAGCTTTTAAGAACAATTTCAAGGGCTGAGCCCCATAGCCCTCAGGTAGTACTATTATTCAAAAGTGGTTTGGAGTAAATGGGACAAATGCCCTAAAAGCTATTGAAGAAAAACAGGTATTTTTAACCAAAAAAATCATTTAAAAATGTTAAAAGCTTTTAAGAACAATTTCAAGGGCTGAGCCCAATAGCCCTCATTTATTACTATTATTTAAAAGTGGTTTGGAGTAAATGGGTCAAATGCCCTAAAAGCTATTGAAGAAAAACTGGTATTTTTAACCAAATAAATCATTTAAAAATGTTAAAAGCTTTTAAGAACAATTTCAAGGGCTGAGCCCCATAGCCCTCAGGTAGTACTATTATTTAAAAGTGGTTTGGAGTAAATGGGTCAAATGCCCTAAAAGCTATTGAGGAAAAACCCATACTTTTCCATCAAAAGTCTTTGAAAAAACCATGAAATACAATAAAATATTAAATGTGGTAGACTAAATGTAATCTTTAGGTGTATTTTCTATCTCTTTTCATTAAAATTGTTTATTTGTATCATATTATTGATTTACACCTAAACTACATTTTTTACACAGACAGTAATTCATAGACGGTCCCTAAGTTCGAACGATCTTAGTGCTGGAGGCGAATATCCAACGTCCAACGTGAAACCAACTTCACCGCGGTCTATATTCGATTAATAAACAAATACATTTAGCATTAGCATCTGATAGCCTGGAGTCATTCATATTCGGGATCTCGCCTCTTCCGCGTGTGTGGGCTAATAGATATTTGATTGTGAAACGAATTATGAATGAAAGATGAAAATTGTAGCGTGATTTCGTGATCTGCTTAGAGACCACCCACGGAGATCAAAGCTTCCCGCAATAAAGCGTAAGTACAAATATGGGCCTATCAGAGGAGCGCATCCGGAGGTCCTGAAGGGGGCGCTGTGGGGGCGTACCGGGGCTGCCAGGGCTGCTGAGAGCAATAAGCGACCAAGCCTATACCTAATATGTTATGAAATATAATGTAAAAATAAGAAACCATCTGACCTACAAGAAAGAGTTTATGTGTGTGCGAGAGAGTTTGACCTTTTCATATTTCACATCAAAATGTTAAGATAGGGAAGAACAATCGATTGGTCCCTTGGTGTGGAAATGTCAGTGTTGGACACAAGGAGCCTGTTTGTACACAATATCAATTTTGCATCTTCTGTTTTAATTTACTGTAATTGTTTTTTTTTTTACAAATTGCTTTGTGTATGAACTGTGCTTTACTATAAACTTGCCTTGTCGATGCAGGAGGGTCTTGTTGGACAGTTAGTGTCCAACAGAAAGGATTGGTGATGATCAGGACACTTTAGCATTCTACAACATGTATGGACATTTTCTTCTGTGTGTGCTTTATATTTTTCATGTGTTGTAACTGTTGATTCTCTGACCTGTGTTGGTGATTTCAATGGTTTTGTTAAGTCCTCTGAGATTACTTCTGTTGTGACCTTGGCTATACAAGAATAAATTGTATTGTATTGCCTACCCTAAAGAGATTCCGGATTTATGCTACAGTGGGGAAGTTTCAGTGTTGCATCACAAGTAACAGAACAGTATGAATAAGGAGCACACAAGACTAGTGAATATTAAGTATAGCACAAATCTATACTTTAAAAACAAGATTACAAAATCTATACAAAATATATAGTTGTATGTATACATCTGCAAATCTGGCTCATGTAGATAAATAGCTGTAACTGCTTCTTAAATTTGGCTTTGGGATCGAAGTATAGACTAACACTAGCAGTATTTGCTATTTAAACTGAAACCAAATTTTTTTTTTATTTGGTCTCCTACAACAAATGTATTCAAGCTATGAACAATACATCTATGGCAATGTCCACCCCAAAAATAGCAAGCCTGAAGGTGCTATAAAGAAGCAGACCTGGCAACTCGAGGTAATGTTCTTTACAACAAAAAATAAGCTTTTTTTATTAAAACTGCAGCCAACTTTCATCAGGATTAGAGGGCTATATAGTGATACTGTGATTATCAAATGTATCCTTCTGATTAAAGTGAATGAAAGATGCCGTTAAAAATAAAATATGCAGGTCGAACACTAAATAGCTTGGGTTTCTAAAGTGAAATTCTCTCTTCGGTTACAGTCTCTTCACATTTCAAAATGTGAAACTACAAGACATTTTCAGTCATGTTTTATCATATATTTGGAGGAATTACTGCATCAAACTATTTCCAATAAATGTATCTTTATTATGAAATATAAATATATAGTAGAGACATATTCTGTGTTAACACCAGAACTCCCAGAGCAGTCAATTTGACGGTTTTTGGTTTACCCAGTGTATGCACCTTTTTGGTCTTCATTACTTATGAATTTTTGTTTCTATATATAGTTTATTTATGAGTCTGTAATTATATGGGGTTATTAGTTACCAAAGCAACACAAAGTTTACATGCTAGCAGTAGCATTTGGTAGCCTTTCAGCAAACTGTTTTTGCTGTTCTAGTAAAAGTAAGTTTAAAAAAGGTTAAAAAAAACCTATAAATTACCTACTTTTAAAAATTCTTGTGGAAAAAGAAATACATTTCGTGGGAATTTCCCACAATTAATTTGGATTGAATGAGACCAGTAAAAGATGACATTGCCCTAATTGCCTTTAATCCAGTCAGATCCCATCACCTCCTACCATCCTCCACCTCGACACAACAATAAAATTCAGAATTCAAAACCATTGATGCAACAAAACAAACCAGTTGAATTTAAGATTTCGTGATTTTGTATTAAGAGCAAACTACTTGCTCAAAACTTCAACATCGGCATCTTTGGAGCGTAGTCCGTCAGAAGTGAAACCATGAGACCCTGCGACACACAATAGTTAAATAAATACCATGACATTATCCTCATAACAGTTAATAAATAAATAAGTCACCATGATGGTCCACTTCCTGTTCTCGGCCTCAGGGAACACCAGCGAGCGAGACGAGTAGAACACATGGTCGTCCACCTCCTCACTTTTCCTCGGGAGGCAGTGGAGGAAAGTCCAGTCTGGTTTGGCCACGCTTCCAGTCTGCAGGACCACAGCAGCAGTAACATCATGGCAAGGTCAGGCTACTGCAGATTTGGAAAAAAATGGTTCTGGACTAGTTTTTGAGCCGGGTTAACAGCTGCACTAAGACTAGTATTTACTTTTTTCTTTAATAAATATACCATGATGTTGTGAACAAAACAGACCACAATATTATTCAAAAACATGCTACATTTTGCACACAGATAAGAAAGAGCCCTGTGAGTCACAATTTGACACTTTGGGTTGAGAGCTGATTGGCTAAGGGAAGGTGGTTGGCTGTCTTAAAAAGCTGATCTAAAGATGGGACCTGTTTTGAGACCAAGGAGCTAGTTATGGATATATAACATACAGTTACCCAGCTTTAATCTCAGTGTTAACTGTAATAGAATTTAGAACTCGAGGTAAACCAAATTTCTTGTGAAATTGAGCTGGTGCTTTTGTGTTGTTGGTGTGAGCTCACTCTGCATTACCTTCATAGTTATCTGGTAACCTTCGAAGTCCTTGAGCCTCTTCCTCTTCTCCTCCTCTTGGCCCATACTGACCCAGGTGTCTGTGACCAGGACATTACTGTCGTGTGCCGCTTCCATTGGATCTGAGGTCAGCACCAGCTGGGTCCCAAACTGAAGAACAATCACATCAGTCAGTTCAGGCAGAGCGCCAGTCGGAATATATGATGTGTACCTCTGCGGAGAGTCGCTGTGCCTCCTGAATCACACTCTGCTCCGGCTCGTAACCCTGACAACACGCACAAAACAAACATTTACAATAGAGTGATTAATTGCAGTCAAATAAAAAAATTAATTGGTGTAATTAGCAAATTTCAAAGACTAAACAGATTGGTCCAAATGACCAATCTGTGTTTAATCCTTGTGCTGGGGTCAAAATGAACCAATACAGATGATTAAAAGAAGAAAAATACCCTGAATTAGGGGCATAAAAGGGTCTAAATGACCCAGACTCGGTCAAGTTAGAAAAATCATTAAAATTCCGCTACAGCTTCAGTCACTTGGAGAAATCCTTCGTCCCATCTTCTGTCACGCTTTTTGCCTTTTATAAAAGCTGCTTTTTATTCCTGAACGTCTTCACAATGTGTTTTTTATGTGATGTGGCCCAAAGAATTCTACCAGACAATATTTTTAAGATTTTCTACCAGACAATATCCTTTCTATTCTAATGATAAATTCAAGTGATTTTTCTTAGGAGCATTTTATCAATGGAACAAGCGTGTATCAGTAGTAGTAGTATAAAATATATACATTTAAATTGTTGCAGTGAATCATTCAATACTATGAGGAAAAATGGTTGTACTATACAGGTTTAATCTATAGATTAAACTCCATAGACAGGTTCTGAAAGTGTGGGAATTGTGTATTAGGCAATCATTTGTAAGCAATGTCATTCTGAAGTTATTATTTTTACTCTGAAGCAAAAAAACAAACAGGTTATGACAAATTGGTCTGAACAATTGCAAATAAACATTTTTCCAAAACTGTGCCGCCCTAATGGATAAGACATGGTGTAATACTATGTACAGTCGGGAAAAAAAAGTATTTAGTCAGCCACCAATTGTGCAAGTTCTCCCGCTTAGAGATGAAGGGGGCCTGTAATTTTCATCATAGGTAAACCTCAACTATGAGAAAAAAATACAAAAAAAAGCCAGAAAATTACATTGTCCGAATTTTAGGTGCAAATTATGGTGGAAAATAAGTATTTGGTCAATAACAAAAGTCTCAATATTCAATATTCATCTTTGTTGGCAATGGCAGAGCTCAAACGTCTTCTTTAAGTCATCACAAGGTTTTCACACACTGTTGCTGGTGTTTTGGCCCATTCCTCCATGCAGATCTCCTCTAGAGCAGTGACGTTTTGGGGCTGTCGCTGGACACAGACTTTCAACTCCCTCCAAAGTTTTTCTATGAAGCATGGGTCATGCTGAAAGATCCAGCCACGTCTCATCTTCAATACCCTTGCTGATGGAAGGAAGTTTTCATTCAAAATCTCATGATACATGGCCCCATTCATTCTTTCCTTTACACAGATCAGTCGTTCTGGTCCCATTGCAGAAAAACAGCCCCAAAGCATGATGTTTCCACCCCCATGCTTCACAGAAGGTATGGTGTTCTTTGGATTCAACCAAGCATTCTTTCTCCTCCAAACACTGGCCGTATGACATTCTCCCAATCCTCTTCTGGATCATCCAAATGCTCTCTTGCAAACTTCAGACAGGCCTGGACATGTACTGCTTAAAGCTGCACTAACTGACTTTGGGATTTTGAAGCCGTGGACTCGCTGGCCTCGCTCTTTCTGCTCCCCTCCCCGCACCCACGAAGCTATCGCCCCCCACACACACACACAGTGTTGAGACGGAGCTAGCCTCTCCCAATATGGATAATACATGGATATGGATTTGCACGTGGATGGCGTGACCATAGAACGATAGAACCGGGAAGCGCGGAGGAACGGGACTTTCTTTTGGATGGCTGTGATCGCTGTGTAAGCAGTAACCGGTGACGAAGACGAGAAAGTTTCAGGTTAGCTCCTCGGCTTGTTGTGCTAACTCAGCTGTCTGTGCTAACGGACCTGGAGATTTCTCGCGAAAGTGGGGGCTAGTGGTGCGCTGTGATTGGTCACAATCTGCGACCCGAAACACATTCTCTTCCTTGTTTCATCAAAACTCGATCAAAAATATAATGTCAGGCCAGCACAAATCTGCGCTACTTTTTCTTCAAAAGGACGTATATCCCAATGCACTACATGGACATGGATAGCATTTTCGTAATTAATACGAAAATAAAGTCAGTTAGTGCAGCTTTAAGCAGGGGACATGTCTGAGCGTAGTGTGTTACTGATGGTAACCTTTGTTACTTTGGTCCCAGCTGCAGGTTATTTATTAGGTCCCCCAGTGTGGTTCTGGGATTTTTGCTCACCATTCTTGCGATAATTTTGACCCCACAGGGTGACACCAAGCTGCTTACCTATTGCAGATTCAGTCTTCCCAGCCTGGTGCAGGTCTACAATGTTATTTCTGGTGTCCTTTGACAGCTCTTTGGTCTTGGCCATAGTGGAGTTTGGAGTGTGACTGTTTGAGGTTGTGGACAGATGTTTAAAAAGTGGAGGACAGAGGAGCCTCTTAAAGAAGCTATACCCGATTTCTTTTCTAAGTAGTTCATAAAAATGCTTTTTACTACATACAAGTTGTATCATAATACATAATTTAATTGAAAACTTGAGGTCATTGATTCCACTGTGTATGAAATTCAGGCAGTGAAAAGTGCTGAGTAGAGTCTGAGCGGGCCGCTCGTTCTCCTCCGCTCACAGAACAAGAAGCGACCAGTCTGCGTCCTCTAGCCTCTACAGCGCTGCTTAACCAGGGCTTCGACTTCAAAATTCGAATATAATTCTAAAATAAAAAATATATACATATTTGAACAAATATTAGACAACCCTTATAATTAGAAATGTATTTAATGACTGCAAATAAAATAGTTAGCTCCCAAAGGTTTCACCAGGACGTGCTAGGCAGGTAACAGCTAAGCTAGTTAGCTGTTTCATGGTAACTTCCGGGTTTTTTGCGATCGCTTTTTGTCACTTTAGTATTTTTGTCATGAAAACGTTGACAGCAAATTCTGAAATCGTCCGTGCATGTGTGTTAAGGATGTATATGTATACTGTATTGTCCGATTGACGTTTAATGGTGTTGATTCATTGATATGTATTTGTTTATTGAGCGTGGCTAGCTCCGCTAGCTTCTCTACACAGACAAGTGTGCAGAAAAACTGCACAATGTAGTGACAGGCGCTGATACTGTAGCTTGTTGTACTTGCAGAGTAATGGCAGTATTTTACACACCTGAATTACAAACAGAGATTGCATTGGGGCTGCGGTCATTATTGGTTTGAGAGTTGTTATCAAGAAAAAATGATCAGAAGAATTGCATTCAAGTCAATGGAGTGCTGCTGCTGTGAGGAGCTGTATAATAAATTATAATTAAATATTAGAATATATTCTAATGTATCTAGTGGGGGGGGGGGGGGGGGGGGGGGGGGGTAGTGGGGGGCGTTTGAAAATGTCTCCAAATCACTTAGTGCAGCTTTAATACGTCAATTGCGTTTTCCGCTATTTTCATGCTCCCAGATGTCTATTCTGTATATATGTATGGGGATTAGGTTTAGACCATATTTTATTGAGCCAGTAGGTGGCAGCAGCGCTGCGTCTGGATGTTTTGAAAACAAGATGCACTTCTTGTGCCTCTTTTTCTTAGCTTTTTGACTGAGACTGGTGATTTCAGTAAAACTTCCCTCTACTCAACTGGGGATTACAGGGGAACAAAACAAGCTAGAAACAAAATAATTTTTGCTGAGGAAAGTAGACAGTCCATTCTTTCAGAATCTGGTTTCGGATTTCAGATAGTCAGATAGTACACAATATTCTGTGGGTCTTGAAAAATCAATAAAAATCATCAGAAACTGCTGGCAATATGAGAGGACCTGTTCTGAAATAGGCTGGCAGGCAATGAGTTAAAGAAGGAGTTACAGGTCTGTGAGAGCCAGAAATCTTGCTTGTCTGTAAGTGACCAAAGACGTAATTTGCAATTTTGTGATTTTCTGGATTTTTTTTTCTCATTCTGTCTTTCATAGTTGAGGTTTACCTATGATGAAAATTACAGGCCTCCTTCATCTTCTTAAGAAGAAGAACTTGTACAATTGGTGGCTGACAAAATACTTCTTTGGCCCACTGTAAGGGGTGACAACCTTTGGTGTTGCAATCTTAAGGTGAACTCCTAGTTTGGCTGCAGTCATCATGAAAGAGTGGAGTACATTGTTTCCATCTCCAATCCAGCTCAGAGTCAGTCCATTCAGAGACCCGTAATGCTCCTGCAGAACAAGAACTTTTTCAGCCAGTGACACACGAGCGTGAGGCGAGTATTGTCCAGGACAGCACCTGCAGAGTGAGGAAGTCCGCTAATATCTGAATGGGGTGGTACATGTCAGACAGACCATTGATGATGGGGATGGAAGTGTCTTTAGCGAGGTCCTCCAGTGTGGCGTGACTGTACACTCGGGCCAAGACGATGTCACAGAGCCCCGAGAGCACTCTGCAGACACGGGAAACTTCTTATTCATTTTACATTTGAGATTTCACTAGTTCCTCTCTTTTACCTGGCTGTGTCTGTCGAGCTCTCGTTCACTCCGAGGTGAATGTCTTGGGAAGTGAGGAAACAAGGGTGCCCTCCAAGCAAAGCAAATCCTTCAACATAACGTGCACATTTTAAAACTATTGCTAGCTACTTTTGGAATTATGTATTTATTTGTTTTGTTTGTATGGATGTGATTCTGCTGCTACTTGACACCAGAATTTCTCCTACGGGGATCTATAAATTATCCATCCATCTACACAAGTACATCACAAAAAATGATTCAGATTCAGTTTATTTGCCATCTGCAGTAAAACCACATTGGCATAACTGTGCAAGAGAACCCCAGGGTGCACCAGGATGTACACACCAGAGCTGGCGCCATATTTCAGCTCAATCGACTTGTACGATCATTGATGGATGATTGACGCTTTATGAGGGCCATAATTAATGATAAACTTTGATAATTCATTAGGTGTTTGGTATTTTTATGCATTGGACCAAAACAAAGCTCAAGTGATGCCCCTGGAGAACATCATCATGGAGAAAACTTGTTACACATAGAGTTGTTTGATTAAAAATATTTTCTAAACACATTTTCATTTCATTCTGCAGTCGTTATAGAAGAATCTGAGTCGTAAAACCTCTTCTCAGCATGTTTGAGTCTATATAAAAGGTTAAAAACACTACATTTCAAAACTCCCATTGTGTCCTCTGGTAAGACACTTCAGCCCTATGGCCGTGTGTGTGTTTTTTTTAATTTAAGTTATCAAAAGCTGCATTATGGACACATTTGTTAATTTTACCTTCTTAAATCTAGGGCTTTTTTAAAGAGCATTTTCTAAATTGCAGTGTGGTAGATTCCCACCTGTTGAGAATCATTGCTTTCTCGTCCTGTTTACTTGTTTTCGCTCATATCTTTTATGGCAAACTAAAACATGTTTTTTGGGGTTCTTCGGCATAATTACAATTCAGTTAATCTTGTATAGACCTAAATCGCAACTCGGAGGACATAACAAAACCGTTGAAACTGCCAACACACAAATGTATTTTTAATTCTGTGTTAGTGGACACGGTTTGATCCAAATGTTTACTCATGACAGTTCCATGTGTGCATTCCATATGAAGTGAGTCCAAACTGTTTTGTCTGAAGCGTGTCCTCTCAGCAGTCCTTTTGTCCTGCGCTGTCTAAACACCACACACCAGTCCCTGACACTTAAACATTCCTAAACCACAATACATTTATCAACAACAATCATTAAAGCTGGAGTACCTCACTTTTTGTGCAATAATACGACTTATTCCCATTGTCTCAACATACAGAGCCTTGTAAAAGGTTTTCTTCTATCTTATTATAAAACATGTTATCTTGTGTGTATACTTGTACGAGAGATCCCTGTGAGTCACTATTTGAAGCTTTGGGCTGAGAGTGGATTGGCCGAGTGATGGTTCTTTCTTTTTCCCTTTTTTTCATGAAAAAGGACATTCGACAACACTTATGGACATTGGTCATCTGCCCTTTATGGACCATGGCTCTGTGTGTTTTATACAATTGCATTTCCTCTGTTTGAACCGTTTGATTCTCTGATCTGTGTTGCTGAATCGACAGTCCTCTGAGATAACTCCTGTTGAGCTGACATGTGACAGAGGCCCATACCTGATAGAACCATAATCCATCTAACTATTTTGACGGCTTTTAGATTTGTAAGTGTAAATCCTCAGTATATGTACCTTTTCCGGTTTATCCATCCATTCATTTTCTACCCTTTAATCCATTTCTGGGTCAGGGGGGTGGCAATCAGAGATGCCACCCAAGTCTCATAGCACCGGCCCCTCACTGACCCTCTGCAGGTGGTGAGTCCACAGGAGGACGGCTGCTCTCTGAGTGTGAGCATAGCCTTGATCTTTCAGTGGGGGCTTTGGGCAAAGTGGGGTTAAGTGTCTTGCCCAAGGACACAACGACAGCAGTCATCAGTGGGAGTCGGTGGAGAAGGTGTAGAGGTGGGAATTGAACCCACGACCTTCAGGCCTGAAGGCCAATGCTCTACCAACTGAGCTACTGTCGCCACCTTTTCCAGTTTATTTCTGTTAAATTATTTTCATGAAATGATTATATATTTGACTGCTCCCTTTCTATGGCTTAAAGCCCCTTTTCTCTCAGGTCATGGACTGGTTCTGGTTCTGATGAAATTATATTGTCCATAGCAACGCATGCGTTAGCGTTCAGTCTGTTTCTGTTGTATTTGGTAAAAAATAAAATAAAATAAAAACCATTTAATAAATTCCATTGATTTGAATGGGAGCCGTCAAAAAGACTGCAGCCCTCAAGTCAGTGTCAAGTCACCTGTTTCAGTAGACATTCTTGTCCTGGTGCTCCTCTTCTCAAATATCATTGCAATTGACTTTCCTTGCAGAAGAGGCAGATGCTGGAGGTAAAAAGCAAACGTGAGAATTAGATTTCTCAGACGCGAGAGGTATCACCAGAACGTTACCTCCTTGTTTTGTTTGATGCGATGCTTGATGTCTGCTGACGCCCACAACAACTTCTTGATCTCATCGGAACCAAAATCTTTTAAAGTCAGGAAGCTGCGGCCTCTTAACTTGACAGGACCGTGAGCTGCGGATCCAGCGCTTCAGACAATCCGAATTAAACCAGGTCGTTATGAATAGAACAGGTTTACATTTACAAACTCACACAGAGATCACTCTTTCTTACCTCATGTGCCGCGATTGGCTCCTGCCCAGAGAGTGCAAACATTTCCAAACGCGACTATTCGGGGAAAACAACTGAAGCGACATTGCAGTTTGAAGAAAGTAAAAGTGATGTAACTTAGTAAAGTGTTTCGTCAAACTCACTCCTGCAGCAGAGACATGTGGCCACAGCAGGGGCGGGTCGGCAGTGACGTAGGCGACCAGGCGTGGTCTGCACCATGACACCAGATCCAACCATGGATCTATTATAATAACTCCAACCGGCTGAACCATACAAGGATATGATTTAGAGTTGATATAGATTTAGGTAATGGATTAGGCAATATATGTAAGAAATAATATCAGAGAAACAAATAAAGTATTATTATTATTATTATTATTATTATCATTTTTATGTATTTCTTTTTTTTATATACATAAAAACCATAATAAATACAATACAAACAGATCCCTGGATGAAACCGTTTTTTTTTTTTTTTTATTAAGTTAATTTTTTTTTTTTTTCCTAAAATAAAACACACAGCATATATGTTTTGGTATAATTGATACAGAAATAAAACAATATGTCCAGAATGTCCACCAATATGTCTGCTTGTGTTGTTACTCTTTTCAATAAAATGCACTCACATACATAGTGCATCACAAAGCAGGGAGAATAAACTGGCATTTGGTTGCATCCAAATCGACCAGAATTCATTATTTATTGTCACTTTTCCCTTTTTTATTTAACTACATGGCATTAAAACATCTTTAAAAGGTGCTACATTTTTCAAATACTTAAAGCACTATGAACGATCCCATATTGTATAAAAAATAAATATTAAAGAAAACGGGTGGCTAAGCCCGGCCTTAGCCACCCGTAAACTCCGGTCAATCATCATTTCGCTGCAGTACGAAATGTAATTTGTACGATGGTGTGGTCAGACTGTTGGTGTGGTACGTCCAGGCTATGGTTAAGCAGTATGTCCTATTCACTTGGATGCAGCCCACAACTGCAGCCGTACTTACACTAGGGGGCAATGTTGTGCCGTCATTGTCAGTCCACATCATGTTGGCCTGTTGTATTAAGTATGATTCTGTCTTTCAACAAGGTCCTCTGGGTGTTTTTGCAACTAAAATATTTGGAACACACAATTCCGTAGTCCCATTCCAAACGAGGCTTTGATAAATGTAGATTCCTCTTCATCCCTGTGGGCACATTCACAACCAGAGACCACTGCTCTCCTCATAAACTCCAGTCCCACTCTTGGTCCAGTGATCTTGTGAAGATAAACAGAACCACATTTCCAGTCCTCTCACAAACTCAGAATGAAACAGAAAGACTATTCTCTTCAACACTCTTTGCAACACTCCCGCACAGTTTTGATATCTAAAAGCATTCCATCAATCAAAGCAAGACAAGACATAAAAGGTGTTTGAGAAGCCTTTTTTTCTCTTCTCTCTTTAATCGACACCTTCACCCCAGGAGTGTGGCGCTGAATTAGCTCCAAAGCCCGGCAGTCCAAAGAAGAATCTACACATTGCAGATATAGGCTTGTTACATGTGTTGAGGAGCAAAGTTACATGCAATGACACATATTGAAAATGACAACTGCCCTTTAGTCCTGAATGTATGTGTCCATTCATGACAATATTCTGAGTGACTTTCCAGCTAAAAAAGCTCAGTGTGAATACAAGTGGGAGCTGCTACAGGCACAGACTGCTTCACTGACCTTCATGAACCAAGCTGCTATTGTGTCAGGATCGCCATTGGCTTTTGTAGTAATCGACAGAAAAACTAACCACAAAAAGCCCACATCTTCGAAAGTGACTCTCGCCTCGACCACTTTGGATTTGAACCTGCACATGCTAATAGACTGTAAAGGCCTATTAAAGCTGGGGTACCTCACTTCTTGTTTCATACATTATGTGATCCTCTCTTTGCCACTTTTCTGTCTGATCTAAAGAGGTGACAGAGGTGAAAACGGGAAATAGAACCAAACTGAGAGCGAGCAACCAGTCGGGAGGATTTGTTTTTTTATTATATGAAAGTAAGGTCAAGTGGAGGAGTTCAAATTTCTCAGGGTTTTGTTCACGAGTGAGGGGAGGAAGGACTTTGAGATTGACAGGCAGATCCGTGAAGTCAATGAGTTTCCTCTGCAGGCCGGGCACTTCCTGAGTGATGGGGTAAGAAGTTGGTCTCACAGGAGGAGCTCGGAGTAGAGTCACTGCTTCTCCACACTTCCCTGGGGAGAGGTTTTGGGCAAGTCCTACCAAGAGGACAAACCCTGTTACATCATTAGATCAGTTTTTAGACAGAAAAAGAGAGAACCAGCCAAATAGATCTCCTTCTAAAGCGTCAAAGAGTGATTCAAAGGATCTTTCTCCCAAGTATGCAAAAGAGAAAATGCACATTTCATTTTTACAGGACTCTTCGGGACTAACAAAATCTGTTATTTATCAAACAAAAATGTTAGGTACCTCAGCTTTATTGTACATACAGGACACAAGGACATCAATTAAGCTTATTTTTGAACAGTCTATCTCCAAAAGGGATTGGAATTCACAACAGTGAATGAATGAAATGCATATTTTCTATGTGACCGTTGGAAAAACATAGATGAAGGCTTTCTTGTTATTGCCGCCCACATCTGCATTTGAGTCTGATGACTGATGTGATGAATGATGTGCGCCCACAAACAACATATGGTCAAACAGGATTTGGTATTAATTAGCACCTTACTTTTTATAGTACATATGTAAATATCCTACATATATAGGTCTAACCACACACCTTCGTAAAGACATTCGTCATCATGCTCTTGGGGGATCTATCGTTATGCGGCGTGCGTCAGTCTTCAATAACTTCTCTCGATGTATGTGTTTCGTTCTAAATGCCTTGTATTGAACTTGGATTAGTCATTTTATTGTGTTTATAGACAAATAAATGTACTGCTTAAAGCTGGAGGACTTTTTTCCATGAACAATAAATAGTCACAACAGAAATGTTTTCTAATAAACCAGACCAGTCTTTAAGTTAAAAAACAAAATTGTAAGAAAGAGCCCTGTGAGGCACTAAAAATACATTTAAGTGATAATTAGTGAAAGAAGTTTTGAAATTGAGGTGGAACAGCCCAATTTCTTTTTTTATTAGGTACCCCTTTAACAAGGCATTAGTGCTTTTGTACAGTAAATATGACTCAACACAAATGTACGTAAGCAGATTGTCGCGGAATAACGTAAAATCACCTATTTTTTATTATAAGTGGTTCCATGTAGAAACAACCATAAAGTGTTTTTGTATTGTTGATGTGTGGTGAGGTGGACATTTGAGGATTTGTCCTTCATTGAACAATGAAGCCCCATGTTTTTCAGAGAAAAGTGGGAGTCTTATCTTGCTAAAAACGGAGGATGCATGGGACTCAGAGCAGAACCAGACCAAGACTAGGAGCAAGTCCAGGACTTGGACTTCTGGTCCTCAGGCTTCTCCCAAATATGATTAATAATTGATTAATAATTGTTTAGCTCAATTTGTGTGACTATACTACCTCTAAGACTTAGAGGTCTTTTCCTCCAACTTTTCCTCCAGGCCTGAACTTAGAGTCTAAGTTCAGGCCTGGAGGAAAAGTTTTTGGTGCAGCTCCAGGGACAGGTATAGGGAAACAGGAGCCCAAAGAGTTTGTAATTAGCATTTAATTGTAAAGAGTTTTAAATGTTTTTTGGAGAACTCTTTGATTTCTTGGTCTTCCTTTCTGGTAAAATGTTGTATCATGCTATAGAGAACGTATTAAATCACTCTCAAGACAGGACTAATATGTGTGTGCAGGCCTATAGTGTCGTGGTGGTCATTTTTGGTTCCTGTTTTATTTTGTAATTCTGTTCCCTTGTGTCTTTTGAAGTTTTACTTCCTGTTCTGTTGATTGCCCCGCCCTGATTTGTTTCACCTGTGTCTCTCAATTAAATTCCCTGTGCTCTTTCCCTCTTGTCAGTCCATTGAATGTTTGTTCTTGGTTAGTCTTCAGTTCCTGGTTTTTTTTCAGTTTAGATTTTTTGGATTCTTGTTCCACCACGTAACACATAGTTATAATCAATTAGAAAGAAGAGCAGGAGATGCTTGGGCAAATTGGCAAATCAAACAAATTACACAGCTCCCAAAAAACAAGGCAGTCTATTTGAACAGTTTGGAAGGAGCAGAAGTGAGAAGACGAGACATGCAATTGCAGATAAAAGAAAAATGTGCATCTGATGTTGACTCTCAGGATAAAACATCAGCAGTGAAGACCTAAGTGCCGCCATTTTCACAGCAGCACTTCCCGACGCACAGCATTTCCTCAAAAGACTTTGGAGGAATAGAGGAGCTTTAGAGCCGACCCCTGGGGACTGCTCCAACAGGAATCAGTCTGAGGCAGAAGGAAAGCAGAGGGTGTCACACAAATGCACCAGGTTTTACTGCACAAGCTTGAACTGCAGCTGAGGGGAAGACAGGGATGTGGCATCTTCACTGCATCTGTTTGACAACTAACAGCAGTAGCAGTAACTCTAGTGCACACTGGGGTACGTTTCTAATGTGGTTTTACAGCAAATGGCAAATAAACTGAATTTTAATTATAGTATTAGTAGTAGTTGTAGCAGTAGTAGTAGTAGTAGTCGCAGCATCACCCAGCCCCGTGCATTACACCCCCTTCACTCTTGTGGTTACCATAGAAACAAAGATCTTGAAACTACCCCAGTTTGACTTAATTTTCACATGCCAAATTTGACCAAAGTAGTCACAATATTCACGGCTTTCAGAGTGATAATACTTGGAACATTGTTAAATAGGGGAGCTGGTAAAATACAAGTTTTCGGAGATTTACACCAAGTATTGTCTCCTGATCAAACGTAAGCCTTGGGGATCAGAAGGCAATTGTGTGAGCTCGAACACCACGGGGTTGAGTGAGAACAGCACAGCTAGACGGTTATGGGTTTGATCCCGTGTCGGCCTGGGCATTTCTGTGTAAAGTTTGCATGTTAAATTGCTCCCTGTTTCTGGGTGGGTTTCCTCCAGGTGCTGCAGCTGCCACCCCTCCTAATACATGCACCATCGATAAAATCCAAATGGGGACAAACGCAGATGATACATTTCCCTACAGTACAATGAAGTATTTGTGTTTTTGTTGTATTTCCTGATTTTCTGATCTGTGTTGGTAAATAGACAATTCTAGGGCTATACAAAATGTAATGGAAGTGAATTGAATTGAATAGATGTCATTTATTGGACAGGATATGGTAACATGGCAATCAATATTGCTTATTCAAGATGTAAATTAGTGAGTTAAGCTGAGTTCCTAAAGATATTTCTGTGTTAAATTCATCCCAAACCATATCATACTGCAGACTGAACCAATTGAGTGGTTTTTAAAATGATATTTATTGTTATATGCAAAAAATTAGAATAGCGTTCAAAAGTCCATTTACTTACTTTACAATGTGAAACAGATGTGACTCATTTCAGCAAAGTGAGATATATCAATTATTTATTCATTATAATGTTTATAATTGGCTTAGCAGATTGTAAAAACTAGAATCAAAACATTTCACAAAATTAGAATACTTTGAAATTAGAATGTCAACCTGTCTATGTCTATACCACAATGCATAAAGAGATGAAAAATAAAAAATATTACTCTGAGCACATTTTGACTGAAGAAGAAGCAACGGTTTTTGAAATAAGTCTAAATGGATTTGTCCCATTGACACTTGATTTCTGCATTTATTACAAAGTAAATTTGTCCATTATGAGATCATTAACGTTTCTAAAGTTTATTATCTGGAGTGCATATATTGGTTTCACATTTTAAGTTGCATCACAGAAATAAATGAACTTTGGAACACTACCCTAATTTTCTGAGTTTCACCTGTGCTTGTGCGTGTCACCTTGGTCCAATTTAAAAGTTTGAAAGACAGTGTTTGCGGGTCAGACGGACATAAAACGTGAAGTTGTAGCTGGGAGACCAACAGAAAGCAGCATTGATCAGAGACGGGCTGGTACGTGACCTGACTAGGACCTCTGCGCTCAGCCGGGTGAAGCGGTCCAGGCTGAACTCACATGTAATTACAGCTCAGGGAATCCTCTCGCGCCCCTCTGCTGCTTCCTGTCAGGACAAGGCACACTTCAGCTGCCTCTTGTGTGGACTCGCCTCCTCATAGCTCCACGCCTGCTCTGGTTTCAACAGCAAAGCTTTTAGTTACAAATATGATGCAAGTAGTTCAGATTCAGATTCAGATTCATTTTTATAATAATAACAATAATGCATCGGTTTTAAATAGCACTTTTTTGGACACTCAAAGACGCTTCACATGTCATTATTCATTCACTCCATACACAGTGGTGATAAACTACTACTGTAGCCACAGCTGCCCTGGGGCACACTGACAAGCGAGGCAACCAGTATGTGCCATCGGCCCCTCCGACTACCAACCATTCACACACACACCAGACTCATTCTTGTCAATGGGGGTGAAGTGTCTTGCCTCAAAACACAACAGCAGTTTGGCACTTTACAGCCGCAGCCGCCCCACTGTGGCATCTGGTGTTCCCAGGGGGGACACAACGACAGTAGACATCAGTGGGAGTTGATGGAGAAAGTCTTGTGGTGGGCTTGAACCTACAACCTTCTGGCTCAAAGCCCAATGCTCTACAAACTGAGCTAATGTCACCCATTTTAGTAGTGAATTTGCAGTAAAACCACATTGGAATACATTTTCGAAAGGCCCCAGTGTGCACCAGACAGGTACAAAAAAAGGTAAAATAAAATACAGGAACAAAACAATGTAAAAAGTACACAAACATAGCCAACTAAAAGTACAGGAATAAAACAAACTATTGAGAAAAGTGCAGAAAGCTACAGTATTGTCACTTTGAAATCGATCGACAGTTTCAATCCAAGTGCGAGATCATTAATGTGCTTTGTTTAAGGGCTTTGTTCACAGGAAAATCTGCAATTTTAAGTAATGTGTTCAAGATCTTTTGGGGAATGAATAATGCGTGACTATTTTCTAGTCCATGGCATTGGTAGAAAAGAGTTCATCTGAGGTTTTTCATCTCCCCCTCACATTGTGGGCCTTGTCTCTGTAATAAATGAAAATCCTGAAAACGATTGATTTCTTTATCGTTGCGTTTCCTGCGTTTACATTGAATTGGATGCTGCTCTTTGGACTGGACACAGTGCAGGGGCAGACAGAGAGAGGGTTACACTCAGGGTCAAACACAGAAATAAATATGTGAAAAGTTAATAGAAAGTTAACCTGGCAATCAATATGTTTACGTAATGTGTTCAAGATCTTTTGTAGAATGAATAATGCATGACTATTATCTGGTACACGGCATTGGTAGAGGAGGGATCATCATAGGTCAATCATCTCATCTCACATTGGGTAATAAATGTAAATCCGGAGCGCATCCGTGCATGTGAGGTCTTTGTGCCAGTGTCTGGAGAAGTACAGCAGCTTTAATGGAAAAGTCAAGTGGGTGTATGAAAATAGTATTCGAATTTCTCTGGTATTGTGTTGTATTAACTTGTGTGTAGGAATAACCCATGTCAAGGCACAAAGGTACACTGAAAAAAATGATAAAATATGAGGTAATAATTGCTTGAATTGAGTGGTTTTTATCTTAATTTGACATTAAAAAACATTTTTCAATGAGACAAAGTCATGTATTTCAAGAACTGTTGCTTTATTTTCTAATTCCAAGGGAGACAATCTTTGAGCAATTTTGTACTTATTTAACGTCACTTTTTGCAGTTGCATTAGAAACTTGCAACAGAGAGCAAGGTTCCTTACAAAGCACCTGTGCAGCATTTAACTATTCCGGTTAGGGTGCGTTCTGCGTTGTTGAGAATAATTATGGGCCTTTTTTGTGTAGATAGATACTTTATTGATCCCCGTCAGAGAAATTCAGGTGTCCAGTGTCCTCTGGTCCTAAGTAAAATGCTAAATGCTTCATAAGCATTTTTCAAAAAGTTACCATTCCTCCAGTGGATTTTCACCTTGGTTTCGGCTTTGCTCGGACCATGAATCTTCTCCGCTCTGATCAGGACCAGTGTAAAACCATGAACACTTTACTGCAGCAACATCTCTGGTGGAAAAAAAGCACGAAAAATAACAATTGTAAAGCACAAAACAACAACTGTTTCAAAGCTACTTAGGACTTGGAGCTTTTTTCCAGCGCATTCAAAAGAGATGTAAGAAGTGTAAGCTGTGTCCGATTAATAAGACACTGTAGTTTATAATATAGTTATAGTTTATGTCTGTAAAAGCAGCATGTTGAGTCATTCTGAACATTGCTTTTGTTCATCTGTTTTGCAGCTTCAACAAATCTAAGTGTGTGTGACACAAAACTCACGAATCCCTTATACTTTGTTGCAAAACTGCTGATGTAATCAATGTGACTTGTGTTGTGCTCAGAACAAAATTGTATCCAGAAACTATTGCTTCTCTCTCCTCGGCAGAATAAGACGCGGATATGCAGGACAGGATTATTCTCTGGTATTTGAACAAAATAAAGATATAGATAGTTATGCAAGAAAATACCAATTTAATTTTATTACCAGAGAAGCACCAAATGCACTTTTATATTCGAATGGGGAAGCATCAGAAGAATGCTAGTACTGTAGTATTCTACTGTGATTTAACCATTCTAATTAGGCTAGGTTTATTTTTGTATGATAAGCGACCGTATCTTATGACTTTAACAGATCTTCCTCTATCAGTGGGTAATTACAGGGCTGTGAGAACTCAAACAACATAAATATAATAAAAGATAAATGGCTCCTGTGGACTCACCACCGGATCAGTGAGGGGCTAGTGCTCTGTGAATGCAGCTCTGACGGCCATCCCCCCGACCCAGAAATGGATCAGAAAACGGATGGATGGTATCCTAAAGATCTTAGCTGTACAAAACATTACAATTACGAAAAACTAGCTTAATCAAGGCACTGAAAGTGTTTCTGAGACTTGCAGAGGGGGTTTCAAACTAATACTTGATGTGATGCTTACAACTGTTCCTGTAGCAGCATCACAATAAAAAGCAGATGAGGTGATAAAGTGAGGTGTCACTGCATTGTGATAGTATAGACAGACAGACAGATAGATAGGTAGATAGATACTTTATTGATCCCAGTAGGAGAAATTCAGGTGTCCAGTAGCAGCAAAAATAAAATTGATCATTCTAAAAAGCTTATAATAGTATTGATCAGCCACAGGCCTTCAGGTCACAGCAGCAAAGGTGGAGTAGCCGCTTGATTTGTACCATTTTCTCTGCTCTCGTCCAAAGTAAAATGCTCAATGCTTCATTAGCATTTTTCAAAAAGTTAGCCTTCCTCAGTGGATCCAGGTTATTGTACTTGCTGAAATAGTACAGTCTGACAGCAGTAGGGAGGAGAGACCTGCAGAACCTCCTCTTCTCACAGACAGAGCAGACAAAGTGTCCAGCAGGGGGTGACGGGGACAGCCCAGGACAGAGCTGGACTTCCTGATGGTCTTTCTGCTTCAGCTGACCACACACCAAACAAGGTTTTCAGGAATGGCCCCTGCACTCCAATAAAAATGTCATCAAGTCTCCTCATCGGGTCCAAAATACCTGTGCCTCCTCAGCAGGAAAAGCCGTATCTGCCCCTTCTTGAAGAGGACGTCTGAGTCCAGTCCAGCTCAAGAGTCAACTCTCTTTCACTCTGTCACTGTTTCTCAATGCACAACTTTCTCCCTGGTCTTCCCCACGTTGATGAGGAGGTATTTCTTCTCCTTGCTCTTCCTAACGTTGTTGAGAAGGTGGTTCAGCCTTTCACCAGCCTACAAAGTTCCATGTAAGTCCTCTGTACACTGGAGAGGAAGGGTGCAAAGACAGTCCCCTGTGGAGTCCCCACACTGCAGGTGTCAGTCAGACCCTGGCTCTCACAAACAGTCCTCACCAGGTCTTTCCAGCCTGTCCTTCAGAAGCAGTGGCTGATAGTGTTGAAGGTGCAGGAGAAAACCAAAGGTGCTGCTAAGATCATATGGAAGTAGAATGCATGACGGCAATACATTATCATTATTTATTGAGGTCTAGATTATAGAATTCCTGTCTGGAATCATGTCATTTTCATTTTGGCTATGATTATTATAGGCTTTTAATTAGGTCTGCCTTACATCTAAGAAATATATAACGTGACTAAATTCATCTCCTGTGGTTAGTTTGAATAAGTTATAAGTCCGCGTGGCTCAACCCAGTGTAAACTTTAGTGTAAACCCAGTGAGGCCAAATAACAGGGCTGAACCTGGGGCCACAGCGCGTGTTGGTAATTACAGCCTGACTTTGGCACCTCTCTTTACTCTCTTTAATATGAGTGGATCTTGGCGGCAGGAGGAGAAGCCTCCGTTGTTCCTTGATCAAGAGGCGGGCCTTTGAGGAGCAGGAATGCGCTGCAACTTTCCCTGCAGAGTGTTGCATTAAGAGTCAGACCCCAGCCCAGCAGAGACCCGCACTACTCCTTGGACATGAGGCCCCTGGTGATCTTCGCCCTGCAGCTCTGCCTCTGCGCGGGCTATGAAGGTAGGACGGGGCCACTGGGAATACTCACTGCCTGGAGGATTACTTTGCTCGCATCACCACTGGGACTCCATTCATCGCAGTAGTAAAAATCAGCTTTGCACTTTATTTGTGAGGGGTTTTTCTGCGTTCAGCTTCGTGTGGTGACTGGTCCGCTGGCGTGCGCACGTAGCGGAGGTCTGTGGAGTTATTTGTCGGGAAGCCGCTGTTTACGTGGAGGGTGAGACTGGAGGAGTGCAGTGTGCATCTGGGGGACATTTCTGCAGTCCTCCCACACAGAGCTCAAACATTGTTAAACCACTGCTCTTTTCACGCACGTCCTATTCAGAAAATCTATTTTTATCATTTTGATCTTAAGGTTTTTCAGCTGCTGTGGTCTGCATGTCTTATTAACCTTCTTTTATCTCTCAACTCCTGGTGTATGACCTTTTCGAGCCACCATGTATATTTAGGAATACAGCTCCTTTCAAGAAAACTTGGCTTGGCTTTTGGATGAACAGGGGAGGCTTTTGGTTCAGTTGAGGTGAATTTATGGTCTTGCGCAAATATATTTGCACACTGGGAATCATATATGCACCTTCCATCCCAACACAATATCAAGTTAAAAGTCTCAAGCAGTGACTTTACCCGGCCAAGTTATTGGTCATCATATCTGTGGAGAGGTGACCCAACACAATGAGAGAGCGGGGATTTACAGCTAGGATAAGTTTCAAGCTAAAAACGTGGAATTAATTAGTAATATAATCCATTAAGAAGTTCCCTGCTTTCTTAACAGTTAGAGTTAGATGCATGTATTTTTGGCCTCTGTCACATCTTCAGGTCAGATTTTTCAGTCAGAAAAGTGAAAAAGGGAGGACCCTGCTTATTCAGCCAATCAGCTCTCAGTCCAAAGTGTCAAATAGTGACTCAAATGGCTTTTATATGCAAAGGATAACATGTTTTCTAATAAGATGAAGACTGTATGTTGTGGTATGATGGTCTCACAAACTTTACTGGGACAAAAACTTGGATTATTCATGAGGAAGAGAAATGTATTGGTACCCCAGTTAATAATGTATGTCACATTTCAACCAAAATAAATTGTATATCCTTGGCCACAATCCGGCATTCGACTCACATAAAAGTTGTGCCGTATAAAGATTAAGATTCTTTCATTTGCCATTTGCGTTAAAAAAACACATCAGAGACAGAATATCAGAACAAGAATACTCCAGACAGAGCAGATAGTACATACCAGAGAAATTACGCATACTATAAACATAACAGTTCTGCTGAGCCACAACACGGCAAAGCTGTAGTGTAGTGTTGTGTTGCTTTGAGAGTGGCCCGCTGTTGATGATACAGGCTGAAACACGGGGGCCCCTGGCAGGCAGTAGATTGAAACAGTCAGAACGTGTGTGTGTAGCTGACAGATACAGATACACTGCGATGTTCCTTGTTGGTTCTGCTGCGACAGACCTCATTCAGTCCTGGTCGGTGTGTGTTTGAGTCTGCAGCGAGGTCCTTACATGTTATGAGATCCAGACAGGCAGCCGAACTTTGAAAACCTCATCACAGTTTCCAAGATTCTTGCTGACAATCCTGGAAGCGACACCTCGGGTTGCAGCCGATATCAATTATAAGCACAGGCAGTATCCCAATGATGTCTTGAGGGGAAAACCAGCGACAGATAAAGATTTAGCAGCTCCATCAACAGGACTGCTTTTATAACTTTTTATTCATTACATGAAAGAATGTGTACTATTCTCGGTTTCAACTGGTATAATATCTATATATAATCAATCTACTAGGGCTGTCAAACGGATACTATTTTTACGTTGATTTAATCGCATAAGTCCTGGTGAGATCACTCCGATCATCGCATGTATAACCTTCATTACCCCTCCCCCTCCCCTGGCCGTTAAATGGAATCTACAATATTACTTACCAGTGTTGGGTACGTTACTTTGACCCGTCATTCGTTATGTAAACGTTCCATTCCCACAAAGTAAATGACTCCTCACTGAGATACCACCCCTATCCCCGATACCTAGTTAGCAGTAACAAGTCGCCTATTAGCGATCTTTTAGTTTGTCGTTTCTGGTGCCCGGTACCGCGCTTTAGCTGGCTCGTCAATTGTAGGCAAACTTCCAAGAGGATTAATTGTTGCAACAACCCACGCCTATTATCCGTAAGATATGTTATTTTAGGAATACTGTCCAGCGGCAAAACAGGTATACGACAGGCCCAAGGTGCATTTCCTTCCTAGCATATTAAATTCTCCAATTGGATCCAACAAAACCGATTACAACACACTTGCACATGCCCGAGCCTCTTATTCCATTACTTCGTTCCCACGACCCCCCACGAGCACCCTACGCCTTGACAGTCCAAGACCCCAGGGAGGACATCCCGAGCGTCCGAGGCGTCTCTGACCGCCCCGAACCCCGGGCCCCATCCACGAGCGCCGAGCGCTGAGTATGTGAACGGTTTGTGGGGGGGTGGTGTGGGGTATTTTGGTTTGTGTTATTTTGGATTGTTGGGGATGTTTGTATGTTTGGTTGGGGTGTTGGTTTTTGGGGTGGGAGGGGATGGGGAAATATATGAGAGGGATGGTTTGGGAGTGTTATGTTAGGGGGGGGTGTATGGTTATGGGGAAGTGTATGCATGGGTTGGGGTGAGTTAGTAAGGGAGGTAGTTGGGAGGTGGGATTGGTGTGGGGTGGGATTGGAATATTGGTGGATTGTGAGTGGGGGTATATGTTGTTATTTGGTGTAGGATGGGTGGAATTGATGGGTTGGGGTTTAAGTAGTTTGGGGGGGAGGAGATGGGGGTTGGGTGTTTTTTGTAGGGTTTATGGAGAGATGGTGTATGGGGGTATTGATGGGGGGGTTGGTTGGGGGGGGTTGGGGGTTAGTGGAAGGATGTATGGGGGGATATGGGGGTTATTTGTTGAGGTGGGATGAGAAAGGGGGATGTAGTGTAATGGGGTGGGGAGTGGTTAAAGATTATGGTTTGGGATTTTTTTTGGGAGTGGGGGGATGGTTTTGGGATATTGTTTGTGGGGGGGTATTGAGGGAAGGGGTGGGGAATTTATGAGATGGGGGGAGGGGGGGTGGAGGGGGAATTGAGTGGTGTGTTGGGTGGGGGGTTTGGTGTTTAGGGTTTGGATGTAGATTGGTTGGTATAGGTGTAGGGGTTATATAGAGTATTGGTTGATTGAATAGTTAATGAGATTTAAGGGGGGGGATAGGGGGATGAGGGGGTAGAAGGATATGGGTATGAGGGGTTGATTAGGGGGGATGTTTTGGTGGTGGATGGATGAGTGGGTTGTGGGTGATTGGGGGAGGATGTGGGTTATGAGATTGAGAATGTGGATGTTTTTTTGGTTAGGAGAGGTATAATATATGATTTGTTAATTTAGAGGAATGGGGAGATGTGGGGTGGTATTGGGTAGTATGGATGTGGGTTTGTGGTTGAGATTTTTTGGTGGGTGATGAAGGGGATATGGAGGGGTAATTAATTTTGGATGGTTGGGGGGGGGTAGGGGAGGATTGGGTTTTATATGTATGTAGGTTGTTGTAGGGGGTTGTTGATAGGGAGGGAGTAGAGGATTGGAATAGGAGTGGAATGGGGGGAGGGATGGGGGAGTTTTTTTTGGGAGGGGTGTGGTGATTTTGTGGTTGTAGGAGGAGATAGTAGGAAAAAAAGTATGGGTTTGGGTGGTGGTTTGTGGTGTGTGTAGTGGAATGAGTGGATTGGTGGGAAGTGGTTATGTTGGTTGGGGTTTGTATTTTATGTGGGATTGAGGTTGTGGAGTAGGGGTGGTGGGGGGGTATAGATGTGTGGGATATTTTAGTGTGATAAATTGAATGGAAAATAAGATGGTATTGGTGGGGTGGGGTGGGGATGGTAGGGGGGGGTAGGGGTGTGGTGGTAGTTGGGGGGATAGGTATGATGTATTGGGATGTAAGAATGGGGGTAGGGGGGTAAGAGTTGGGAGGTGTTTAAATGTAGGGATGAGATAGGAAGTGGTTGGGGGGTAGGAAATTGTGAGTGGTGGGTTTTTTGTAGGGAGAGGTGGTTTGGAGTTGGAAGTTAGGTTAGGGTTTTAGAGGGTAGGAGTTTTATGAGGTTTGGAAATGGATATTTGGAGGTTAAGGGGGGATAGAGTAGGGAGGGGATTATGAGGTAGAGAGTATGGGGGGAGGTTGTGGTTGGGTGATGGTGGGGATGGGTTGATTTGGGAAGAGATGTAGGGTGGGTATGGTAGGAAGGTTTATGAAAGAAGAAGATGAATTGGTAAAAGGGGTAGGTGCTTAGATATTAGGGGGGAATGTTTGATTTAAGGGATGAGAGGTAAGGTTAATTTAGGGTTCCATTAGGTGATAGGTGGAAGGATTTTGACTGGGTAGTGTGGGAAAGATTGAACACACAGTAGGGTTTTGTTTTGTGAATTGTTAATATGTGTATGAAGGATTGGTGGATAAAAAGTTCGTAGGATTATGGAAATATGGGATGAGATTATTTTTTAATGTAGGGTGAGTGAGTGGGGAGGATAGGGGGTAGGGGTGAAAAAGTTTATTGGAGGGGGAGTAGTGTAAGATGTTGGTAGAAGGGGGTTTTTTGGTGGGTGGGTTGATGTTGTTTGGATTTGTTGATTGGGGTTGGTGTTTTGTGTTTTGGTATATGTTTTGGGTTGGGTGGGTGGAATTGGGGGGTTGTGGTGGGGGGTTGGGGGATTTGGAGGGGGGTGGGGTTTGGTGGGGGGGGAAGTGTGTGAGGGGTGAGGGGGATATGGTAGTAGGAAGTGGGGTTGGTGGGTTGTATGGTGGAGTGGGAGATAAGTTTTGGGGAGTTTTTGAGGGTTATGGGGGTTTTTGGGGGGGGTTTTTGGAATGGGGGAGGATTGGAGGGGTATGGGGTCAATGGGTAGATTTTATTAGGGTGTGTTTGGTTGTGTGGTAGTGGAGATGAAAGTTTGGGAGGTTTTGTGGGGTTTATGGGTTTGGGGGGGGGGGGGGGGTTTTGAAGGGGGAGGATGGTAGGGGTGGGATGGGGGAATGGTAAATTTATAATAGGGGGGTGTTGTGGTAGTAAGTGGAGTGGGAGATAAAGGGTTTGGGGAGGGGGTTTGTTATTGGATTGGGAGGTGAAAATGTGAAAGATGTGTATGGTGGATTTTGGGGGGGGTGTTTTGTTATTTGGAAAGTTGAGTGGGTTGTTTTTATGGTGGGGGTTAATTTTTTTGTTGGTTTTTGGGTGTTGAGGGTTGTTATTGGGATATGAGGTGAAATTTGAAAGATGGTTGGTAGTGTGGGTTTTGGGGGGGTTTGGGGGATTTGGAAATTTTATGGGGTTTGTTTAGGTGGGGTTAATTTGTTGAGGGTTATTTGGGTTTTAGGGGTTAATTGGGTATTGGGAGTGAAAATGTGAAATATGGTGGTAGTGGTATGGATTTGGGGTTTGGGTGGTTTGGGGGATATGAAAGTTTTGAGTTGATGTTTAAAAAATGAAGGGGAAATGATAATTGGAGGGTTTTTTTAATGGTTTTGTATAGTTTGTTGGTTTGGGGGGTGTATTTTGGTTGAGAGGAGGGGGAGGGGAGTGAGAGTATGGTTTGGGGGTGGGGGTGATGTTGGGGTGGTATAAGTTTAGTATGGGGTATATATGGTTGATGTTAGAAATTGGAAGTTAGTGAGGTGGGAGGGTGGGAGTTGTTAATTATAATTAGGGTATAATAAGGATAAGAGGAGGTGGGGGGTTGTAGGTTATGGGGAGTTTGGGGTTTTGGGGATTGGGGAGGTTGTAGGGATTGGATAGGTTAGGGAGGTGGGTGTGGGGAGGGTTATGTAAGTGATTGATAGGGGGGATGATAGGTGAAGGTGAAGGGAGGGGGATTAGAAGGAAGGGAGGGTATGTAAGTGAAGAGGGGTGGGTGTATTTTTTGGGGAATAGGGGGATGAATATATATAGAGGATTGGAGTGAGTTTTATGTAGGGTTAAATTAGATGGGGGAAAATGTGTTATGGGGGGAGATAGGTGAAGATTAGGGTGGTTTTTGAGTATTTTAGGGATATGGGGTTGATAGGGGATTATATTTTATGTGGTTTTTTAGAGATTAGTAATAAGTGGGGAAGAGATGGTTATAGAAGGGTAAAAGGATGTAGAGTTTGGGTGAGAAATAAGAGGATGAAATAGAAGATATATTAAGGTAGAAAGTGGAGTAGGTAAGAGATAGATGATAAGATGGTATTGTTAAGGGGAGGATGGTACGTAGTAGAGATATATAGATGAGATGTAGGGTATATTGATAGGGTGTTTGGGTTGTATTTGAAATGGTAGTTGTAATTGATATTAGGGTGTTGGGGAATTTTTGGGGTTGTGTTGATGGTAAATTTGTAAAAGAAAGTGTTGATGGGGGTTGTTGGTGGTTTTGAAGAGTTTGAAGGAGGTGGGGATAGGGGGGGGGGGGTGGTTGTGGGGTGGTTTGGGGGGTTTTTGTTTGGTAGAAATTAATGAAGAAGGGGAAAGTGGAGCCTAACCCCTCTCAAGGAGTTGGGTTCCAGAGCCCAAGCCATGTGTGGAGGTGAGGCCGACTATCTATAGTCTGTATCTCTCAAACTCCCCCACGAGCTCGGCTCCTTACCTCCCCAGTGAGGTGACGTTCCACGTCCCAAGAGTCAGATGTTGTGTGTGCAGAGTGTGGACTGGGTTGTCGAAGTCTCCGCTTTCGATTTCTCCCCAGTCCTCTTAGCACCTCTCCACCCACAGATCCCTCTGTGGGTGGTTGGTCCACAGGTGGCCTGCCCACGTCATGGCCACCAGAGGCTCGCATAGGAGCCCCAACCCAGGCCTGGCTCCAGGGTGGGGCCTGGGCTGCTCCATGCCCGGTGACGTCACGGTTTTCAATAACATGCTATCCATATGTGATCTATTTACTCCAAATCAGTTTAGGATCATAGTCTTCCACTTGCTGCAGGGGGTGCACGTCTTTTTTGTATCATTTAAATGTTTTAAGTATTTTAAATTAATTTTTGTTTGTTAATGTTAGCATTTTAGCTCAATAGCTTCCAGGCCATGTGATCTATTGACTCATGGATATATAATATAGGATCATGTCAACACAGTGGCTGCCTGAGACAAAGTATGTTTATTTGGAAAAACGGAAGTCGATACACACTGCAACCTTCTTCTATTATTTATTTGTTTATTTGACAAGGACAGTGTACATTCATGAACATTACAGAATTAGCCACAAGGTTATTTTTTATCTGTTGCCCCTAGACAGATTTAAAATGTCACCTTAAAAGTAAACACTTAAAGAAAGACTAAACACCAAATCAACTTTTTTTTACTCGTAAACATGTTCATTTGTAGTGCTCTCTACAAATGCTGGACCTTTTTTTGACATCTTAGTGCAAATTAGATAAAATCTCACTTTTGAGCCTAAAAACGTGTGTGTGGCGCCCTCTCAACCTTTTTGGTGGCACTACATCTGAATTTGGTCCGGGCCTCTCCATTGACTGAATTCTGTGTGACGTCAGTTGGTGTGTGTGACATGCGTTTGTCTGCGCCAGTGATATAAACACTTTCAACTCTCACACACGGCTCAGCAGCCGGTTGGAGAATTCAGGCGACATCTAGTGGATTAAAATTAAATCACATTATTATATGACTTGGACCGTACACGCGCTCTGATTGGCTGATTACCGGTCTGATATTTTCCCATCTCGGACCGTTACCATAACAATTGGTCCGAACAGCGCGTATCACATTTAATATCTTTCCACGGACCGTTACCATGACAATCTGTCCGCAGCGCTTATCACACAAAACCAAGTCGGACATGAACATACTTCACAAATATCTCAAAAGCATTGATAAAGACACAGACGAGAGTCATATAATAAAACATTTATTAACGTCGCTTGCTCGGTTCGTAGAGAGAAATATCAGACCTTGGCCTTTTTGCACAGACCTCACCACGGCTCGGTCTGTACATTAAGGCAGCGGTCTGATATTTCTCCATACAGACCTCGCGCTCGGTTAATTAGCCGTTATTAGTTGACAGCCACTTCTGCTAAAATAATTCAGTGACTTAGGTTCAGGTGTGTGTTACGGGCAACGACCTATTGTGCCAGTTGTGCACTAGATTGCGCTCCCGTTGCTGTTTGTGTTTGTGTGCGCCGCCTTGCTCTGTACAGGATCTGCAGGTGATCTATTGGAGGAGCTTCGGGCGTGGGCGGGGCCGGTGTGTCATCTGAGTGGCTGCAGCGGGACAAGTGCGAGGACGTCCTCCAACCCCGGGGATCCATCAATGAGGGCGTCCCCATATAACCTCCCATTCTCCGCCAGCTCGAGGCAGCTGGACCTGTTCCGTGCCAGTCTGACTTTACCACTCCTCCTGTGTTGTTGTTTTATTTTATGTTATGTTGTCACTTCGTTACTTTGAGCTCTAGTTTTGTTATATAGTGACATTATTTTATTTACTATCATTATGGAAATTACTTAAAATGCACTATACCATTTCCATCTGGTTTTTGTTGCGTTCATTAGCTAGCTGAGCCGGACGTAACAGTGTGTAGCTTTACAATAATCTTAGTGTGTAAACAAGGGTGGAATGAGACTTTCTGGTGTGAACTATTGCTCTAAGCGGCAATGGCAATTGTCTGTTTTTTTTTTGTTTGACTGACCAATTCTAAGCCCCACTTCATGTCCCTTGGTTCTCCAGGCAACGCCCTGTTTTCAAATGTTCATGTGGGCAGAGCCAGGCTGGGCACAGGTGTTTAGTCGCTCTTTAATAATAAAATACCAGCGTACATGTCTCCCTGTGTTTACCGTACTGTCTGTAGTAGGGGTGAAATTAAATGTTGGAGAAAACCGGAAACCGGAGCACCCGGAGGAAACCCACACAGACACGGGGAGAACACACAAATTCCACTCAGAAAGGCCCTGGTCCGACCAGGATTTGAACCCAGGACCAAGATAGCAAGAAAACGCTTAAAGCTATATAAAGCTCTGCATATGGAAGATGACAATAATACAGATATCAAAGAGAGGTGAGAGAGTGAAAGACTTATACTTTATTGATCCACAAGGGAAATCTAAAAATAAGAATATAAATTAAGAATAATAAGATATTTGTGAGAATAGAACAATCAGAAGTACTCAGGAATATACATATCAGTGAATATGGACACATTTACAGTATGAAATAGTATACTATTATACATCTGTTAATATACAGAATAAGGACAAAGCAGATGTATTATCTGTCACAGAGCGGTGACTTGTTGAATAGCTGGATGGATTGTGGCATGAACGTGCTCTTGTACCGCTCACTGTTGCAGTGGAGCGGAGTCTGTTTTATAAGGAGCTCCTTTGCCCCTCTATAGTCCGGTGGAGTGGATGTGTTGGGTTGTCCATGACGGAGAGCATTATTTCCAGTGACCTTCTGTCTCTCATTGTTGTAAATGTCTCCAGCTGACAGCCAATCACCTGTCCAGCTATACAGATCAGCTTGTCAATCCGAGAGCGGTCCCTTTGGGGGTACTGCTCCCCCAGCAGACCACAGTGTAAAAAAGGGCACTGGAGACCACATACAGTACTGGACAGTTTGCTGCACACATGGAAGGATCTGAGCTTCCTCAACTCAGATCTAAGAAAAATTATAATACCAAATGAAAAGTGGGCAGAGACATTTGGAGAAGGACATGCAAGCTTTGTCAGTGCTACTTGGAGGGAGTTTGAGTGGAAATTAAAATCGGGCTTCTTCCTGGTACCACTACATGTTTTCAAATCTAACAATGTGCCCAGCACAGGCTGGAGAGGTCAAACAGGTGATAACAAACACATCTTTTGGAACTGCCCTAAAATTATGGAATGCTGGGAAACACTCAAAAACAGACAAAAGTCCAGTAATAAAAAAAATTATATAAGCTTATTATAAATCATAACTTGAGCCCCATAGCCCTAAGGTATTACTATTATTTAAAAGTGTTTTGGGATGAGTGGGTTGAATGCCCTAAAAGCTATTGAAGAAAAACAGGTATTTTTAGGCAAAACATAATTTTAAAAGCTTTTAAGAAAACTTTCAAGGGCTGAGCCCCATAGCCCTCATTTAGTACTGTTATTTAAAAGTGGTTTGGAGTAAATGGGACAAATGCCCTAAAAGCTATTGAAGAAAAACAGGTATTTTTAACCAAAAAAATCATTTAAAAATGTTAAAAGCTTTTAAAAACAATTTCAAGGGCTGAGCCCCATAGCCCTCAGGTAGTACTATTATTTAAAAGTGGTTTGGAGTAAATGGGTCAAATGCCCTAAAAGCTATTGAAGAAAAACTGGTATTTTTAACCAAATAAATCATTTAAAAATGTTAAAAGCTTTTAAGAACAATTTCAAGGGCTGAGCCCCATAGCCCTCAGGTAGTACTATTATTTAAAAGTGGTTTGGAGTAAATGGGTCAAATGCCCTAAAAGCTATTGAAGAAAAACTGGTATTTTTAACCAAATAAATCATTTAAAAATGTTAAAAGCTTTTAAGAACAATTTCAAGGGCTGAGCCCCATAGCCCTCAGGTAGTACTATTATTTAAAAGTGGTTTGGAGTAAATGGGTCAAATGCCCTAAAAGCTATTGAAGAAAAACTGGTATTTTTAACCAAATAAATCATTTAAAAATGTTAAAAGCTTTTAAGAACAATTTCAAGGGCTGAGCCCCATAGCCCTCAGGTAGTACTATTATTTAAAAGTGGTTTGGAGTAAATGGGTCAAATGCCCTAAAAGCTATTGAAGAAAAACTGGTATTTTTAACCAAATAAATCATTTAAAAATGTTAAAAGCTTTTAAGAACAATTTCAAGGGCTGAGCCCCATAGCCCTCAGGTAGTACTATTATTTAAAAGTGGTTTGGAGTAAATGGGTCAAATGCCCTAAAAGCTATTGAAGAAAAACTGGTATTTTTAACCAAATAAATCATTTAAAAATGTTAAAAGCTTTTAAGAACAATTTCAAGGGCTGAGCCCCATAGCCCTCAGGTAGTACTATTTTTAAAAGTGGTTTGGAGTAAATGGGTCAAATGCCCTAAAAGCTATTGAAGAAAAACTGGTATTTTTAACCAAATAAATCATTTAAAAATGTTAAAAGCTTTTAAGAACAATTTCAAGGGCTGAGCCCCATAGCCCTCAGGTAGTACTATTATTTAAAAGTGGTTTGGAGTAAATGGGTCAAATGCCCTAAAAGCTATTGAAGAAAAACTGGTATTTTTAACCAAATAAATCATTTAAAAATGTTAAAAGCTTTTAAGAACAATTTCAAGGGCTGAGCCCCATAGCCCTCATTTAGTACTATTATTTAAAAGTGGTTTGGAGTAAATGGGTCAAATGCCCTAAAAGCTATTGAAGAAAAACTGGTATTTTTAACCAAATAAATCATTTAAAAATGTTAAAAGCTTTTAAGAACAATTTCAAGGGCTGAGCCCCATAGCCCTCAGGTAGTACTATTATTTAAAAGTGGTTTGGAGTAAATGGGTCAAATGCCCTAAAAGCTATTGAAGAAAAACTGGTATTTTTAACCAAATAAATCATTTAAAAATGTTAAAAGCTTTTAAGAACAATTTCAAGGGCTGAGCCCCATAGCCCTCATTTAGTACTATTATTTAAAAGTGGTTTGGAGTAAATGGGTCAAATGCCCTAAAAGCTATTGAAGAAAAACTGGTATTTTTAACCAAATAAATCATTTAAAAATGTTAAAAGCTTTTAAGAACAATTTCAAGGGCTGAGCCCCATAGCCCTCAGGTAGTACTATTATTTAAAAGTGGTTTGGAGTAAATGGGTCAAATGCCCTAAAAGCTATTGAAGAAAAACTGGTATTTTTAACCAAATAAATCATTTAAAAATGTTAAAAGCTTTTAAGAACAATTTCAAGGGCTGAGCCCCATAGCCCTCAGGTAGTACTATTATTTAAAAGTGGTTTGGAGTAAATGGGTCAAATGCCCTAAAAGCTATTGAAGAAAAACTGGTATTTTTAACCAAATAAATCATTTAAAAATGTTAAAAGCTTTTAAGAACAATTTCAAGGGCTGAGCCCCATAGCCCTCAGGTAGTACTATTATTTAAAAGTGGTTTGGAGTAAATGGGTCAAATGCCCTAAAAGCTATTGAAGAAAAACTGGTATTTTTAACCAAATAAATCATTTAAAAATGTTAAAAGCTTTTAAGAACAATTTCAAGGGCTGAGCCCCATAGCCCTCATTTATTACTATTATTTAAAAGTGGTTTGGAGTAAATGGGTCAAATGCCCTAAAAGCTATTGAAGAAAAACTGGTATTTTTAACCAAATAAATCATTTAAAAATGTTAAAAGCTTTTAAGAACAATTTCAAGGGCTGAGCCCCATAGCCCTCAGGTAGTACTATTATTTAAAAGTGGTTTGGAGTAAATGGGTCAAATGCCCTAAAAGCTATTGAAGAAAAACTGGTATTTTTAACCAAATAAATCATTTAAAAATGTTAAAAGCTTTTAAGAACAATTTCAAGGGCTGAGCCCCATAGCCCTCAGGTAGTACTATTATTTAAAAGTGGTTTGGAGTAAATGGGTCAAATGCCCTAAAAGCTATTGAAGAAAAACTGGTATTTTTAACCAAATAAATCATTTAAAAATGTTAAAAGCTTTTAAGAACAATTTCAAGGGCTGAGCCCCATAGCCCTCATTTAGTACTATTATTTAAAAGTGGTTTGGAGTAAATGGGTCAAATGCCCTAAAAGCTATTGAAGAAAAACTGGTATTTTTAACCAAATAAATCATTTAAAAATGTTAAAAGCTTTTAAGAACAATTTCAAGGTTGAGCCCCATAGCCCTCAGGTAGTACTATTATTTAAAAGTGGTTTGGAGTAAATGGGTCAAATGCCCTAAAAGCTATTGAAGAAAAACTGGTATTTTTAACCAAATAAATCATTTAAAAATGTTAAAAGCTTTTAAGAACAATTTCAAGGGCTGAGCCCCATAGCCCTCAGGTAGTACTATTATTTAAAAGTGGTTTGGAGTAAATGGGTCAAATGCCCTAAAAGCTATTGAAGAAAAACTGGTATTTTTAACCAAATAAATCATTTAAAAATGTTAAAAGCTTTTAAGAACAATTTCAAGGGCTGAGCCCAATAGCCCTCATTTATTACTATTATTTAAAAGTGGTTTGGAGTAAATGGGTCAAATGCCCTAAAAGCTATTGAAGAAAAACTGGTATTTTTAACCAAATAAATCATTTAAAAATGTTAAAAGCTTTTAAGAACAATTTCAAGGGCTGAGCCCCATAGCCCTCAGGTAGTACTATTATTTAAAAGTGGTTTGGAGTAAATGGGTCAAATGCCCTAAAAGCTATTGAAGAAAAACTGGTATTTTTAACCAAATAAATCATTTAAAAATGTTAAAAGCTTTTAAGAACAATTTCAAGGGTTGAGCCCCATAGCCCTCAGGTAGTACTATTATTTAAAAGTGGTTTGGAGTAAATGGGTCAAATACCCTAAAAGCTATTGAAGAAAAACTGGTATTTTTAACCAAATAAATCATTTAAAAATGTTAAAAGCTTTTAAGAACAATTTCAAGGGCTGAGCCCCATAGCCCTCAGGTAGTACTATTATTTAAAAGTGGTTTGGAGTAAATGGGTCAAATGCCCTAAAAGCTATTGAAGAAAAACTGGTATTTTTAACCAAAAAAATCATTTAAAAATGTTAAAAGCTTTTAAGAACAATTTCAAGGGCTGAGCCCAATAGCCCTCATTTATTACTATTATTTAAAAGTGGTTTGGAGTAAATGGGTCAAATGCCCTAAAAGCTATTGAAGAAAAACTGGTATTTTTAACCAAATAAATCATTTAAAAATGTTAAAAGCTTTTAAGAACAATTTCAAGGGCTGAGCCCCATAGCCCTCAGGTAGTACTATTATTTAAAAGTGGTTTGGAGTAAATGGGTCAAATACCCTAAAAGCTATTGAAGAAAAACTGGTATTTTTAACCAAATAAATCATTTAAAAATGTTAAAAGCTTTTAAGAACAATTTCAAGGGCTGAGCCCCATAGCCCTCAGGTAGTACTATTATTTAAAAGTGGTTTGGAGTAAATGGGTCAAATGCCCTAAAAGCTATTGAAGAAAAACAGGTATTTTTAACCAAATAAATCATTTAAAAATGTTAAAAGCTTTTAAGAACAATTTCAAGGGCTGAGCCCCATAGCCCTCAGGTAGTACTATTATTTAAAAGTGGTTTGGAGTAAATGGGTCAAATGCCCTAAAAGCTATTGAAGAAAAACTGGTATTTTTAACCAAATAAATCATTTAAAAATGTTAAAAGCTTTTAAGAACAATTTCAAGGGCTGAGCCCCATAGCCCTCAGGTAGTACTATTATTTAAAAGTGGTTTGGAGTAAATGGGTCAAATGCCCTAAAAGCTATTGAAGAAAAACTGGTATTTTTAACCAAATAAATCATTTAAAAATGTTAAAAGCTTTTAAGAACAATTTCAAGGGCTGAGCCCCATAGCCCTCATTTAGTACTATTATTTAAAAGGGGTTTGGAGTAAATGGGTCAAATACCCTAAAAGCTATTGAAGAAAAACTTGTATTTTTAACCAAATAAATCATTTAAAAATGTTAAAAGCTTTTAAGAACAATTTCAAGGGTTGAGCCCCATAGCCCTCATTTAGTACTATTATTTAAAAGGGGTTTGGAGTAAATGGGTCAAATACCCTAAAAGCTATTGAAGAAAAACTGGTATTTTTAACCAAATAAATCATTTAAAAATGTTAAAAGCTTTTAAGAACAATTTCAAGGGCTGAGCCCCATAGCCCTCAGGTAGTACTATTATTTAAAAGTGGTTTGGAGTAAATGGGTCAAATGCCCTAAAAGCTATTGAGGAAAAACCCATACTTTTCCATCAAAAGTCTTTGAAAAAACCATGAAATACAATAAAATATTAAATGTGGTAGACTAAATGTAATCTTTAGGTGTATTTTCTATCTCTTTTCATTAAAATTGTTTATTTGTACCATATTATTGATTTACACCTAAACTACATTTTTACACAGACAGTAATTCATAGACGGTCCCTAAGTTCGAACGAACTTAGTGCTGGAGGCGAATATCCAACGTCCAACGTGAAACCAACTTCACCGCGGTCGAATACCGGTGGTACAAGAGACGCGTGTTTGATGATGATGTTGAGTCAGAAACACTTTAAAAGCAAACTGGTTAAAAACTCGGAGAGAGCAGACGACCACCCACTGGGGAGGAGGAGGAGGAGGAGGAGCCGTGATGAAGAGGGACAAACCAGGCTAAACTTCACTATGTCGAGCCTAACCAGGTCCGCTGCCCTGTTAGTGCGTCTCGCCGTGTGGTCGCACTGATGGCTGCGTCCAAGGAGAGAAATCCCTCCCGAATCAGGTACGAAAACACTTAAATCTGCGTGTTGGTTTGGTTTAGAGAAAATGGAAAGTTTGGAGAGGATAAGCTTACGGGTAACTAAAGGAAATCTGCGTTACTTTGCTCCGCTACAGTTCCCGTCTGGCCTCTCTCTCTCACCGCGTCCCCGAAAACAAGATGTCGCGTGGAGCACAAAGTAAAGTCCAGGATTTTAGACAATTCTTACAAATACTGGAGGGATTTTGGTTTTGATGATTTTGGCCAGATCTGCAAAGTGGATACAATGTAGCGATTGTAGCAGCGTGGGGGAATCTGACGTGGTTAAAAGTCTGTTGTTGTACCAAACACAATATTTACACTTTAGTATGACGTTTTAGATACGTGTATAGAAGTTTGAGCGTTTGGAACAATGTTATGTAACTTTAAACCTGTTGAATCCTAGAGGGAACGTATTTTGGATACAGTTATGGGTGGGTGTAAGTCTGCATAAAATTGGTTTAATTTAAAAAGCTAAATAAATTGTATGTTCTTCTTCGCTATATTTAACATTGTGGTAGGTTACATCCACCTGAACTCACAGCCTCATGGTTTGTTTTTGTTTTAATGTTAATCTTTGAGAAGGACATTAACATTGCATACATTTATGGGATACATTTATGAGTCACTATTTGCCGGTTTGGGCTTTTAATTTATTTTCTGTTTGAAAAATCTGATCTAAAGATGTAATGGAAACTAAAAACAAATGCATGTGAAAATAGTGATAGAACCAAACTGTTATGTCAGTGAAGAACTAATGGGTTTCTGAGTTTTTATAACAAACTAGTTGTAGTTTAGTACCTCAGTTTTAAGCATAGTCGCAAAGAAAATATACTAAAATAGTTAATAAATCCCCTCTGCTCTAGACCCAGTACAATGAAGAATAAATGAGGCTGAAGGAATATCAGGAATATATGTGGTCTGAATAAGTCTTGAGCACACATGTTTATCTCTCCTGTAGTTCCAATTATTTTCTCGTGTGTCATTGATCATGCTGTCTTCTCTCGCAGCCTCACAGCGTGTCTCCAGATCCTCGGTGGTCCTCAGTCCGACTATGAACATCAGTAGAAACTGTACGTCTGTGGCCCATGGGGAGGGCCTGGCTGTGCTGCAGACTTTCTCCATAGTGACCATCACCCTTCTGGCCGGCCTGGGGAACCTCCTGATCGTGGTCACTCTGTATCGGAGGCCTTATCTGCTCACGCCCAGCAACAAGTTTGTGTTCAGCCTGACGCTCTCCAACCTGCTGCTTGCGGCGCTGGTGCTGCCCTTTGTGGCTGTCAGCTCGGCCAGAAGAGAATGGATGTTTGGTGTGGTTTGGTGCAACTTCACTGCTCTGCTCTACATGCTCATCAGCTCGGCCAGCGTCATGACACTCGGGGCTATTGCTATTGACCGGTGAGTGAAAAACATCAAGTCCAAAGCTCATAATACACTGTAAAGCTGTATGCTCAGTGTTTTACATTCAATTAAATTAAATGTATTCTTGTATAGCCCTAAATCACAACAGTAGTTATCTTGGACTTTCTTCGCCAACACAGATCGGAGAATTCAATAGTTAAAACACAAGAAATCCAATGATGAAAAACACAGAGCCATTGATCCATAAGGGGCAGATGACCAATATCCATATATGTTTAATATATGGCAAATATAGCACCACACAAAGAACATTTTTCTATTTTTTCTTTTTATTTATGTGATCACAATGTGATCTTTTAGACCACAGTTTCCTCATTATGCATGGCACAGTGCACATATACATAACCCATATAAAGCTGTCTTTCAGTGCCCAGCTATTGGAATATTGCTTTCTCAAACAATAAGTGTTCCTGTGTTAAACTAATATCCTTTTCAAAGGATTTCCTTCTTATATCACTGATCGCTAATACAAAGCCCTCAACTGACCTTATTTGCTATAATGCGGCACACACGGTAGGCATATTTCCTCAGGATCATTGAACATTGTGTTGTCGTTCCTCCTCAGATACTACGCAGTGCTGTATCCCATGATTTACCCCATGAAGATAACGGGAAACAGAGCCGTGGTGGTGATTGCGTATGTTTGGCTGCATGCTCTGGTGGGCTGCCTGCCGCCTCTGTTCGGCTGGTCGTCTTTCGAGTTCGACTGCTTCAAATGGACGTGTGTAGCTTCGTGGCACAAAGACATGAGCTACACTGGTTTCTGGGTGGCCTGGTGCATCCTCCCTCCCTTTGTCGCTATGCTGGCCTGTTACGGGGTCATTTTCCGCGTGGCTCGTATGAAGGCCAGAAAAGTGCATTGTGGGACAGTCATCGTGGCTCAGGACGACTCCGCAGCTCAGAGAAACGGACGCAAAAACTCCAGCACGTCCACCTCCTCCAACGGAAGCAGACGCAGCCTTATCTACTCTGGCAGCCAGTGCAAGGCCTTTGTCACGATCTTAGTGGTGATAGGGACCTTCCTGGTGACCTGGGGCCCCTACGTGGTGGTGGTCTGCTCTGAGGCAGTGTGGGGACAAGCCAGTGCGTCTCAAACGGTGGAGACTCTGGTGGCGTGCCTGTCCTTCTGCAGCGCTGTGTGCCATCCGCTCATCTACGGCCTGTGGAATAAGACGGTTAGGAAGGAGCTGCTGGGCATGTGCTTCGGAGATCGCTACTACAGAGAGTCTTTTGCGACCAGACACAGGACCTCGAGGCTCTTCAGCATCTCCAATAGAATCACAGGTCATTCAAGCTTCAGACACATTCACCGCTATTAACATTATGACTCATCATTATGGAACTACCAGAACTCCCAGCGCCACCATTTTGACTTGTTTAAAAACAAATATCTTTATGGTGAATTGAACAAAAAGTAGATTGCTGAAAAGCTATGCCAACTGGTTGTAAGTAAACATGTTGCTATGGTAACTAGTGGTACTGGTCCTGGCTCTACTCTGAAATAAGTAATTCTACCTTTACCTCCCAAAAGAAAATTGTATACAAATAATGACATTGAAGTAAGCAACATATAGAGCAAGAAAACATTTATATATGTTAAGATAAACTTTATTTATCTCACAATGAACTTTATGGACTTTAATGATCCCACAATAGAGAAATTTCACATCAGGTACACAACATTGTTTCTCTTATTTTACACATTATTTTTTTCCCTGTCCCTTATGCACCGACATAATCCAAAGTAAGAAAAATTAAAAATACAAAAATTAAAATGAAAAAGAACATTACCTAGGTTGCTAAATAGGGGAAATGATCGTGGAGTTTCAGACTTAATTTTAATACCACATGGTTTTTTTGCAGGCTGGGATATAGGCTCCTTCAAGGGCATTTCTAACGGTGTCTTACATCCTTTCAGACCTGGGTATGTCCCCACACCTCACAGCTCTGTTGGCCGGAGGAGGGCATCTGGTGGCGCCCGGCAGCAGCACGGGAGACACTGGCTTCAGCTTTACTCAGGACTCATGTGAGTGACTCCCAAAAAGACTGCAGAAAAGTATTGTTCTCCTTTCACTCCTTTATCTACCTGAACTTGAGCCTGTTTGACATACAATAGGTTGTTTTCATGTTCTAGAATTGTATTTCATTCCGAGGGCAGGCGCTAATACGATACTATGGAACAGGAGCAATTTTTAAAAGAACTGTTGAAAAGGTCGTCCAAATGTTTTTCCAGATCGCTACAAACAATTCACCATATTATTCAAATGTCAGAGTTCTTTCTACTGGCCAACATGTTTTGTTGAATAGTCACCACTCATACACCTTTTTTGAGAAAATAATGACACTATATCTACTGACAAAGATTCAGAACTTTAACAGTGTTTCAGGTGGTTTGGGCCAAGAATTTCAGATAAATTGGCTAAAAGCAAAGTCTAGAAAACTTTTAACGGTTGTACTAGCAAAGTTTTTTTTTTTTTCAGCTACCTTCACTCCACAACACTTTTCAACTATGTGCACTTTTGCATGTAGCGATGTCACATGAACGTAACCTTTTGCTTCATATCAGTCTGTTAAGGTGGTTGCATCAGGTCTAAACTCGGTCACACTGTCATTCCTTCGTGGTCAGATGTTTGTAAATCGGAGAATTAGTCTCAGGCCCAAGATGACTGTTGGTGATGTCTTAGATTACATTACATGAGCTCTCGTTTACACAATCCTGTCTTGTTGGTCTGCAGGTACAGATGTGATGCTGCTCGATCACTTCTCCTTAGACGACTCCTCCCACTCTCTGTCCCAGGGGAATGCGAGTGGGAAGAGGAGGAGCTCCGTCACCTTTGAAGACCAGGTGGAGCATTCCAAAGGTATCTGTCATTACCACGCACCTAAACCTCCAGGGTATGAAGGGACAAACTCCTCCTGCTTTGTTTTAAGGTCTGTGCTGTGGCCATAGACTGTACATGGACTATGCTCCCCCACAAGCCCAATGAACCCCAATAGTGAAGTGCTCATGAGTGAAGTTTTGCTCATACTCTTTGGCTTCATTCACTTGCATCCAGTGCTTAATTTGAACCGGAACACGCCCCAGCACCTTCGAAATTAGATTGAAATTAGATCTGGCACGTCTGCAAGACAGAATACTTCTGTCAAAAATACTGCGCACCAGTTGGCACATTGACCCTTGTCTAATATTTTAGACAGTTCAAGTAATAATCCAGGTAGTTTTAAATAGTCTTTATTTAGCATAGCCTTCTCTGTCACAGTTTGTAAAAATAATTGCCTATTATCCACTTGGTGTAATGAGTTTATTTAAAGTGTTGCTTGAGTATTTTGCATTAGGCCGACTTGCTTCATATTCACTCAAAATTAACGTTCAAATGTTGAATTTTTCAAAAGGGTCATCTATATTTTGCTCTGCTGTGTGATCTGGGTAGCATCACTGGTTACTTTGTGTATCAGCTGTGTCAGTGTTTCGAAGCGTTTCATTGTAACGCTGACATCTAGTGGACAAATTTAGTCACTTCAGCTTCTGAATAGCTGTAAACCCCTCACCCCCTCGGGACTCGCCGGATCAACACGTTACGATACCTCTCACGTTACAACATAAGCGCTGCTTGCAATGTGAAACGTGGCTTTTAGATCCCAGAACAGACTGTTGCCCCTCCCGATTGGCTCCTTGGTTGTTAGGCCGTTGCTACCCATAAATTTGGTGCTAGTTTTCCGGGCCTGTTCTCCAATTGGCTTCTTCCACAATAAGAACTCCAATAGTTCAATATAGAGATATTGGCTTTGGCAACAAGAAATATCTCTCTATAATTTTGGAACAGTATAATTGTAAAAAAAATTGCTACTTTTACATGGGTTGGCTGAAGTTCACAATGTGCATTATTTTTACCAACCACAATATATATACATATATATACTTTTTTTTTTATTATTTTGTGTTGGTAGTGACCATTGACTCTTTCGGCGTAGATCCGACAATATCTTTCTTTCACATTTTTCTCTCCTTCCTCTTTGTGTTCATGTTTTTACCAGTCCTCTAACTCTTATAAAGTTTCATGGTTCCACCTTTTTGTCTCTCATAACGTTTTGGACGAATATCTGATTTCTTGAAGTGTTCACATTTTGCTCATATTAGAAATAACTATTGCAATATTATAAATGTTGTGAGTTTTTTTCCCACATTCCATGAAACTAAAAATTTTTAAGCGTGCAAGAGCCACTTTGATAACACTGTATTAATGCATTTTTATCAAACACATTTATGGTTCAATCTCAAGGATCTCTGGTTCAAGGATACCATACAAGTTGTCTATGTCCTAATGTCATGCCAGTTCCATTTTATTATGCTGGACAGTAAAGTGCAAATCCATTCTCTTGTTTCTACAGCTGAGAACGCGTCCTCTGTCCAAGTTCACGCGGAGATGCACAAGTCCCTGGACACATTTGCCTCCAGTTTAGCAAAGGTGATAGAAAACGACGTTAAAATGACTCTTTTCGGAGACGGGCTGGTTTTACCCGCGGGACTGTTCACGACCAGAGCGACGCCACGGCCAAGGTACCAGGACGGACAGAGACTGAGGCTGGAAAGCATAGACGAAGGAATAGTCAAAGATGACAAAGATGAAGAAGGACTCGACACGGGGGAAAAGTTCTCCTAATAGTGTTTTCCTCCTCAGTTTCATTTTGTACTTGAGATTTAATTCATAGCATATTATCAATTAGTGTTCTTTATGTTGGTCCTTTATTTAGACATAGGAGGCCGCCCAGACTACTGTGTACTGGTGTCATAAGTGTTCTATTCTTTACATTTTATATATATAATTTTTTATGAGGCTGTCAAGTTTGTTCTCCTTTGTTGTCCGTAAATTATGTGGTTTTATTAGGCATAGCTTTAAAGTACGAGTATGTCTTGTTTGTGTTTTATTTACAAACTGTGGTGCGGCTATTTATTTCTTGATGAAAAACCTTGACTGAAATATGATCATGGTACTTTACCTGGTCAAATTGATCTTAGGACAGAGGTCAGACTTGTCGAATGCTGGACGTGTTGCTAGTGCATGCTGTACTTGCTGTTGACTGTGCACATTCATAATGCACTTTTGAAGACACCACTTTCTCTTATGTGACTTTGTACCGTCCAAGTGAGAAGCGACAAGGAAGTTTTGTTTTAATCGTGCCAATTTTTGACATGTTTCGCTTGAATCATACCTCATATTTCCGTATTGTATGGTACCCAGTGTAAAATATGTATTCTGAAGTCTTAAACTTTTTCTGTTTGACAAAAAACTCAAATATACCTTTTTGTACTGAGAGGTTCTGTGTGTGTTGTGTGTAATGGAAAAGAAACACAGTATTAGTGCATTTGAATTTATTTTTCCAAACCATGTAAAAGTACTATTGACATTACTCTTTGGAGAGCCATTTTTTTTCTTAAAGAAATTAAAGCATTCTCCATTTATAATTTATGTAAACTCCGTTACATGCGTTACTCCTGGAGCAGCACTTTAGTTTTGTGCTCAGAACTTCACACATTAACACTGTTCGACGCTCACATCCTCCAAACAGAATATTGCACTTCAGTCATAGCCACTGTACTCTCTGCATCACACCTCATCCTGCCACTGCATTCACACACAGACAGACACTTGTAAGAAATACATGTTTAAAAAAGGAGGCTAGAAATGACACTGCTTTTCAAAAGTAATCTACACTACACTTAACAAATCCTGTGATTTTTCAAGTGCTATACAACAACAAATTCAAACTCCACACGGACTACTGCTCCTCATCGTTCTCTTGTCCTGATCCTTCGGATCGGTCGCCTTCAAGTCGATCTGCAAAAGAGGTGCTTAGATTCGATGCACATATCAAGATACAAAAACCATGTTCATCTGCTTCCCCAGTCTAAGGACACAACAGTTTGGTAGTTTAAAACTGAAGCCTCCTCACCGTGGCAACCGGTCTCCCGTTTCAGTACTAACCAGGCCCTGCCCTGCTTAGATTCTGAGATCTAAACGAATCAGGCTTCCACATGCATGTAGTGCCACAAATCTCCATTGTGATCTGTGTTCATCATAGATAGTAACAAGTTTGATTTGGTTAAAATACGTACTTTGTCCTTTTCAGGTTCCCCTGCTTTAAGTTGCAGGAATTATGTTTTTGCCTCTAGGTTGAGAACCACTGCTCCACTCGACAGGTGCAACAGATCACAGAGCGAAATCAGTGTCATGCATTACCTGATCTGATGTGATTGAGAGAGGCCAACATTCGGAGCATAAAAGAAGCAGGTACTGTGATTGTATTTCTCGTTTCTTCCAACATCAGCTCATTTCGGGTGATTACCTGATGGGACAATTAAAGAAACATGAATTTACAAATCAGCAACTGTATAAAGTGAATAATGTGTCAGTAGGGGTGGCTGAGCTTGCATTGTGGCTCTGGGGAAGACTGACCATCAGCCCCTCGGACCACATGGAACATGGTGTTCCAAGTGGGAGAGGTTGGCTGTCAATCACGGCTAAAGGAAGTGTATTGCCAAACGGAAACTGAAACCCTATAACAACTTTCCATGAGTCGACCTGCTTTTAGAGTCTGGTTCAAAACACGGCTCGTGGCCCATCGCAGAGTTCTGGATGCTGATCAATGCATGCAACGGGGGGTGGTTTATTTTTAAAGTTGTGTATCCAGCTGTGTGTGATCGCTGCACGATTTGTGCTGCTTGGTGCATGCACAGAAGGAGCTGAAAGCCCCTTCTTTACCCCCCAGTTTTTCTGCAGGAGGCACCAACTGCTGCAGTAGGCTCTCCATGAGAGAAAGTCTGTCTGGATGAGAAAGATTAGCCATTAGCAGTCCATACTATTCTCTCATCACTAACCGGGCCCTGCCCTGTGTCTGAGATCATGCAGCTATGGTGTGTCAGCTCGTGAAGGATAAAAATACCTCATCTGCAAGGACCCTGTTGAAGTTTGGAGACTCCTCCAGCGGTGACCAGATTTTTATGTCATAATCGATCCCTGAAGATGCCAGTACTAGAAGAGAAGATAAACGCATGAAGGAAGTGCCAAGGCTCATGAAGCAGAGATAGGCATTGATGTCCACATAAAGTCTCACTGGGGTCGTAGGGATGTGGCTGCAGGCAGTTGACCACATGGTTGTCGGCCTCCAGCAGCATGAGGTGCTCAGCCGTGTGTCTGTCCCAGATAAAGATGTGCCCACAGTCAGATCCGCTCATCACAAAGTTGTTTCCCCAGAAACAAGCCTCCTTTATCTGCGTTCAAGGACAAGATTCATTTAACTGACACTTTTACAAACAAGATTGGTAAGTGCCACAGTTTGGTGTAACGTCACACACATAATTGTGTTTATCCTTTTGTCTCTGGGCAGGATTGTGCTAAACGATTGGACAGATTGAGCTGAAGTTTTGTAAAAAAGGATGTGACGGTACAAAGACCCCATTAAAATACTCACAATCCCACATGAGGCACAAAGGCTCACAAAGAGTCTTTATTTGTCCCACTGTGGAGAAATGTCAGTGTTGCCACAAACGGAACAGTAGTAAAGATAGGAGCACTCTAACAAGACACTCAGTGATTATCTTGTGGATATTATTCAATCTTCTAGAGCAAATTGTGGTTATTTGTACTTAGTGGTTCATGAACTCCTTTGATAGGGCTGAAAGTAAAATCTGCTTTTTTTGCACATTACGTGCACAAAACTAATTCCAGCATTTGTTTTTCTGCCTGGTGTCAACACTGCACTGACATTTAACAATTAAGGAGTTTGAAATTATATTGCAGGATCGTTTAGAATATGTTGTAATTAAAAATGATACATTGGATTACTAAAATTATTGCAGCTGCAGCCCTTCTCCATTGGTTTGGATTATTTTTGTCCTTGTTTAAAATTAGTACAGGAAGTGTTTAGTCTGGTCACAGCTGCAGGATCGCTCCAGGATGCCCTTTTATAAGGGCTCGCATAGGATATTAATATTCTTGATTGATTTTATGGATTATCTTTAGCCATATCCTGGTTTAAATATGAGGTCATTGGATTAATCCATAGGTGACACAAAAAGGTTTTCTTATCTTAAACATTTAGAAAGCTACTGATCCCATCCATACATTTTCTTCTGCTTTATATGTTGCCTGCAGTGTGAGCAGACACCCAGACGAAATACTTTTTTGCCCCAATGTACGTCTGGGTTTGATCCAAGTGGCTGCGGTTACCTCTGTTGTATCCCATCCGACCATTCAGCAAGCGGGGGAGGCAGGTGTTGTAGGTAGGTGTTGGTGACGTCAAGAGTTTGCGGCATATTTGCTGTTGTAGTTTACTAATTGCATTCGCCGCCATTGCCAAAGTAATCTGTTACGGTTCAGCTCCCAAATAGTAAGAAATTGAAACCGGAGCAAGAGGAACGTTTAGCAAGTTTCATTGCTGGCAAAGATGTTGTGGCTCTAGTCCTCACGGGCTCCGTTAGCAGCAAAGGAGATGGCTAGACTAAATGCTAAATGCCTCACTCACTCAGGAGCATTACATACCTCACGGTAAACTCAGATCCAATCGTTTCAATCTGCAAAAGGAGTTAACATCTACCACCTGTTAACGGAGCTCAATGGAGCAAATCCAGACCATAGTATGAAATGAAATTAGTACGATGGTGTGGTAAGACCAGGCTACCTCAGCTGGCTCCTGTCCGCACTGATCCCTTGGTTCTATTCATGCCTTGGTTTTTAACTCCTCCAATAAACTCGTGACAGTTTCATGACACTGTACCATTGTCCTGGAGTTGCGGTGTCCCTTGTACACCATCTTTGCTGAGGGCCTCCTGATGTTCTGAGTCTCGCTCTCCTCCATCTCCCGACGCTCTTTCCGGCGGCGGAACAGTTCCTGAATGCGAGCGGCTGCAGAGCGTCTGTGAAAACGAGGAAAAGACTTGTTAAAGAGTGAAGACCTGAGCGGACAGAAAACCTCCATGCTGTTAGTGCTGCTCACAACGCCATGCTCAAAAGGCTTTTGCTTAGTATAAATATTTCTCCACACGATGTAAAGCAACACTGTAGTAATACACACTTTTGAACTGGGAAGCAAATGGGACGTATTCACAACTATTAACAGATGTAGATCGGTAAGTGGATGTTGCCTCCCATGCTTCCTTCAGATTATGCCAGATATCAAACTGCGGTGGGCCCAGGCTCACATGCACACCACTGTTGTGTTAGGAATTTTTTTTTTGTGAAAATTAGAAGTTAATGCTCCACTTCAGATAGTGCTCTCTGTAGCCTTAAAAAGGGGACATATTCTGCATAATGTACTTTTCTGATAGTTTATTGTTGTGGTTTTTGAATAGATTCTTGCATGTTTGAGTAATGTATAGTCCTGCATTCAGTAGCACATTTTCATCTGCTCACTTCTTTCACTAATAGTCAAGAGGATTTTCCCTCCAGGTCAAACCCAAATGTACAAAGCAATTATTCCGCAATGTATACATAAATAGCCTGTTTTGTTTATGATGAAGTGCAGCTTTAAAGTTGCATAACTCACTTTGTGACACTTTCGAATGTGAGCGCTGCCCTCTCTCTATCTGCTCGCCCTCTCTGCACTCATGAAGCTATAGCCCCCCCCACTACCCCCCTCCCTCTCAGCCTGTGCTCATGTGCTAATTGTTTGAGGAGCTCACATCTCACAATATGGATCGCACATTTGAACGTGGATGACGTGGCCATAGAATGATAGGACCGGGAAGCACGGAGGAACAAGACTTTCTTTTGGCTCTAAAAACCGGTAACGAAGACACGGCAAGTTTCAGGTTAGCCTCCGCCGCTTGTTTACCTCAGCTGTCTGTGCTAACGGGAGACCTGTAGCTTTTCTCAAGAATGTGGGGCCAGTGGTCTGCTGTGATTGGTCACAATCTGCTCCCGAAACACATTCTCTTCCTTGTTGCACGAAAGTCGATCTAAAATAAAATGACACGCCAACACAAATCTGCGCTACTTATTCTTCAAAAGGACGTACATACCAATGCATTGCATGGATATGGATTGAATTGTAATGAGTACAAAAATAAAGTGAGGTAATGCAGCTTTAAGTAGTATCAGATTTTAGTATAAAAGAAAGTCAATGGATCCCTCAAAAGCACAATATGTCTCCTTCAAAGCGTGTATGCTTTAGTACTGGTGCAACGTTTTACCTGATCATTCTATCTCCTACAGCAGATCCTCTGGAATTTAATCTATTATGTAGTGAAACAGTCGTCAACAAGACTTAAATACATCAAGAGAAACATTGTTAGAAAGTGCTGCCATCTGCTGTTTCGGAGAAGTACCTTTGTCCTTGTCCTCTGAACCTCACGGACGGGATGAGGATGGGATCATCGTCACTGTCCTCAGAGTCCTGGTTGGGTCGCGGGGGCTGGGGCCTGCTCTGGCTCTGGTCCTGGCCCTGACTCTGGCCTTCTTCTCCGGTGGGCTCAGCTCGTCTGCAGCCCCCTGTGGTGTCTTCCTCCACTCCCTCAGGCAGAGTCCTCTCTCTGGGTAAAGACGTCTCTCTGTCCCCCTCGGATGAGCCCTCTGCTGGACTGATGGCGGGAGTGGAGCCAGTAGGATCTCGGTGCTCACTTGAATCAGTCCGCGCTAAAGACAAAAAAGCGAATCAAAGATGCACAACAGGAAAGGTCATGTTTGATAGCTACTTACTTGGCGGTGGAACAGAGCTGTCTTTTTCTCTGGTCACAGCCACAGACCCTGCAGGTTTGGGAGCTCCACTTCCCACTGAATGTGATGCACTACTGCTCCTGAGGACAAGCAAAACACAGCATGCATTAGATCTCATTGAATCAGAAAAGGCTAAAGCAGTGGCTCACAAAAAAATCTATAGGCTAAGGCAAGTTTATTTGTATAGCACAGTTCATACTGTCCCAGATTTTAGCTGCATACATCTCAAATCCTACCGCCCCATCTTTAGTTAGGAGGCTCGTCCCTGGGAGGGAGATTCACTGTAATTTGAGCAGTTGAGCAAAAGTTCAACCTGCAGAGAACTCAATCCACCACCAGAAGGAGCTTGTGCATTATAGTTTTAAACATTACATACGTTCAAGTTTAGAAATCAAATATATCATTTTGAAATACTATCATACAGTTGTGCTTAAACGTTTACACATCCAGTCATTTATTCCATTGTTTGGGTCATATTTTGGAGCTCCTGAATGATAAAACAAAACAAGTTTTTCCACTAATCGGGAGTGTGAGGCCATTTATTGTCAAAGAAACTTATTTTATATTTTCAAATTTAAACCATAATTGACAATCAGTGGAAACTCAAACATGCAGTTCATGTAAGGCAGTCCAGGATTTTTTTGACAAGAAGAATGGGTAACTTTACAATCAGAGAAGATGAAGAACCTCATCCACAACAAAAGACTCATAGTTGGCATAGATTGTAAAGGGGAAATACAATGGAAACCACTAATCGAGGTCAGAAGAGTAATTTCTGTTATAATTTTTGAAGAGAATCACTGTACGGACACTTATAGACATTGGTCATCTGTCCCTTATGGACCAATACCAATCTGTTTAAACTGTTTGATTCTCTGATCTTTATTGGCAAAATCAACGGTTGTGTAAAGTCCTCTGAGATCACTACTGTTGTGATTTTGAGCTATAAAAGAATAGATTGAATTGACTTGTTTATTTGACAATATATGCCTTTACACAACCGCAAATAATCAGAACCAAAGCTGTTTAATTATCACTCATAATCTCATTATACTTCCCAAAACAGGTAGAATTTGATGTTTGTCTTTTTTCCCTCCACCTCACAATATAGACATTACCACTCATCTGTGAAGTCCAGCTTGATGGTGCTGGTGGTGGTTCCCTCTGAGCTGTAGTGGAGGCTGAGGACCGGCTCGGCTCCTGCGCTCCGTCCCGGTCCGCTGCTGCTGGGCGCAGGGGCGGCCTCTTCAGGGGCAAGGGATGGTGCTTCAGTCGCTCCTGTAGACAGAGATGGTAATTAACAAAGTAATTGACAAAGTTCACCACAAACCTGTGATATTCCCATAAAGACACATGCACCTAACTTGTGCGTCACACCAATACTCAAACAGAACCCGCAGAGAACATGCAGGAAACTGATGCAGACAAATGGAACCATCTTCTACAAACGGCACACATCTCAGCAGAGATCCAAACCCGGTTCCTAATAAACTTATCATATTGTACTTTTGTGTTTCAGCAAGATTCAAACTATCTCAGTTACAATCTGGGACTTTGACTCTCGACTGAATTTATGTGTTGTACTTGTGCGGTTTGTAAATATTGATATCTGTTGAGTAGTACATTATATAAAAGGCATATTCTTAGAAATGATAGGAAGCAGAAGCACAGAGTGTGTGAGTGGAGCAGGTGATGACGAAAGACGCACCCTGCTGTTCATCAAGAGTCATGGATCCCAGCTGTTTGTTTACCACAGACGAGGGGGAATCTGCAACACAAACCAGACCGACCAATGCATCCACTTGCTCCAGGCCTAGTGTCCAACTCACACCAAGACTAATCAGAAAGCTTTGATACAAACAGCCATTTTACTCTATCACCACAAAAATAGTAAGTAAGCCCACAGGTGGGAGATTTTATGAAACCAATTCCAATCCACCCCCTGGTTTTTAACTGTAGCTCATTTTAAACAATTGCTCAGCAATCATTCCTTAACAAATGTCAATAACTTGCAAGTCTTAGGTAAGGAGTATGGAACAATATATTGGTAAATAAAGCATTGAATGTACAACTATGATCAATATTTACTACATTTACCATTAACCCACATAACAATATCAACACCAGACCTTTTCGTATGCATTTCCAGGGTGCGTCCACACTTGGTCCAAATGAAGTGGACTCTTTTGGGTAGTAAAAATGCTTTTGGAAATGTGAAATCACAAACAGGTGAACCCTGCTCCAGTTCACCTGAGTCCATTTCACTTATGTCGATAAAGTTCACGCCGTGAAGACTTTTCCATTTGCTTCTAGCGTGAATCTAGTCCACCTGACCAATAAGTGTGAATGCACCATCAATGATTTACACTCTTCCAACTTAAAGGTGAAAACTCAACACACACACAGGGAAAGCCACAAATTACCCCCCCAAAATTGAGGGGTGCCGTTGCATTACGTTTATATTTAAGAAAGAGGTTACAGAAAAGAACAGGCTTTGTCAGTGGGAAGCAGAGGCTGCAGCTAAAGGTTAGAGACTGTTAGTGATTCATTATGGCCAACTCTACTGTTGGCTTGAAGCTAAAGGACAGAGCAGCCCACATGAGGCATGGTGGCAGGGCAGGCTCGGGGGGTAACCTGCACTGGGGGGCCTCTGGTCTGCAGCACTTCTTTCAGCCTGTCTCTCAACAGCAGAGGGAGCAGCAGCAGCAGCAGCAGCAGCAACTGCTCGACGGCTCATCCCCGGAGGGTCAGCCAGCCGGAGCAGCCTCTGCAAACGCCTACACACTAAACTTATAGGCAGGCGGTGGGGACCGTATTCTGACAAAGAGGCTGGAGGGGACAGTAAATGTAGAATTAGACAGAATGACTGAGACAAGGAGCAGGAGTGAAAAACAGGAGGAAGGAGACCAGAAAATGTCCACACACACACACATACACACAGACACAGACGGTCACACTGCAGTCTGCTGTGGGCTCTACCTGATGGCGCTGGTTCAGAGGTGGGTGTGGCACTCTGAGTGGGGGTGGCGCTTGAGGTGGAGGTGGCGGTCTGGGTGGGGGTGGCACTTGAGGTGGGTGTGGCGGTGGGATCCTGGATCCTCTGTGAGGGAGAGTCTGGGGAAGATGTAGGCGGTGACGTGGAGGAGGAGGCGAGAGGAGCTGTGATGGTGGATGAGGATGCTGAAGATGAAGATGCTTCAGCAGCAGGGGCAGTGGAGATCTCTGACGACTCTGGTTCTGCAGTTGTACTGGTGTCTGCTGCAGCAGCAGCAGCAGCAGCAGCAGGTGCACTCGATGGCCCCTCTGGACGAATAGCCGTTCCTTAAACAGCACAAAAAAGATAATGAAAAAATTTAATCTTTTTTTACGAGATAATCAACTCATTGGCCCTAATTCCTCAACATGCCGGTGAAAACTTTGTTTCCAGAATATGCCAGAGGAAGTATGATATTTGTGAACCTGGGCATGCCACCCCAAATCTTAAGTACGTATAGCAGCTGATGATAATGAAAATGCAAGGTTTGGACACCAAACAAGCTTTCATCAAAGCAGGAAATCACAAATGAATAAATCAGGGGTTTGGTCAATATAAATGATGGCAAAAGTAATAATGTTTTCCTCAACAAAATAAACTATAAATGAATGAAAGGTCAACACGTCTCATGATATTAAAATTAGCTTCTCAAAATCAAATTTCGGATGCCCCCTGGTGAAGTCCTCGGACACGCTGGAGGGACTATAGTCTCTCAGCTGGTCTGGGACCACCTAGGGATTTCCCAGACTGAGCTGGAGGAAATGTGTGTGGAGAGGAAGCTGACCAAGAAAAGATAAGGTATTAAGTTACAATAAAAGTCTTATAAAGGATTTGCAGCATTTTGTGTGATTCAGAACAAACTGTACAAGTGAGATGCGTCATTATTATTCCAATGAAATATTTTGTTTTATTTGTAAAAACAACTATCATCTACTGATGAATAGAAACAAGTAGAAACAAAAAGAAACCTATAACCTAATAGATTTTTTGGCAGCCCTACCTCTGGGCCGTGCCTGAGGCCGGGTACCTCTGCTGCTTTGTGCCTCACTGGCTTCTTCAAACCATCGCGACAACATGTCCGACATCCTCTGCATCAGAGACACATTTGGACTCTGCTCCCCTGTAAAAAGTATTTAATGTGTCAGGTAGACCACTTTTTTGATACAAAAACCGTAATATTCCTAGCATTTGTACAGATTTGATTCTGATGTGTAAGTGGTTACCATTACATATTATATATTTCATGGGCGGTCAATGAAAAAAATATATAAATGTGTGTGTGTGTGTTTCTCCTGGTGGATGAACAGAGGTGGCCAGATTGGGCGGGGCTACCAGTTCATTCAGAAACATGTTCTTCACTAATGGTTCAAAATCAGTTCATCTTAATACATGAAATAAAATAATCCCAAAAACACTGTTTACCGTCCCGCTCTCTCTCACTCTCTGGCCGAGCGCGGGGCCCAGTGTCAGACCAGTCTCCTCTCAGACGCAGACGTTTGACTGGGGGCTGTCTCAGCTGTGGAAACACACACAGATTAGTCATTTGTCACTCTCCCGAACTGGAGACAAAAATAGCTCTGCTGCTAGAGCAAAACACTCCTGGGTCTGGCAGCTTCTCTCCAAAGTGACACCCCTGACTGAGGACCCCCAGGTCTCTGCAGGGTAACACTGAGTGACACAAATAGATGCAGTCTCAATAGAAAAGTTAGTTACAACATATTTTTAGAGTCCAACACTTTGATTCAAGAAATCATTTTTATGAAAATAAATGATACCTACAAACACAGAGGGAAATGGTTGTTCCCCAACATTGACCTAGACTGTTTTTGTGAGCAGTGAAGTAGTGTGTTCTGTATTTGGAAAGGAATGTGTGTGGAGGCTGCATCTCTACACAGCTGAACTCACCACAATGTTTTAAACTCTGACATCGTGATTCATGTCACATGTCCATCTCCCACCATCATCGTCAGCTCATACATTCAACAGACTGAGATCCGCCGGACAGAAATACAGCAGCTGTGCTTTAATGTGAATCTTTCTGTCATCTATCTTTTATGTTGGACAAGAGTGCAGTAGTCTCATTCCCAGGGTTTTTTTTGGATCAAAATCCCCAGGTCGCTCTTACCATACCCCTGCTAGCTTGTCAGAATGACTAGTGTTTTTGCAGAGACGTGTAAAGTGGGAACACTACGACCAAATAATATAATTTAGACAGCAAAAAAACTAAACTGTTATAAATTCCATTGCGTACATGTGGGTCATGTAAAGAAGATTTTCACAAGTTACACAAAGGACAATAGTTAAAATGACCTTGTAAAGAGCCATGTAACCAGATAATCCTTGTAAAAAAAATTGAAAACGTTTATATTTCTCCATGTTTTCCGTAGTTCATTATATCACAATTCCCTCTGGTCCTCTGTGCACTGCGCTGTGACTTTAGGAAGTTGTTGACTCTCCACATTCAATGACATTTTTGGACATTGGTCATCTGCCCCTTTTGGACCAATGGCTTTATGTGTTTTGGATTTGAACTATTTTATTCTCTGATCTGTGTTGGCGAATTCAACAATTTTTTCAAGTCCTCCGAGAGAACTACTGCTGTGATTTCGAGATATACTGTACAAGAATGAATTGAATTGAAATAAATTGTATGGAAATGTGTATTCCTCTAGGCCTGGTAAAAGAACTTAGGTGAAAGAGCAGCAGAAGCCTCACCTCCTCCCTTCTCTCCTCTGAGGGGCCCTTGAGCTCCCGCGCCTGGTCGTCTTTGGGGTCAAACAGATAGATATAATCGGAGGAGTAGCTGACCAACACCTCCTGACCGTCTTCACTGTAGCACAGAGAGGTCACTCTGCACGACTTGTTGGACAGATGAGCAGGGACAAACCGCACACACATGCCTGCATTCACACGCCCCATGTAGTTTCCTGAACAAAAGCTTTGTATTAGGTGCAGTATAAGCATTGTACATACATTTCTTTAAAACAGTATTCATTGAAACCATCTTGATGCAGAGATGAGACTCACCTGTAGTTCTAGTTCCCAGCATGCGCCTGTCATAGATGCGCACTGAGCTGTCAGAGCAGCCCACCGCCAGATAGAAGGGCATCAGAGGAGAGATGGAGATAGAGGTGGCTGCTCTCCGACAATTTATTAAAATGTCCTGTAACAGAACCACAGGGAGCTGAATTTTACATCAAAGAAAATACTTAATTTTACATATTTACATTTAAAAATTAGATTTTGGATTTTGTCTTTGCTGAGGCAAGGACAGGGGTGATGATCCAGCACACTCGACATTTATCGACATTTAACATTACATTTCTTGGGTTTGAACCGTTTGATACTCTGATCTGTGTTGGTGAATTTGAAGGTTTTGTAAAGTCCTCAGAGATAACTACTGTTGTAATTTAGGTCTATACAAAATAAATGTATTTGAAATGAAGAAATAAACATGAATAAACATGATATGTAGAATTAATATGAACTATAGTTTTGTAAACTGCAGCCAGATATTTTCACTCTGCTTTTGGAATATGAGAAGATGCAGTTTCACACATCAGATGTAGTTTGGCCTTGAGCCAAACCACAATATAGAGCCTTCTCCACCAGAGACTACTATACAAACAGAAGAGCTCACAAAGAGGCAGCTTTAAGGAAAAAGGGAATTGGATGCAAACAACACATCAGATATAAGAGAAATGCAATGAACTGTAGCATGGACGTACATCTTTGCAGTCTTCTTTAGTGCAACTGGTTTTGGTGCGGAGATCAAACCACCGCACTGTGCCATCTTCTCCACACGACAAAAATGTGTAGGGGTCATTTGGGACAGTCATAATCTAAAACAAACACAGGATTCAATAGAGATCACATGAGAGAGCTGCACTTTCCACAAACAAGCGGCTGACCTCATAGGCAGTTCCATAATGACAGGTGAACTGGCACTGTCTGTTGAACTCGGGGCTCTTCTCTGTGTGCGTGTAGTAAATGATGCCATCTCCAGAGCACGACACAATCTCCTGATCATTTGTGTGGGGCATAAATTTTGCACTGAAGATATTTGCCCGATGACCTGAACGGATAGACTTCTTGACCTGGTGGTATTCATTGGGAAAAAAAAAATTTGATTGGAATAAATGCAAACATCCAGAAAACTCAAAAAGCAAAGAACATACCTTTTTATTGTACGGATTTGAAATAACCAAGAAGGTGTCGTCAGAACCTGACAGGAGGTATTCTCCCGTTTCATTCCATGATATAGTGTTGACCTGCACAGATTTGAAGATGTTTAGTTCCAACTTCTTACAAGACTAATTTAAATTCCTTTATCCAGTTATCAGTAGATAATGAGTCTCTCAACTGAGCAGTATTTCATTTACAACAACAATGTGATTTAGCCCTGAAACCCATGCAAAGTGTCAGCTTTGGGGAACAGAGGGTGAGGGTCTGGAAGTGTGGTGCTGAAAGTCTGGTGAATGAATGTGAATGTTATTTGTTTGGATGTTTTGTTCTTTTATTTTCTGGAAACTGTAATATGTTGTATTGTCCTGCTGTCTCAGGACCCCCATGAAAAAGAGGTGGTTCATGTCAAGGGGCTATCCTTAAAAATAAATACATTTAGAATCCCCATTAGCTGCAAATCAGCAAGTCTTCATGGGGTTCTTTAAAATTACAACAATTTACATGCAATATATATACACATACACTCATTATCCAAAATGTACACACTACAAATTCATTACACTGGAAAAGGGTTATCAATAGGACACATATTTCATACCAACACCATTCACATTTTTAAGAACCATTGCTCAGTCACTCCAGCTCAAGCCCGAGCATTTCACCCACAAAAGTTTGAATTTGTCTCTTAAAGCTTGAACAATGAGTCATGATGGTGATGTTAAAGGTAAGTTACGCAGACTTTTCTTGGCTCTGTCGATAGCCTAAGTGGTTACATTTTTGGAGCAGCATTGAAATGTCTTAAATGCTGTAACAAACAATGATTATACAGATACTAACCTAGTTATCATTCCAAAAGTGCCTTGGAGAGTTATTTCATGTAGATTAAAATAACCACAACAATATGTACAAAAAGAGAAAGAATGATTACAAACTACTGAATCATTTCCAACCACTATAATCCTCTTCTTTTGTTGTAACATTATGTAATGACATCCTGTAACAGTCTAACTATGATCTATAATATAACTTTAAAATGTTCAATTTGAAAACAAAATTAATAGATTCTGCCAGCGTTATTTATTACAGCACATGGATTGTGTATTTAGGCTAGTCCTCATTTAAAGTCATGTTTTAGACCAGTTTTTAAGACCTGTACTGCAGGTTTGCGATACTACTACTGACTGGTGAGGATAGACGCCACAAATAAGTCTACATGTAAGTATATTCTCACGAAATGGGCCAAACAATTGCATTAGATCAGGGGTTTCCAATCTGTGGCTTGGGAGCTACCAGGAGCCCACCACCAGTAGCTGCCCAAAGGTTTCAGGAATTTTACATATAATCCTAAATTATTCACTTGTGAGTCATATCTATTTTAACTATAGATTAAATAGTATATACATTTAATGTACAACTCATTTGATATGTTTCAGTCTGGCTTTAGACCCCACCACAGCACTGAGACTGCTCTCGTCAAGGTAACAAACGATATCCGGCTGAACACTGACGCAGGCAATGTCTCAATCTTAATCTTAATCTTGTTAGATCTGAGTGCTGCCTTTGACACCGTTGACCAGGAGATCCTCTTACAGAGACTAGAGAACTGGGTTGGGCGTCGCTGGCACTGCCCTGAGTTGGTTTAGGTCTTAGCTTGAAGACAGGAAGTACTTTGTGGAGATTGGGAACTGTGTCTCAGATCATATGGCCCTGACCTGTGGAGTACCACAGGGGTCGATCCTGGGACCTCTTCTGTTCAATCTCTACATGCTGCCGTTAGGTCAGTTAATACGCAGAAACAAAGTGTCCTATCACAACTATGCAGACAACACTCAGATCTATGTCTCACTGACTGCAGGAGAACATGGACCAGTGGACTCACTCCTTCACTGTATCCAACAGATCAGTGAGTGGATGTAAAAAAAAAAACCTCCTTCAGCTAAACGCAGACAAAACTGAAATGAGCGTCATTTGTCACCTACAGTCTCTCTTCTTAAAACCTTCAAACAAGGTCAGAAATCTGGGTAATACTGGACTCAGACCTAAATTTTAGTAGCCACATCAAATCAATAACATCAGCAGCTTTTTACCATCTAAAAAACATTGCCAGGATCAAAAACATAGTGTCTAAAGCAGACTTGGAGATTCTTATTCATGCATTTGTCTCCAGTAGGTTAGACTACTGCAATGGCCTGCTCACAGGTCTGTCCAAACAGGCTGTAAAACAGCTGCAGTACATTCAAAATGCAGCAGCTCGAGTCCTGACTAGAACCAGGAAGTACGACCACATTAGTCCAGTCCTCAGGTCTCTGCACTGGCTTCCTGTGGCTCAGAGAATAGACTTTAAAACAGCTCTGCTTGTGTACAAGTCTCACCATGGCCTCGCACCAAAATATATTAGTGACATGTTAGTACCATACGAACCAGCCCGGACTCTGAGGAGCACAGGGACTGGACTCCTGTTAGTGGCCAGAGTCAGAACTAAACATGGGGAGGCTGCTTTTCAGATTAATGCCGCTAATATCTGGAACAATCTTCCTGAAGATGTGAGACAGGCCTCCTCTCTGACAATGTTTAAAACCAGGTTAAAAACAGTTCTCAAGAGGGATTTTATATTTTTATCTTTATTTTTAATGTACTGTGATTATTTATGATTTTTATGCTATTTTGTCGCCCATAAAATGATGGGCGACAGTGGCTCAGTTGGTAGAGCATTGGCCTTTGAGCCTGAAGGTCGTGGGTTCAAGCCCACCATAAGACCTACTTCACGACACCCACTGATGACTGCTGTCGTTGTGTCCTTGGGCAAGACACTTAACCCCACTTTGCCCGAAGCCCCCACTGAAAGATCTCAGCTCCTGTGGACTCACCACTTGCAGGAGGATCAGTGAGGGGCTGGTGCTCTGCGTACTGGGTGCAGCTCTGACTGCCACCCCCCCGACCCAGAAATGGATTAAGGGGAAGAAAATGGATGGATGCTATTTTGTTTTGTTCAGCACTTTGAATTGCCCTTGTGTATGAATTGTGCTATACAGATAAACTTGACTTGCCTTGCCTTACATATTTTCATTAATGCAGGGATACTGTGCAGTAAATGGTATATTATGTATGTACGTATGCCATGATTTGCTGTAGTTATTAGAGACTTCAATTTTATAATAACTGCTAAAGGAGTAGCTCTCCATTTCTGTTTTATAAAAGTAGCTCTCCAATTGAAAAATGATAGAGACCCATGCATTAGATACATTGAATAACGGTCAGTGGTTTGTGAGTTTTCCACTTTTGCCTCCCATTCCTGTAGGAGAGGTCACATATAATATAGCTCCTGTTACAGATCGGGGCTGGTGTGACTGAGTATTGGACACAGTGAAGATTGCTGATAGTGTAACAAGACGTGTGACCATATTATGCGCTTCAGGTTTCTATCTGACCAAACCAAAGCTGTTCCTCACAAACTGAACGCGACAAAAAGGCTTAGGTTCTTGTGCGGAGGTGAGAAGTTCCACTTACACAGCCATCATGGACATTGAGGGTTGATTCGAGTTTAAGCCTCTGAACAAACTCTCTTCTTCCTGTAACAGAAGAAAAACAGGATTTTTGTGTTGCAAAGTTAAAAGTAAGCAGTCATTACAAACAATAAGACAAGAAAGGCATACATGTCTCACTTTATTGATAAAAATATGTCCAATTTCAATCACATAAAATCAAAATGGATTAATCAAAGGAATAATTGCTTGATTAATCATTATCAAAATTATCGCTAGTTTGAGCCTTATAACACATTCATAAACCATTAAACAACCCTTACCAATAAAGATCCAACCCAGCTAACAATTCTTTTATCACAACTAATGTTTATCAATTGAAACTTAAGAATGTTGAAAATAAGTTGTATTCTGACTCAGGCAATTCTATAATTACTAAAAAATTCAACACATTTTTTTTACAAAGTATTTCTAATCACACAAACCAATGTGTAACAAGTCATCTCTATGAAGATGTCCTCCATTTAGTTATGGTCAAATGCATACACAGACTAATCAATAAATTAGAATCATGTTTAATTACAGCCGTAAACCCAGCACATGTTTTCTCCATGGATAATGTTGTTCTTCATAGACATTAACCTCATCAACATCTGGGGAAATGCCCTTCTGATCGATACAGATTTGCTTTCATCAGAGCACACCACTGTGGCACCCACAAGAAAGCCCCCACCTCTTTGTGCCAAAAATATCCTCCAAGAGCCTGCCAACATCACTGCAAGTCCTCGACAAACACCAGCACAGACCATATCCAGCTAAAAGCAGCCCACACCAGTCACTGCTGTTGACTACTCCTGTGCGTTTTAATACTGACCATTTCAATTGTCAAAATGCACAATGTTGTGCTCACTCTGTGACTTAGGGCGGCCCCAGTAGCTTTGAACAATAATATTGACAAACAATAGACCTGCAGCAGGCGGACACTTCCCTAGTGAGTGAAACGAGCACGTTATGCATCTGCACAGAATGAAGTCCAGCTGTGGTGACAAACACACGGTATACCTGTTATTCTCTGCCCTCTGTGGAATAGTGTTGTTGTTCTTACCTAAATAGTTGGTCCTGATGGTGTAAGGCTCGTTGTATCCAATTACACGTTTATTAACGTCCCAAACCAGGTTCCCTGAGCAGGACATTGTAGCCGAAAGGGTAATTTAGTTGACAATAACATTGAAACTAAGCTAACCCTTCTCTGCTGGTGTCGTATTTTATTTATTCTCGTTGGGATCTTGCCAGAGGTATTTTGTCCATAAAAGCTAACGCGGCGGCGCGAGGCGTGACACTGACATTTCTTGCACTATTAAACCCTGTTGTTCTCTGAGACCGTGTCCCCTCGTTGACGCTGACAGTGTCCTTCTCTGGACTGATGTGTCTGTCCAGCTCGGTCAGCTCGGTCCTGCTAGCGCCTGGCCTTGTGCATTTCTGCAAACAGCGGTCAGCTGTGAACACATAACGCGATAATGTCCGTGTTTTGGGTTCGCCAAAGATCTGTGCGTTTGATCCCGACAGCACGACCTCGTCAGGCGGGCGGAGCTACATTGTTTTCCTTTTCTCAAACGCATGCATAGCTACATCATGTCGCGAAAAATGACGTGATAGATAACAAATAATATATTTTTATAGAATTTTAATGCTATTATATGGGTTCCAGACAGGTGACCAGTCTGTGGCTAGAAGTGTAAACATATGGAAAATCATCGAACAATAATGAAACAGATAACGCTAGTTATCAAAACGCACTGTTTGACAGCACTGGTGTATTAAGCAAAAAAATGAATATTTGTTTTTGTAGCCAACAAAAAGTGATAGTGGTAACCAATCAGGGTCAAACAGCTATGGCCCGCCCTCAGACGATAGGTTGCGCGGTGCGGAAAGTCACCTCGGCAATCACAGAGCTAGCAGTAGTGTTAGCATTAGCATGGTAGATCTGTCACTGGAAGGTCGACAGTAGGACGGCTGCATATGTTCGTTTTTTGTGTTATACAGAACCTGAGACTGACGTACATCCAATCAAGTGGTCGTTCATAGATACATTTTACTTGAAAGAGATTATTTCTTCTAAACTACTGAAACACCATGGCTGCACTCAGAGCGTCCTACCACAGGATCTTGGACAGGATCGAGCATATACTACCTGCCAAACTGAGACCTCTTTATAATCATCCTGCTGGTATTTATGCTTAAAATGTTGTTACATGAGCAAATTGTGTTTATATGCTACGCTAAGCTACGCTTGTAGGGCGCGAGATCCAGGTTTTTTTACAGATGCCCACAAGGATCAAGTTATCCATTGGTTAGCTCTGCTTTTGTTTTGTATGCAAAATACAATATTGTAGTACTGTATAAGAAATAAATCGAGCTTTGAATAAATTATGATTTTAGACACAACTAAAAGTCTCCATTTATTCATATGTTCCACTTTTAGCGTAGATTTTTTACGATGCTTCATACGCCATCGTGGTCCACTAAAGAGTAGACATTTATTTCTTATTCATAATCGCTATATTTTAGAATATAAGCAAATGGAAAGAAGTCCGACTCTGGTTGTCATTTTCTGATTAAGTTTTGGCCAGGTAAAGGATGCGGTGACTGGTGGCTGGTCCTTGTGTTTAGCCTACAGCAAAGGAATGTTTGAACCGGTTGCATAATGCCCTTTTTGTTTTTAAGGTCCAAAAACCATTTTCTTCTGGGCTCCAGTGTTCAAATGGGTACGTATTTATTTTTTTTTTGCTATAAAGTGCAGCAATTTCTGTGCAAATCATCCTTTTGTCTTTCAGGGTTTAGTTTTCGCTGGTATGGCTGATATGGCAAGACCCGCAGATAAATTAAGTACTTCTCAATCAGCAGTACTCACTGCAACAGGTGAGGTGGTGTACTACAATGACTTGTACAGGACTGTCCAAAGTTTTTCAATATAGCTCGTCAAACAAATCGCTATCAGTTGAACTCTTTACTCACATTTGTGCTTGATCTCTGCTCTCATTTCTTAGGATTGACCTGGTCCAGATATTCTTTAGTGATCATCCCCAAAAACTGGAATCTCTTTGCCGTCAACTTTTTTGTTGGTACCGCAGGTGCTTCTCAGCTTTACAGGATTTGGAGGTGAGTTTTGAAAAAGTTTCATTTTTGTGAGCACAATTTTTACATTTCTTAATGTTCCAGGCATAACCAGGATATGAAGGCACAAGCAAAAGAGACCGAAGCCTAAATACTCCGGATTGAAAATGGGCAATTTAAGCCGAGGCCCCATTTGAATACTTTTACATTCACATTAAATCCATGCCATGATTCGTCACTTAGTTTTCCTTCATGGAATTGTATAGTTTATGTTGGAAGGAAATTAAAGTCAGATTGTAAATACTCATTAGCGCACAAGGACTTGTTACAGAAAGCAAATGTTACTTTAAACAAGTGTAGCAATTCTCTTAATATTCACAGCAGGCATGAAGCTACTGCATTTACACCTGGGCTAGGGCCAAACAATGTAAACTAATCATGATCAACAGAATGTAAATATCAATGTACCATGTTGAAGCTCATTAAATGTCCTGACTGGTGCACTCATTGGCCCTGGAGGGTCTCTTAACGTGACTTGAATTAACCAGTGGTTACATAATGGCTTTGAGTCTAATAAAAATGAATAACTTATTGCAGGTGTGTTCAATGGAAACTAAGCGATTTAACCCAAATTAACCCACAAACACCATTGATTAACCACAAAGGTTTTATTAACCAGTATACGATTTAGCGTTTTCCACCAACACGAGGTGCGCTGATCTTCATGGGCTTAGCAATCTTGGGCTTCTGTGCAGTCTTCGCAGAAGTCTAGAAGGGGAGGGGAGACATTAGCACACTGGTTTTCACAACACATTAGCTGCGAACAAACTGAACAGATCAGCTGCATTAGCACTGACAGCACAGTCCTTTCTCAATAAGCTTAAAATTAAGTAGGTAAATTGACGCAGGTATTTAAGAAAAAAGACGAGAGACTGACCCAGTTAATCGAAATTATTCCAAAGCAGTCACTTATTAAAACTGCACTTAAGGCATGGCAGGAAATGAGTAAATGCCAATGTCTATACCTTAAACTAATAGACACAAGTTAGAGAACAGTCAATACCACCATGGCAGGTGGAAAACAGTTTATAATTATTTTACAGCATGAAAAGTTTGAGGAACGTCAATATTTAATCAAAAACTTAGTGCACAGGCAATGTAGCATACAATAATTGGGTGTAATTCAATCCAGTCAAATTTAAAATATTCCTGGGCTTTTCGAAAAACTGGTCTGCAGAGTAGAGTTTTGGTTGTATAAAAAGATTGTCATCAGTATAAAGAGTAGCTATTGGCCAGAGGTGATTGAGCAGTCTTCCAGTGGCAGCTTTTTCAATGGAAAAAAAGTGTTGGCAGAATGCTCTCCACACGTGGCTTATGGCCCAAGTGAGTGAATGTTCTGTATATCATCAAAGTAGATCTAGGTTAAATCAGGAAGCATGTGTCATAGGCTGAATAAGTTTCTTTCAAAAGCAAGCAAAGAGCATTAATCCTATGCAGTCTACCTGCAACTATACTTAAAGAGCACAATTTATAAATTCTCACCTTTGCACTAGTGGCAGCTGGTTTCTTGGTTGCCTGCTTTGCCTTTTTTGCCTCCTTTGCAGCTCTGAGGAGAAATTCAATGAGCGTTGATTTGACACATTTGTAACCACCACTATATCAGGAAGTCTAGTATGATAGTCTTCAAATTACGTTTACAGACATTTCCCCCAACGGAAACATTTTTATCAACTTTGTCCTCTTGTATGTTACAGTAAGTGATATGGTAGATTTAACCTACAATATGACTTAGATTCTGTACCCTGTATGAGGCATCAAATTGTAAATAGTTTTCTGTTTTTCATTTATGTTTATGTCTGTAGCCTTGTTCAGTGTGGGCTGGATCTTTTTGTGCATGACTTTTAAATAAAATAAACAACCTCTGAACACGCACCTCAACTGGCTTGCGCACAAAAGTTGGGCATACCAATATCTTTGCATATTTAAAAATACATCACATGCTTGTGTGATGCATCATTTTAAAGCTGGAATAATTCATTCCTATTTCACTGTGCATACTTTGAAGTTTGGCAAAAAAACAAGCCTTGCCTACAATATTAAATATATATTAAAAAACCCTAAAAAAGGCATACTTCATTGTAAGCTCACAATATTCAAACCTGGTGCTTATTTTCTTTTGGCAACAACTGTCAAGTTTCAGACCTCTGCAAAATGGAAACCACCAAAACTATTAAACCAGTGCCATTAAGGTTGTATTGGTACACTTTGTGTTAATTTATAATTTAATCAAATTTTATGTGTTCCATCACATTAAAAGAAAATTGCAGATCGCCTCAACCAAGGTCTCAATGTTTAGCAAAGAAGAGTAACACGAGCATAATTATTTGTTATGGGGGTAAGACAAGCTGGAAGAATTATTTTTTATGCTTTTTATATTTTTAGTGTTAGGTCTGGTATTGCTTGTACTTTTATATATTAATTATACATTAATGTAGATGTGAAAATAAAACATTTTCTACAGCTTTTGGGGTTTGAAGACCAACATCAATACTAAATTCACAAAAAATTAGTAAACATTTCTTGAGATTACCTGATAGCTTGCTCCCTCTGGGCTTTGCGGACCTCAGGTTTCTGGTTTCTCTTGGCCATAATTTCAGCCAGGGAGGCACCAGTGATGGCCCTCTGGAACTTCACTGCACGGCGTGTACGCTTTTTTGTCACTTCTTCCTGTTTAAAAATAAATAATTTATAAAACACTTGAGAGGAACTTAACAGAAATGATAATTTTTGTAGGAGAGTTTGGAGGCTAGCCAATGGAAATTAGTCCTTGAAGACAGTCAAAGGCCAGTACTATGATCTCCTGATGCTCTGTGGATGCAGGTGTGGAGTGAGCGCTACTGCGATGTCTGCAAAACGCAGACCCTCAGCAACACATGACATGGATAGTAACCACGCACACCGTCCACCCGCAGCCACATTCTTAAACTATTATTCACAAACGAATACAAGTAGAGACTTACTGACTGGCCCTTCTTGTGCTTGCGCCTGTACAGCACTGTCCAGTTGATCTGTCGTGGATTCCTTTTGGACAGGAAGGCGGATTCACACTTTGCGTTCAGGAATTGGAACACCTAAAAGTTAACACTGCCATTAGGAATGCGATTATAAATGGCAGATACAAGTACTGCAGTAAGGGCAAGAAAGGTCCTACAAAACATGTTACTTCAGAGGATGCATTAGTCAGTCACGGTGCTAATAGCCAATAGGGTTTGTGATGCTAATGCTAGCCAACCCACGTCATGTTTCTGGACATTTGGAAACGTTAGTAAATGTATTCAAATGGATAAATGGATAGATACGTGCCAAACACATAAAACCATGTTCAAATAGTTTAATAAAGCAGACAGTGTAGGAAGATCAGGCTGGAGTCAGTCGGCTTTACCTTCCCGTCTATCCTGGCGTATCGGCGGCCATGGCCCGGGTATATTTTATACCCGCTAAAGCTGCACAACTCGACCCTAAAAACAGCAAATGGTTCACATTAACAAGAGAAACGTGGATGTGGAAGATTTTATCATGGTCAAAACGAGTGTACGTGTCTCTAAACACATAGATGGCCTTAGATTATTTTCCGTACACTTACTTCATGGTGGCTACGAATGGGCACCAAGCGGAAAGAACGACTGCTACGGCGGAAACGGAAGTGAGGATTCTTGCTATTTTTTATACTTTTAAAACAGGGCAATACAAGTTTGAACAATGCCTGTAGTTATGTGTATCATTTAATGTTGCGTATATACAGCAAAATGTCAGTGTTTTCTCATGGCTGAATTTTCTCTTCGCACCGGTCACATGCACCGGTACTACATTTCCCATGATGCAGCTGTATCTGGCGGCTGCTGAGTGTCGTTCCTTCACAACACAACTAACGAGCGTATGTTGTGCTAGTGGAGCTGGATTACTAATACAGGCTGAAAGCATGGGTGTTTCAGATATACAGTCTGATTCAAAAGCTGGTAGGTGCTGCACATACACAATATTATGGCCATGTTTGGTTGATGTTAGCATTTTTTGTTAATATTACCCCGGGAACTGTATCTAACTATGACTTAGCTAGCATCTTCAGTTCCTGTGGGCGATAAACACACTTCACCTGACACATATGCATTTAAGTCATACACAGTTCACTTAGTGGTGTAACCTGCTGTGGTGAAGTTAACTATTAAGATGTTGGATCAAAGTGCAGCCCCAGTAAAATTGTTATTTTCCTTTCAGGACTTGTGGTGGATCTTTCAGCCCAGAGTCTACAGAAGCTGGATCCCAGTTTCACATGCTCAGAGGATACTCACACTCTCATTCTTGACCGCAATCAAATCATGAAGCTGGATTACATGGAAAGAAATCCAGGCCTTCAGCAGGTAAATTGTTGTTGCAATGTTGTAGAATCAAAGTTCAATCATTGATTGTACATGGCTAGTGTTACATTTTTATGCTGTTTTCTCCAGCTGTCTGTGGCCAGTAACCGCTTGGTGAGAATGATGGGGGTGTCTCGGTTAACTGAGCTCAGAGTTCTGAACCTTCCCAACAACAGTATTGGTTATATTGAAGGTCTAAGAGATATGCCATATTTGAAATGGCTAAATCTGTCAGGAAATAATATCAAGGTAAGTTTTTTAGTAAAGTTTAATAGTGTGTTTTGTATACCACATTTCTAACAAATTAAAGAAACCCAATGCACTTAACATTTAGAAGTCCATACATTTTTCTAAAAACAATCCCATAGAATTCCCTTTATCTACGATAAGATAGATGTTTCAGTTTTGTTTGTATTTACTACATCTAACCATTCTTTTTGTTTCTATTTTCACAATTTAAGGTTATTGAGCAACTTAACAACTGTGTTTCACTTCAACATTTGGACCTCTCTGACAATAACCTCTCAGTTATTGGAGATTTGACAAAGCTTGTTGAACTGAAGGTAAAAGCATCTGTATGTTGTGTCTAATTCCATGTTATCGCATGTTATTATCTCATGATTTAACGTTTGCAGACGCTGTTACTCCATGGAAACAGCATTACAACACTCCGTACAGTTCCTGCACACCTTCCTGTTCATTTATCTATTCTCTCACTTGCAGAAAATGAAATCAGAGATCTGAATGAGGTACAACATGGTCATTGAGGATGATATTTCCTTGCATGCGTAAGCGTTGGACTGACTTAAGAAACCTTTTGCGTTTACTTTTAGGTGTCATATCTAGCGCCTCTTCAAGACCTAGAGCAGCTTTCTATAATGAGTAACCCCTGTGTTATGGCCACTCCATCGTTGCCAGGGTTCGACTATAGGCCATACATTACAAGCTGGTGCCTGAACCTTAAAGTTCTCGATGGCTATGTAGTGTCCCAGAAGGAAGGGTATGTGTGTGTTTTATTAAAATGTACATATAAGCCTGTATTTCCCATTACCACTTTATACTTGCTTCTTATTATGTCAAAGAACGAGATTTTATACTTTAGTATAGATTAGATAGTATAGATTTAGTATAGTGTTAGTTATTGTTCATTAATCTTGCAACACTGAAATGTCCGCACTGTGGGATGAATAAAGGAAATCTTAATGTTTATCTCATATTTTTAGATTGAAAGCAGAATGGCTGTACAGTCAAGGCAAAGGGCGTTCCTTTCGCCCAGGACAACACGTTCAGCTGGTTCAGTATTTGGCCACTGTGTGTCCTCTGACCGCGTCGCCGGCTTTGGAGACCGCAGAAGATGCAAAGCTGGAGAAGATTTTGAGGAAGCAAAGGTTTTTTTAAAATATATAACATGAAAACTTTCTCAAATCAAACATGAGACACCACCTTCTCCTTCCGCCCTCAGGATGCACCAAAAGCAGCTTTTGGAGGAAAGTGCTGTAGGTTGTCCCAGTCCCCCTCGTCCCACACAGCTGGATGTAGAGAGGCACAGTGCGGCGCATGCAACACAAGAGGGACCCAGAGATCTGCACACAACTCCCACTGTGAAGTCATGTCAAGAGACCAGTATGTGATGGTTCATTGTGCCGTGGGTGTTTTAGGTGTTCTTAGATAAGATAAGAGAACCTTTATTCTTCCCTCTAGGGACATTTCAATGTTGCAGGACAGTAGTTAAAGAACACAGGGAGCACACAAAATATTCAATATAAATAGCTGCTATATTTCTTAGCTAGCTGTAAATAATTAAATGTATCTATCTAGTGTAAAGTTATAAACATATAAGGCACGATAATAAGTAGATTAAGTGACATTCAGTGGCCATTCTGAAATTACTGTATTGCACATTGCACGATTGCAGTATTTACTATTTACAGATGTTATGACATATACAGGCTCACTAATTCTTGTTGTACAGTCTGACAGCAGCATGAAAGAATGACCTGCGGAACCTCTCCTTCACACAGCGAGGTTGAATGATCATTGTGACTCTCTTGTTTCCTGCTTAGAGCCAGTTGTCCAGATAAATTCCTGGGTGAGCGGCGATGTAGCCAACACGTCCGTATGTGTGAACCGCAGCCCAAGACTCGATGAGCCGATCTATTTAGAGGACATGCAGACGGATGAGGACAAACTTGACAGTAGCATGCTGTCATCTGAGTCCACCTTTATCCCATTCAAATCTGAACTCGAACATCTCACTGATCCCACTGACAGCGAGGACGAAACGGAGACATTTGAACCTGATTCTCTGGCGCCAAAGATCTCTGCTCCCAAAAGACGCAGAGCAAAGAAAGAGCCTCATTCTCCTTTGACTGGACAGCAAGAGACTCATATAAATATCAATGTTACGAGCTGTGGTTTGCCAGAAATTGAGGCAAAACCTGATGAATGTCTAAAAATGGATGATCATAGAGAAAATAACAAACACTGCTCGACTTCAGAAGAGGCTGACAAGGCTGCTATTAGAATACAGTCGTGGTGGAGGGGGCATTACACACGCTTTGCAAATCCCAAAGCTAAAGAAGTGCGAAGTGAAATTCGAATGAGGCGGATGCAAGACCACATCCTCTTTTTGTCAGAGAAATTAGATCGGTAAGTTTTTGTTGAATCTATTTTCATCATTTGGACCACAAGGACCAAATAAATGTGTTAATATCTTTTACAGAGTGCAACAACAGTATAAAGATGAACGATTACAACGGATGGTACAAGAAGAGACCGTGAAGTTTTTGTGGAAAGAGGTATGTCTTTGGTAATTGTCTTTATTTGCATTATTTCAAGGCCTGAGAACTCATGGTGTGTGGAAGTGACAGTTCAAAACCAAATAGATGCTCCAACTACAACCAAAATATGTCATACTGGCATTAATCAATAAAAAAAGCAAAACAAAAGAGGATGGACAGACAAGAATGTTCAACAGGCCAGACATACAGTACAGACCAAAAGTTTGGACACACCCACCCATCTCAGGAGTTTTTTCATCTTCATGACTATCAAAATTGCAGATTCACACTGACGACCTCAAAACTATGAATTAACTCATGTGGAATTATGTTCGTACCAAAAAAAAAAGTATGAAACAACTGAAAATATGTCTTCTCGGTTCTTCAAAGTAGCACCTTTTGCTCTGATTACTGCTTCGCACACTCTTGGCATTCTCTTGATGAGCTTCAAGAAGTAGTGACCTGAAATGGTCTTCCAACAGTCTTGAAAGAGTTCCCAGAGATGCTTAGCACTTGTTGGCCCTTTCGCCTTCACTCTGTGGTCCAGCTCACCCCAAAACCATCTGGACTGGGTTCAGGTCCGGTGACTGCGGAGGCCGGGTCATCTGGCCCAGCACCCCACCACTCTCCTTACTGGTCACAGCCCTTACACAGCCTGGGTGTGAATCTACAGTCAATAGTCATGAAAAGAAAGAAAACTCATTGAATGAGAAAGTGTGTCCAAACTTTTGGTCTGTACTGTAGATATACATGACAGAGGCGAGATATTATAATAGATCCATGGGCGAGACGTCTTTTCATGCATACACATATTAGCATCAATTTCTTCTCTTGTTAATGTGTTTCTTTCCTGATAGCTCCAGTCCTTGCAGGAGTGGAAACAGTCTGTGGACCATCAAATTGCAAACATCTGTCAGATAAACCAGAGCCCACTGTTGAAACCATGTGAAGCTGCTGCACCTGCTGTCGCCTCATGCAGTAAACTCCCTCCCTGCACCGATGTGTCCTTCCCCGACTCGGGCTTTCAGTCAACCAGCGCACCACTGACGGCCTCAGAGGACAGCTTCATGAGCAGTGGTACCACAGACTCTCCGAAGACTGTGAGAGCGCTGAGTCCTGCTGTAGCGAGTGCAAATGCAGAAGGAGACAGCCCAGAGTGCAGCCTTTTGGAGCAGTACTTATCGTCAGTTCAGCAGAGAGAAGAAGAAGCAGAAGAGGAGTTTAGTGAGAGATCTGAAACGCCTAAACACTCTTCTCCACTGTCTCACACTTCAAGAGGAGCTGAGACATCGGAGGAGACAGAGACTGCATGCACTCCAGAGCGTCTTCGAGAATAGAACTCCAATACGAGATGTGCCGCGTCTCAAATTATGGTGCACTTAAAATAACTTTTATTATTGTTACCTGTGTGTAGCTGAATGAAGCAAGCTAAAGTTTGAATGTGCTATTTATTTTGTATTTAGTCTACAATTAATTTCCCCATCTACAGTTGGAACACTGAAAAGTTTGTAATTTCCCCACTGTGGGTCTAATAAAGGTATAAATAATTTATTCAAAGTTAGAATGTTTTCAAAATGTAAGTTGTTTCTTTAATTCAACCTAAAATGTGAAACAAATATATGACCCAGATAGCAACAGACTCTGGGGCAGATCCGCCTTCAATCCGCCACATCCGCCCAGAGTGGTGATAGCAAAACAGATCCACAGAGTGGACTTGCTCTACCATAGACATATAAAGAGTAGACACAGCAAAGGAAGCTAGCCTTTCACTAAAATCAATGTGTTCACTAAACATCAATTTAAAAAAAATACTCTTTGGTTTTATTAATGTTCTATAAAGTGGCAATGTTGCAATTACGGTGTTGTAAGTATTGAAAAGAAAATATTGTGGCACTATATTTTGAATGTCTTTGGGAAGATCAAAGCTTTTAAAGTTTATTGAGTAATCAATGCCCTAACTTCCACCCATCCATTTTCTACCCTTTAATCCTATTCTGGGTCAGGGGGTGACAGAGCTGCACCCAGTCCTGAGCTGCACCCAGTCCTGAGCACCAGCCCCTCATGAGTCCAGGTGCTGAGTCCACAGGAGAATGGCTGCTCTGTCCGTGACAGCACAGCCTTGATCTTTCAGCGGGGGCTTCAGGCAGAGTGGGGTTAAGTGTCTTGCCCAAGGACGATACGACAGCAGACATCAGTGGGAGTCGTGGAGAAGGTCTCGTGATGGGCTTGAACCCATGAATCTCAGGCCCAAAGGCCGGTGCTTTACCAACTTATGCTCTAATAATGTTCAAAAAAAGAATAGAAAGACGGTGGCGGCACGGTGGCTGAGTGGATAGCACTCTCGCCTCTCAGCAAGAAGGTCCTGGGTTCGAATCCCGGTCGGACCAGGGCCTTTCTGATTGGAGTTTGCATGTTCTCCCCGTGTCTGCGTAGGTTTCCTCCGGGTGCTCCGGTTTCCCCTACCACTAAAAATATGTACAATAGTTCTAGCATGCGCCTCCTGTACTGGCGACCCCGCTCCCATCTCTGTGTGGAGTGAGAGACAAATGCCCAAAATTAACAATTGTAAACCGCTTTGAGACTCAGATCTGCAGTGAAAAGGCGGTATATAAATAAAAACTTACTTACTAACTTACTTACTTACTTACGGTGCCAGTTTCCAGGTCGGCGTTGAGACGGAGGGCCCTGATAGATGAAGACAAGAGACTTCAGGATTTTGCTGAGGAAAACCAGGAAAAGGGAACAGACAGTCTTTTGTGTGGGACAAGGACAGACGAGAGACATGGACAGAGGTCAAAAAAGGGACTTGAGGGACTTGGCCTCAGGAGAGATGGATGATGTTATTAATGATAGTGATTATTTTTTGTTAGGATTTTATTATGTTGGTGCAAATTATAGTTTTGAGTCAGAAACTATTTATTTGGGGATTTTCCAGCTGTGAGTCAATTATCAACATTAACAAATGCTTGATATCTCACTTTGCCTGTTATGAGTTGAATATATTAGTATCACATTGTAAGTTGAATTACAGAAATAAATGGACTTTAGGATCACATTCTGATTTTCCAAGTTTCACGTAGTACTACCCATTTAATTCCCGATAAACTATATGTACAAGCAGAAGTTACACTATATATAGAAAGACTAAATATTATATATAAATATATGTATAAGACATTAAATACACTATATTTATTTTTTTGTCTTTGACTATTGTGTACATACATACCATGTGAATTGCAGCAAAAAGACTCATGCAGGATAGCAGAATACACAACAAATCAGGCCATAACATACAGCTGTCACTCTCTTATTTACTATTATTCTGCGTACTTGAAAAACAATTTTGACACTTACTATTTGGGTGAGAGCTGATTGCCCGAGGGTGGTACTGCTTTTTTTCTTTTCACTTTTCATGTCTGACCAAATTGATCTGAAGCTGTCTCAGATTACCTGCCCAACTAGAGTCAGATTTATTAAAACGTTGGATTGTGTGAGTTCTGAAAGTGTGGTACCCCATCTTTGATCCTGAAATCTTTGTTTTGTGTTTTTTTTCACACAACATATTGAGTAACGGAATCCAAATCTCACAGACATGGACACTGATGCAAGTCCCGTGTCTGTCACTAGGGGGCGCAAAGAGCAAGAGCGCCGTGCTATGTTTGCCTCAGAACTACCCCCTGGTCGCGTTCATTGAGGGCGTTTACGTAGAAGAGAAGCCAGTGTACTCCTCCAGCGTTATTATTATAGAACCATGTCCTCCAGTGATGATACTGCACTATCATCGCGTTCTCCAGCTCCTCAGACCTGCTGCTATGTCTGCTCCTCACTGTAACGGGGGTGAGTACAACATTAACAATTTTTTGCTTTTTTTTTTCAAGCAAAACGCTGTAAAATCTGGCATGTTGTGACGTCCGCCATCGGTGCGCGTCCACTTCAAAGCTCAACAACAGCAGCTTTCTCAAGATGATGACTCCATAAATGACGACCGTAGCGCTTACATGAAATGGCTGGTTAAAGCCGGGTTCCGATCCCGTTTCACGACGTTATTCTGCTGACATCTGAGTGTTATAGGTAACAATTTGGCTCACGCTAGCAACATCTACTTATTATCTTGTTTTTTTTCACCCGCACATGTTATGTATCTGAAGAAAGGAGCGCGTCGTGGAGCAAGATACCACTGAGACTTTTGTTTGTGGGTTTGATGTTCAGATGACCGTGGTGAAGTTGGTTGGATATTGGATATTCGGCAGATATTCAGAGCGGGGAAGCGATGAGTTCGTCAGCCGGCTTGAGAGCAGCAAGGAGCGGACATGTACTCGCACGAGTCTTCGCCTATATTTAGGGACCGTCAACATTTTACCCTACGCTAATTTTTCACTATTATGAAAGTGGATGTCAAAAAAAGAGCGTAATGGTCTAAATAATACAATAAATTCATAAATACTTTAAAAACATGAAAATTGATGATTATAGCCTTGAACAAAAGCCGATTAATTGTAATGTAAACATTTTAAATCACTTTGATCATTATAGTTACAGTAAAATAGGATTTTATTCAATAGCTTTTGAGGAATTTGACCCAGTGACCCCAAACCACTTCTAAATAATACTGCTACCTCTGGGCCATTGGGCTCAGGCCTTTAAATCATGTTTAAAAGCTTTTAAAATTATACTTTGGTTAAAACTACCAGTTTTTCTTCAATAACTTTTACGGCATTTGACCCATTTACTCCAAACCACTTTTAAATAATACTACTACCTGAGGGCTATGGGGCTCAGGCCTTGAAATTGTTTTTAAAAGCTTTAAAAAATATTTTTTTGTTAAAAATTTCAGTTTTTCTTCAATAGCTTTTAGGGCATTTGACCCATTTACTCCAAACCAATTTTAAATAATAGAACTAAATGAAGGCTATGGGGCTCAGGCCTTGAAATGGTTCTTAAAAGCATTTAACATTTTAAAATGATTTTTTTGGTTAAAAATACCAGTTTTTTTTCAATAGCTTTTAGGGCATTTGACCCATTTGCTCCAAACCACTTTTAAATAATAGTACTAAATGAGGGCTATGGGGCTCAGCCCTTGAAATTGTTCTTAAAAGCTTTTGAAAATTTAAAATGTTTTTTGTGTGTTAAAAATACCAGTTTTTCTTCAATAGCTTTTAGGGCAGTGTCTCCCAAAGTGGGGTCCGCGGGTACTGCAGGGGGGCCGCGGGAGGTCATAAAAAAAATAAAAATAAAATATAATTATTTAATGTTAAATTTATAATGTTTTGTTTATAATATTAAAATATTTGTGTTCATTATTTGACTTGAATAATCCACTGTAATCATTTTTGTATTACAATGTTTGTAGCAGAGGCTATTTCCCCAAAATAAAATAACCAGAAGAGCCTATTCTTAATGTTGTCTTCTTGGTTATTATTTTGGGGGGCCACGCAGACCCGTCAGATTTTTAAGGGGGCCTCGGTGTTACTGAGTTTGGGAATGGCTGTTTTAGGGCATTTGACCCATTTGCTTCAAACCACTTTTAAATAATAGCACTAAATGAGGGCTTATGGGCATAGTGGGTACATAGTGTCTAAAGCAGACCTGGAGATTCTTATCCATGCATTTGTCTCCAGTAGGTTAGACTACTGGAGACAAATAAATAATTTATAATAAATAAATAAATATTTATTAAAATAAATATTTATTTATTTTAATAAATAGTACATTTAGTACTAGTATTTAAAAGTGGTTTGGAGTAAATGGGTCAAATTCCCTAAAAGCTATTGAAGAAAAACTGGTATTTTTAACCAAAAAAATCATTTTAAAATTTTAAATGCTTTTAAGAACAATTTCAATGGCTGAGCCCCATAGGCCTCATTTAGTACTATTATTTAAAAGTGGTTTGGAGCAAATGGGTCAAATGCCCTAAAAGCTATTGAAGAAAAACTGTTATTTTTAACCAAAAAATTGTTTTAAAAGCTTTTAAGAACAATTTCAAGGGCTGAGCCCAATAGCCCTCATTTAGTACTATTATTTAAAAGTGGTTTGGAGTAAATGGGTCAAATGCCGTAAAAGCTATTGAAGAAAAACTGGTATTTTTTAACCAAAAAATAATTTTAACATTTGAAAAGCTTCTAAGAACAATTTCAAGGGCTGAGCTCCATAGCCCTCAGGTAGTACTATTATTTAAAAGTGGTTTGGAGTAAATGGGTCAAATTCCCTAAAAGCTATTGAAGAAAAACTGGTATTTTCAAACCAAAAAATAATTTTAAAAGCGTTTAAGAACAATTAAGTCCTGAGCCCCATAGCCCAGAGGCAGTAGTGTTATTTAAGAGTGGTTTGGAGTACGTGGGTCAAATTCCCTAAAAGCTATTGAAGAAAAACTGGCATTTTTAACAAACAAAAATATTTTAAAAGCTTTTAAACATAATTTCAAGGCCTGAGATCTATAGCCTACAGGTAGTCCTGTTATTTAAAAGTGTTTTGGGGTCACAGGGTCAAAATTTTCCAAAGCTATTGAATAATATTATATTTTACTGTAACCTATAATGATCAAAGTGATTTAGAACTTTTACATTACAATTACATCTATTTTGCTCGGTGTCATAATCATCCTTTTTCATTTTTTAAAAGTATATATGAATTTATTGTGTTATTTAGGCATTAAAGTCTTTTTTATATCCACTTTCATGTAAGTGAAAGTAGGGTAAAATGTTGACGTCCCTAAATTAGCAAAGACTCGCGCGAGTACATGTCCGCTCCGTGCTACTCTCAGCCGCTGACGACCTCCTCACTTCCCCTCTCTGAATATCTGCCGAATATCCAATATCCAACCAACTTCACCACGTGTTCAGATGCAATCCTGACCTTTAGACATGACCAGCAGTTATCATGTCCAAATCCGTCGCGCAAGACTGTTTTTAGTGGCCCCTAATGTGATTTTCATTGACCGCGATTTGTTAGGGTCACGTTCCTCCAGCGTGAGGAAAACCTGGAGGAATTAATAGTTACTTATGTAACCTAAGTTATACGAATAGTGCGTAGTCCCCTTAGACTTCGCTAGTGGATATCACGTGACCCCCAGTCACACGACAGAGAGATTCAATATATATAATATGCTCAATCACTAGCGACCCTCCTCTATAAAAGCCCCTGCACAAGGCCCGCCCCCTCTCAAACTCTGCCAAGCCGATGGCCTGATCTGGCTCGTACTAAGGACTACGCACCTATTTGTAGAACTTATGTTTTATAAGTAACTATTAATTCTACGTCATGGTGCTACGTCACTTAGACTTCGCTAGTGGACACAACGCGAGGCCGTAGGAACATTACTCCCACACCACGAAGAGTGATTGGAGCCCAACAAGACCCTCACACAGTGAGAGACTCAGCAAAGAATAATCAATTGCGTTTACAGGCCGCTCCTCCCAAGACACCCCCAAGTAACACAGACCGAAGGCCACCCGTAGTCCCAGGACGCCTCTCCCAAAGCTCCTACCGCACCTGCAGATGCCTCTCCCAAAGCTCCTGAACCAGCGACAAGTCAACCGTAGACCCCCTCAAAGAGAACCTCACGTTTTTCAACTCAATCCGCTGCACTAACACGAATGGCCACTGACCGTCCACACATCCAAAGGTAAACCGACGAAAGAGGAGACAAGCCCAAAACCGCACGCACACGTCCTCGACCGAAGCCCCCCGAGAGGCCGTAAAGGCCGCCACCCCACGTGAAGAGTGCGACCTAAAACCCCTGGGGCCAGCCCTGACCTGATACGCCCCGCACACCGTGCGACCCAGTGCCCACCGCTAGACGACAGCGGCGCCCCTGTTCTTGGCCCAGACACACAAACACTGATCAACCAACCTAAAGAAGATGTCATGCCAGTAACGCCTAAGCATTCTGACAGACACAGAAGGCGATGGAACCCTAATCCCTGATCACTCTCGACCTGAAGCCGAAGTGATACCTAGAAAAACCGATAGCTGAAAGCGAAGGCGAATTTTGCGAGATTTCCAACCGTACAAACAAACCACACTGCCATTGTATGTGCGAATCCCGACTTCTTCCTCTTAATGACTTTCCTGTGTTATTTTGACACATTTCGTCTCTGGACAGAAACATTGAGTGAGCGTCAGAATTAGCTGTGAACAGCCATGTCCTACGTTCCCATATGACGGAATGAAAAGTGCAGCCGTTCAAACTCATTGATTTTAATCCACTATCGCGCATCAGAAAGAAAATATAGAAACACTATTCCTATCAAATAAATTATGTTGTCCCTTACAGCTATCTTTGCTGCTTTGTTATAAGCCAATGTATATGAATGATCAGTTTTCTATCTGTTCATCACTCATTCTCCACTTCACACTCACTGCACTTCACATTGGGCCTTTTTTTCTTTTTGCTGTGCTTCAAAAATAACATATGTAGTTGGGCTACCTATTCATTTAATACAATATTGTCCGTTTCTGTTATATTTAACATTTGTTAAATTTATTTAATACGTGTTAATATTTCCTCCTTTATCTCTCAAATAATAAATATTTGAGAACAATATTATCCTGTGTGACATCAATAAAGTTTCTTATCTTAAAATACAAGCCACAAATAAAGCTTGCCCGCACTATTACAGTTAGCATTAGCTACAATTAGCTTGAATACATTTCAAGTTAACTGTCTCTGAAATCAGACAAAATATTTTATCAGAACTGCATACTTTTCCCACACTTCATTGGTCTTTGGAAACCTAAAGAATGACATGTTCGCGTAAACTGTGATGATTACACCAAAACAAACAAGCATTATCACCATTCACTTAAACCCCTCTTCGAACACTGACGTTTTTTGTATC